ATTCAATATCTGTTTTTACGATAGAACAATGTCTGAAAGATCTAGATTATGAACTTTGAATTTTTTTAATATTGGAGATAACCATCAAAGTCTGGCTACTAATCCGTTCGTGTTTCATTATTGAACCGAAGCATTATTAATTCAAATCTACAACGATTCTACGTACTGTATCAACATACAAAAACGCTAATTATTGACGTATAACCTACTCATGTAAATAATGCGGGTTTTGTTTCCTAAATATTAAGAATTAACAAAATACGTCTGAAATTTTTTGTTGTATTTTCAGCCTTTCTAGGATCTACTCTACTAATGTCTTAAGATAAAAATGTCAAAGTTATAATATTATTGCATTGAGATTTTCACCTTTCGATGTTTTTATCTTTCGACATTTTATTTCGACATTTTAATTTGCAACCAAAGTAGGATCTACCCTTTTTTTTAGAAAGAACACAATAGTAAACTCTACTTCTCTACTTGATTGAAGTGAAATTTAATCATTGAGCCAATAACAGAGCGCTCTCAACTGTCAAACACGATTTTATCTCGTATTTACGTTAGCATCATGTTTAGAACAGACTGCGAGAATAATAGAAGATTTTTAATCACAGTTTATTGATGAGTTGTTATGAATGTCTTGGTTAATGTTTCTCTTTAAACAATCCATCACCATTGTCCCGAGGCAGATGTTTCAGAGACATTTTGTTGATAATAGAAATCTGTTAAAAAGTCTAGTAATCAAGAATCATTTAGAAACATATTGATATCAGCTGTAAACATCATTCTCATTGTAATATTTATATTCCTTCTGATTATCGCCATTAGTTCATCCTGTATTCTGAAAGCAACACTATATAGGAACTATAGTCATGCGATCCACTTGACCGAAAACATTTAGAAAAAATCGAATCAAATGCCACCTTTGATGATTATTCCAATAAAAACAAATTTTCAAATGAACCTGACGATAGTAATTCACATTAACCAAAGAAATCTATCTTTAAAGTTTGCATCAATATTTTGAGAAAAAGAGCTTATTGTTTCATGGAAGATTTTAAAAATTTGCACTAAAAATTAGACTTGCTCACAAGTAGAAATTCTTTGTTGGCATTTATTTCATTTTTTGCAGATAAAACCTTTCCAGACTTGCTTAATTCTCTACGTTTTAATTATGACTAAACTTTGTATCGTGTCATATTCGACAGTTTAAGTTGTTATCTCTTAAGTTTATGGCGTCCTTTATTGTCACTATTATAACTTCATCACAAAAAAACGCATTAATTAATTTTGATGTTATCGACAAAACGATCTCTTTGTTCTCCGATAAATCATAAATAGGAACGTAAAATGTATTTGTTTGTGATAAATAAATAAAACACAATGAATAAATGATACAGAATTGTAACAGTACGTTTCTGATAGAGCCGACTAAATCCTACAAATACGATTAACTGCTTGAGGACGAGAATCATAAATGTGTTTTAAGTTTTGAATCAACTCATGACTTTTATAATACTGGAATCGCTAAAATGCTGATGGAAGACATAGATCTGCCACTCTTTATGTAGTCTAACAGTATTATTTGCATCATGCCATCATTCAACTTCTATCTTTCTTTCTAGGATTAGTCGAGTATTTCTTTTTCTTTTTTCTAACAATAATCCCGTCCTCAAGAGATTAAAACTAATCAAAGAGAATGAGTGAAACGATGTCAAATAATCATTAATAATTGCAAATATTCTAGCACTTATTAGTATGATATCTATTCTAAACTAACAGCTATCTAAGTTCATTCTAATTCATTCTAATTCGTTTTATTATGTTTTTTTTTCTATTCTAATTCCTATAGGAGTCTAATCAAAATAAAATCAATTCAGGTGTCGTTCAGTCATAAAATCTGTAGACCTAACTATTCACTAGTTTATAAGAAGAATATTTTAATTTAACAAGTTCAAACCAGAATAAATATAAATAATTGTCCTTACTATTAAATATCTACAGTAAACCCGACTGGATCAACAGATTTATTTAACATATTTGAATTTATCTTTAAAAACGATGCAACTTCTGCACCAACAGAACCGTTAGATCACCTATTCACTTATCAGCTATTCCGCTATTGTTTCATGTCACAGATTCAGTGTGAAACGTTTTTGCAACTTAAAATCTTTAAGTCTATCTTTCGCTTGGAAACTCGCCTAAGTAACCACTTAATATTTCCAACCTTCAATAAGCTTTCAAAAATAAATACGATTACACTCAAGTACGTTTATTCAAACGAATTAGTTTTTTTTCTTGGAGTTCTCTTGTAGGATAAACGATATTTCGAGGGTATCTTATATGAACAATCAAAATTTTACATGTTCCATCCAATGAACAATTTTTTAAAATGTCTTCATTCAAGGTAAGTTCACAAAATGAGCAATGAACTTTTCTAAGAAATATTCTATTACTATCATCTAATCAATTCCAAGAAGTTTGTTCTTTTCTTAGCAAGCTTAAAGTCTACGATAGTTATCAAAAGATTTTTTTTATATAGGTGCTTTATTATTAAAAACTGAGTCGTTTAAGCGTAGGTTTTATTAAACTTGAGAGCAGCATAATATAAAAGGAGAATTTTTTTTTCTGAAACACTTTTGTCTGTTAAACAGTTCCACGTGATAGTATCAAATATGTATCATACTAACATCTTGATTCTTATTTATTTATTTATTTATTTCATTCAATCGCCTATGATCTTATACGAGAGTAACCAGATTTCAGCTATACGCAATATTTCTTCAGCTACGCATGTAAAATAAAAGATAAAAGTGCATTTGTTTATGTATACATCTAGTGAAGTGTTGAATTTCGTTAAGATCTCGTAAGATATTACTTGCAATCAGATGCTTAGCATTCCAAAGTAACGTTCAATTTTTGTCTTTCAAAATATTTTTTTATATTCTTAATCGAACAATTATAATCGAATGTAGGAAAAGTTCTCAGCGCAAGATTAAATTTACTGTTCAAAATATTTTATTCAAGTAAAACAGATTAACAGCGCTATTTGTCAGTAGTAGAAAATATTTTTTATTATTACAAAATATAAAGTCTTAGCAAGCATATGGAAAATAGATTGAAGAAAGATTTGTTGTTTCTATTAGTGTTTGCATGCAATTCTCGACAGTATCACAAGACTATTAGATATTTTATGAAAACATAACCAACGGAAACTCTTACTCCACAGAAATAATTTCCGAGCAGAAAAAAATAAATGAATAGAACACTTTTTATGGTATTTCATTTTAAAAAAGATTCTTTGTCTCATTGGCGTCACCTACATTCTATTCTTGTGTCTATTCTTGGTTATTAAATTTTGACAAGAATAGCTCTTTGATACTTTTTCATAATTTCATAGTTGAAAAAAAGAAGATGTCATTTGTCTTCATTTAAAAATGTGAATATTTTCCCGGTAATCACAGGTCAATCGATCTTCATTCTCTTTATAACATGCATCATCTTTAAAACCGATAACAACCATAGAAATTCTATTCAATTAATTTGACGCATCGAATAAAACGAAGCAATAGCTAAAGATTATATCTATTAGATATTGTTGACTACTAATATTTCAATTATTTAATAAAATAGAAAATCATTTGTTATCTTTTGCAAGAAAATTAGTATCCTATAGTAAAGCAAGAGAAATATTCTATGATTTCCTAGACTACAAACTTTTTTTTCTTTTTTTTTCTCAACTTACTTACATTTCATGTAATCAGTCTTTTTTTATTCTTGACTACATCAAATGTAGTTTAGTCTATTTTTGTGGGATTAATTTTCCCTTTAGCGTTTTTTCAATTCTATTTAAGGTGTAAGCGATGATTAATTATCTTATTTATAAGATATTATGAATGTCATTTACATGGAAAATTCAATTACTTTCACACTTAGCGTTGATATATATACATTAACATTTTCTAAGCATCAAGTAAAAGGCTTAGAAAGTTAAATATTCCATTATAAAAAAAGCTTTCAAATAAATTAGAACTCTTCTCATTATTATGAAAAAAGAAGTCTTGCAGAAATTCATGAAACTATTAAGAAAAAAGAAAAAAAAAAGAATTTACTTATCCTATCACGATTTTCTTTCGGATAATGAAATAAACTTATTACCACTTGATGATTATTTTGTGAACTATTCGATAATTAATGTCATTTATAAGTTGTTGATCTTGATTTTATCATTTATTTCATTAGCTTTATTTCTTTTCATTTCTATTCTTTTTTTTCTTTTGTGCCATTATCATCATTTTTCTTTTGTTTCTTATCGTTCTTTGTTCTCCGTGTGTAAATTCTATGTTTCAGTACTAGTGTAGTTGTCTAATAAGAGATAGCGTAGATTTCAACATGTCACTCTTGTTGATGAACGACGCCGAAGAATCTTCGTAGAGATACAAATACATGAATTCATATTTGTTTGCCTAAAGCATTATTTAACTAACGAAAGTCTATAACATATAAACACATTTATACTAGAGTAATAAGCAACATGGGATCACATATAATACTGTTCTTTATTTTTTTTCGTAGAAAAGCATCTATTCTTTTGTACGTGTGTTTATGACATAAAGAATAAAAGTCAAAATTGAATATGATATTATATAAACATAAAGCGAAAGATAGATCACAATTGTTTAAGTGATTAGACATTTTATCTATATTTAGTCGAATAGTTTAGTGAATGCGTGCAGATAATTTCCGCTTGTATAAACGCGATGTGCCATCGGCAATTTTTTCTTGTTTTTTCTTTTTGTTGTTGTAGTTTTCATTTGTAAATCACAGCCAATCATTCGATCATATAACTATGCAATACATTTGCCATAGAAACCGATGTTTTCTTTTATTGTCGAAGTTTGATTTTTATATAAAGAGAAAATTGTTGAAAATAAGATGAAAAAATTTTAATCCATTTGTATTGTTTTCTTTTCTTTTTTTCTTTTTTGATTATAAATTAAAAGATGCTACTACGTGCTGTTGATGTTTTCGACATTTATGTTGAGCCATTTATTTATTCTGGTTTCCGTCCACCTAATCAACCTTATTCATACTATTATCGATCACTATTTTCATTACACAATGAAACATTATCTGTATGGATTCATTTATTTGGTACAATTATTCTTATCACGCAAATTTTTTCGCAAATTCTTCAAGTGTCAATGAATTCATATTCAACAATACAATGTATTTATCTTTGTTATAATTGTATTGGTGCATGTATGATGCTTCTATGTTCAGCACAAGCACATTTATTTCATTCGAGAACATTAGCTGATCATTTGCGTTCATTTTATCTTGATTATTTTGGAATTAGTTTTTATGGTTTTACATCGGGTATTATTCTATACAGATTTTCACATAAGCAACAATTTTCCACGGTAAATAATTTTTATGAAAATAATTATCATCATTCAAATAAATAAGTTAAAACTTTTTTTCGTTTTGACAAACTGGAAAAATATATAAATTCAAATACAAAGAAAACCAGAAACAATAGAATTTCAAACGTTTTTTTTATTTATTTTTATAGATTATTAGAAAAATTGCTAAATAAGATTATCAGATTATTTTGAGAACTAATTTTATAGTTAAGATAGAAACACAGCAAAATCTATGTAATTAGCTAATGTTTAACAGATAGAATAGCTTAATAATAATTCTTGTCAAAATTTCAGTTTTTGAAAAAATTAAATTTGTTTTACTATTATCTGAAGGTTTAAAGAAAGACAAAACAGTTTTCATTGACTAATCAAAATACCAGAAACTCAAATAATGATTTAGTCATTTAAGTCATATTTACATGGCTATATTCTAACTATTAATTAGTTCTACTAATTTTAAAACTAAGTCTTATGATAAGATAAAGTCTACTAGTAGTAAAAAAATTCTCTCCCGAATATTCTGCTTGAATCAGCATATTTTCTGATCAATGAATATATTATTTTCTATTTTTATTTGAATTTTATTTAGTTTACAAATGAAACATCATATTATTTAATATTAAGTCTATTATCATTATATTCGTTATCAGTAGCATGCTTTTGTAAAACATATTATCGTCGGCCATATCCATTTTCTCATAAAATCTTACAATGTTCTGGTGTTTTAATTCTTTATCTTGTTCAAATTTGGCCAATATTAAACAATATATTTTATACCTTTATTTTATCGAACAATGGTCGAACAATAATCAAATCTGAAGAAAAAGCTCTCGTTTGGCATTTAATACAAATTACTTCATTCATTTTAAGTGGTCTCATTTTTGTTGCAAGAATTCCTGAACGTTTTTGTCCCGGTTCATTTGATTTGTGTGGTCAATCACATCATGCATTTCACCTAACTATATTCCTAACGTCTTTTACTCAAGCAAATGCTGTATTCGAAGATATGCATACTATTTCATGGAATAATGTTCATTATAATTGGAAGAAAGATATGCTATTAAGTTTGATTGTATTTATTTTAGAATCAATTACAGTTTTTGTATGGTTTCACATAAGTCGACCAACTATTGAACGACGATACAAAGTAGATTCGAAAAAACAATGATTCTCTAATTATAATACTGATTTAGCTTGTATCATTTGTCAATTTAGATCTTTCATTTTTATGCTAAGATAAATAACTCGTATGTTATGTTCTGTCATTTTTCATTCCAAATAAATTATGATTTTATATAAAAATCAATTTAAAAAAAGCATTAATTATAGTTTCATTTTTTTCATAAACCCAATTAATTACTCAGATCTGTGATTGGTTATTTTTTTGATTAAAGTTAAATAATTGATAAAATTCGGTTCAGTAAAGATAAAAAATCTTTGCAAACTATATCAGCTTTTGTCTAAAGACAACCATAAAATTGAATCGATCCGTTTTATACCAAAATATTAAACAATTCTATTCATTTAGTTGGTATCTAAATTCAAAAATCCTTAACGTAAAATGCAATAGAGTATTTGAACGACAAAGTTAATAAGTGAATAATCCCAGATGACATTTCTCTACGATCTATTTTAAAGTCTACTTAATTTCATTTCCAAAATAAATTGCATGTTAAATAAAATAAGTGAGCATATTGATTTTCTTAATCACCTCGATTGATTTTATTATTAAGTTGTTGAAGTTTGGAAAAACTATTCAGTTTCATCAGAACAAACAAAAATTAATAAATTAATATTGTGTCAATTACAATCTATTAATAAATGTTTATTTGTAAATCTTTTTAATCTCATAACTTTTTATATTAGAGTTGATTGATTGTGTGTTCGTGAATGAAAAAACGTTGTCGTATAAATGGAAATGCAGTCACCAAGGAACATTACCGAGTGTGGAATTATTATTTGGTCACGACTATTTTAATCGTTCGAATCCTAGACAGACAAGAATGCTCTGGAAAGAACGTCAGACTTTCGTTTCATCATTCCCAAAGTACTACTTGTTTTACAGTATATCTTTCAGCGAGATCATAGGCTTTTTATGAACACTAAGAAATTAATGTCGTTTTTCGGCTGTGAATTTTTGTATAGAGAAAAATTTTAATGAAAATAATTCATTGCAGAATGTTTCAAATTATTTTGGTAGCGTCACTTTGTCATAAGAACATCAGAATTCATCATTGAGTGCGAGCAAAAACAAAAGCATAGTTTTAGCATAGTTGTATCTTGAGATGAAAAAAAAACTTGCTCTGAAGCCTTCATAAAAATATTATGCTTTTCAAGACTTGCCTCAGCTCAAATTTTCAGGTCAAAACTTGATAGGCAATTTTTTTAGTACTTGTCACAATAATGATGATGGTCTTTTAAACGAATACTGTACAATACAATACTAGAACAGTACTAAACTCTTACATCGAGAATATTATGAATGTTTGTAGGCCAATAGATATTATATGATGCATATAGCTTTGATTCGATGAGGACTTAACACTGCTACGTTTTCTTTCATTAGGAAAAAAATGAATGACTCTTTCAAGCATATCCGAAGTATCTGAAATATTTAATATTTATTGTTCTGTTCTTTTTAATACGTAATAAGACGGAGTATTTTCTTCTCAAAAAATAGTTTACATAGCGTTCTACTCTTTATATTTAAAATATTATAGTTCATCGTAAGAAAATAATTTACACAAATGTGTTGCCACACAAAGTAGACAGCAAAAAACAAACATGCAGTAAAACGATCTTAGGCTTATACTAAAAACTATTTTTAAAAGAATTTTTTGCCACAAAGAATTAGAACAAAAGCTGAGTTAAGCGAAGATATATCATTAGATTATTTCGTCTTTAATAATTAATCAAATTGATATGTTTTATTTTTGTCCAAATGTATTTATTATGGATCTGTTTATTTTCTATTATTTTTAAAGATATTTTCATTAATACGAACAATGACTAGTATATTTTTTATTAAAATCTTGAAACGTCGAACAGCTTCAAAAAAACCATACTGACTTATGAAATATTTCCATAAAATAGTAACATGTATATGTTGCATTTGAATGAAATCAGCAAAATTTGCCATTAATTCATTGTAGTTCTTATCATCGAAGATTCCACATGAAAAATTATTTGAACAATTTAAAATAAATATCAAAGCTCAGCATATGATAGGCTTGGTTCTAATCGTTTACATATTGATATAATCTCCGTGGCAAAATTAGATCCGTTATATTCATTATCGGTCGTGAAATAAACGGAGTCATCATGTAGATTTGTTTCATCAAGAAGAAATAGATCATGTAGATCATCAAAATTAGACAAACAAGTATTTTTCTTTAGACGGTGAATATCAATTGATGATTCTTGCCATTAAGATGAAAATTTCGTCCTAGTTTGGTTATTTTGAACAAATGAATTGATAAAATTCATTGTGTTTTTTTTATTTAAGACGTAATTTAGGTGTTAACGATGATTGTTTATCATATATGAATTTTCCATTATGGATGAAGTTTTTTTTGGTGATATTGATAAATTTTATTTGAAAAAACGGTCCATTGTTTACCTGTCAAAGTTGAATTATTATTTTCAAGATGATTCAATGATCTAGACTATTCAAATAAAATTTTAAAAAAATGATAATCTTATCAACGAAAACCAAAAACTGAACAGATTATTTAGCTACGTCTGATGGTATTGCTTCACTTTTATTTTTAATCAATGATTGTTGATCATTGTCGAGAACAATTTGAAGTTGATTAGTAGAACGAATTAGTTTCGGATTCATACCAACTAAAAAACATTTTTGCAAACGGTAAGCTGGACATTTAATGCGTGTTGTTTTTGTTATAATACACTTACAGCGATGGTGGCATTGTAATATTCTCTATTTAAATTATACATCGAAGAAAATATTACAATAAAGAAAATAATTTACCCATGGTTGAAATGCATTTCTTCGAAAAAATGATTTACATAACACGCATGTTATAACTTGAAAATTATTACCTCGTGCTACATCTCCACATACTCGACAAATCAAAGATCCATAAAATGAATTCCTTCATTCAATCCCATCATTCACACAGAGATTTCTGTGTATTAGTTCCAGAAGGTGTTTTTAGTATTTCTCCTTTTTAATTATGCATATATATGTCGTAGGATAGATTAAAATCCAGGTCAAATCAAAATTTTCTTTGTTGAAATCGAAGTTATTTCAATCTGTCCTACAACATATATACACTTCTTGCGATAAGGAAAAGGAAAAAAGAATGAGAAACAGTTCGCATGAGATAAATAGAAGACTTGCTCTATGTGGAGCCCCTAGGAAAAGCAATCATTATTTGATTACTGCTCATTTGTGATATTAGCTGTCTCCCTTCACTATTTCTATAAATTTATTAGTCGATGCCAAGTGAACACGATGTGCCTCTCTCTCTCTCTCTCTCTTTCTATATATATATATATGTGTGTGTGTGAATGCATGTTTTCTTGTTCTATTTTCTGTCAGTAACTATCTTTGAATAGTATTCTTGATTGTTAGCCGAGATTGAAAGGAATACTTCACATGTATAAGAGTATCCGTTTGTTTGCATCTTGCTCGAGAAAAGACAATCCATTGAGAACAAGTGGGTAAACATCGTGTTGATAACCCACTTGATAAGTATGTCGCATCACTACTGCCGATTCTCAGTCCGATAGTAAACGGGAAGCAGAGAAAAAGAAGCCGACAAGAAAAGAACGAAACTCACACCGGAAGCATCATGGAGCCTTAGAAAGGGCTATCATCATTTCACTATCTGAACAAAGACAATAGAACGCACACTTCCTTTTACTGCAAATGCACGTTTGACTGATTGCATAATTTTTCCATACGCAGGTGAATTGTCGGTTTAGATGTGTAAGATTAGATAGAACTGAGATGATGAATACCAACATAGAATCAATCTTTAAGTATATTATTTTAGACAAGTATGAAATTCATTTGCTTTAATTCAAAAGAAAAAGAAACTAAAATAAAATAATCAGTAAAAAACTGAACCAACGACGAATGTTCTTAAAAAAGTAGCAAGCTGAAAACATATTGATGTTTAATGTAATGCAATTTCAATGAAGAAGACCTCATATAGTTAGCATATAAAAAGTAGAGAGAGAGAAAAAAAGGAAAAGTAGATGAATAACTAATGTAAAGATCTTTTATATTTAGTAAGAGATATTTTTATTTGCATAAGTAACTGTAAAATTAAACAAAAATAGAACTAGAATAAGATAGATAGATAGATACGTACATACGTAGAGAAGAAACTTTTGCGCGTGCATAATTAATACGATAGCAAAATTAGAATATTATTCAATAAATATTCTAATCAACAAACAAAGAAAAAATCTCTTTGAAATGAAAAATATACTCTCTCTCTCTCTCTCGTATGGATTAAATATAATATAAGTATTTCGATAAAATCTATTTCTTTACACGATTGTTCAATGAGTTATTTATATGTAAAGGAAAAGGAAAAAATTTGAAGAATTTTTTTCCCATCGGCAGTTATGACCTTACATTAATTATGTGATATGATAATCATTGAAATAAATAATTTAGTTTTTCATTTTATTAAAGTAACAGCCAAAGAATCCTACTGACATTTTCAAAAATGCCATTTTCTGTATCTTTGGCGTATTTTACAGATTTTTCTTGTCAGCTAATGCATCATTTTTAAAGCTTGTAATAAATAAATAAAATTTTTTTTTTAAATATATGACTATGAATTAAAAAGAAAGAACTATTCTTGGAGAAAAACATTATTAATAGCTGTTATTTTGATGATTTTCTTCTTATGTTCACGCAAGAATTTTCTTTCATCTTGATCATTCAATCAATCAACGACCTATTACAATCATTAGTTCGATGCTTCATTTAGCGTAGCTTCCTAATTGCGGACAAAAATTAAGCCAATTAGTGAAAAATGTCCGCAATTTGGAAAGAGAGAAACTTTATTTTCTTATTTTTATTGTGTTTCCAAATTGCGGTCACTTTTTAATTGATTAGTTTTTTCGAAATTGGATGATGATTGTTTGTATGATTGATAAATATAAAAGGATGAGAAAGATAGTGATATTTCATTTGACATAATGGATACTAAGTTCACTTGGTCAATAACTCAAAAAGGAGAAAAAGCACTTTTGTACAAGAATTATTTATATCGAGTAAGAACAGGCTCAAAAGCGCACGACAAGGCCAAGAAAAGCGAAAAATATACGCGACGATGAAAAGCTTAAGCTAGAGAAAAATAAATACATTCTTGATCAAGACTTTGATGCATATCAAAAAGTCTTACGAAGTATTTCTCATCGATATATAGATATTTTAAAAGATGCTGTAGATAGCAGCGACGAAGAGTAATTTTTTGTGTTCATGTATTCGTCGTATCAATTAATAAATATGTACATATGTAGCAATCATTTTATGTTTGTTGATTAATCAATTAAAAAGTGACCGCAATTTGGAAACACAATAAAAATAAGAAAATAAAATTTCTCTCTTTCCAAATTGCGGACATTTTTCACTAATTGGCTTAATTTTTGTCCGCAATTACGACGTAGCCTCATTTAGTTTTAACAATAAATTATAAACTTTTTATATAAAAGGTATTTTGTAAAAGAGAAAGAGAAAAAAATCCAACATTAATAGTAAATAATACCAATCAATCAATTTTAATGCTCTTTTTTAGTATTTTAAAATAACCAATTACACTATTAAATATACAATAGCTTTCAAATTTTATTTCTAGAAAAGTACTGAAGAGAAAATCAATCTTCTATGGGTGCTTTATTTTTTCTTTTTCTTTTACTCATTTATTTGTAGTCACAATCATCATAAAATTTACCATTTTACTTATTGCGCGTTATATCATAAAGAATGCATGAAACCAATTCTTTTGCTTTGATAAATAATTCATTAAAATTGGAAAAATTTTAAAAAAGAAAGAACATTCCAGTCACCATGTATTCATATTTTATTTTTGTTTATCAAAAAACGTTCTTATTCCAATTCATCTTTTGGACAAAAACATCTGATGCAGCTAGCTTTTGAGCGCACAAAAGTTGGACCAGGATAATCACATGGTGCACCAGGACATTTCTATATGCATGCTTTGAAACACGCTTGTTGACAGTCATTACCCGATGCTTGAACCTGGTAATAATCAGTAGCATCAATCATCAATAAAGATAAACAAAAGACAAACAGGGAGAATATTGATAATAGTCTCATTATGTAAAATTTATTCTATATTAAAGAAAAATACTCTTCATGTATAACACATAATATAATTCATACTCACAAAACAACTTTTGATCAAGGAATGAAGATTTCGTTGAAGTAAATTAGTATCGATCAGTTATATATATATATATGAATCCATTAAAAAAAACTTATTTTTCTACCTCCGCATCATATGGTACCCTAATTACTATTTAAACAATACTTTACATATATTAGCATCACATGATGGAGTCAATTAATCATTGAGAGATAAAAATACAAAATTTGTTTTTCTCAGATAAATTCAATGTCCCCATCGTTAAAAAAATAGACAGAGTTGAATTATTTAAAAACTCATTGTAAAAAGATGCAAGGAATAATTCTCAATATAAAAATTTCTGAAGTCAGATCTCAACAAAAATTCTATTAAAAAAATTAAGAAAAAGACTATTCCAAACTCGCCTGCCACATTATATATTAAATAGCTATCGGGAAATTATTTAAAGATGAAAACAAATAAAGAAAAGAAATTACTCTATCTTCTTGATTGAAGAAACGTATAGTTTTCTCGTTTTTTTTGTTGCTGATTATCTAATTTTAGCTAAGTAAATGAAAATTGAGGTCGAAGAATTGCTATGAAACCTTTTTCTATTACTCAGTTGAATAAATGTAGTGAAATGGATTAGCATAGAACTCTAAAATAGATCAAGTGTAAGTATGAAATGAAGAATAAATGAATTTCCTTAATCTGATAATAGATTTGTAACAAAAATGTAAAACTCTGTTTGGTATGTTAGAATTCTTCTTTTATCGAGTTGTCATCTTGTTTATTAATAAAATATGAATATATCATAACAACAACAACCATTTAAATTAACGTCGCTATGAAGAATGTATTTTTTTTTATAAAAGCATCTCTTTCATATATTTGACATTTTGAGAAGATCAAACAGTTCATGTAAGTGAAAAACAGTTATCTCAATTGAATGAAATTCTATTGAAACGTATTTAAAAATATTTTTTTGACTGTCTGCCAATTTAAATATTTTTTATATGTCAATCATCTGAATCATAGAATAAATTCAGTGGCAAAAAAAATCATTTTATATAATTATACTTAATTGTAGCCATCATATTTTGCAAATAATTCATAGTCGAATGTTTCATATTGTTTTCACGATTCATAATAAAAGGAAAATTTTAATTTCTTCCATTCATATTCGTTGTAAACTATCTTAATATTTCAATAAATCTTAATTACTAAGCAAAATATTTTTGAATAAAAATAGAAGACGATACTACTACTGCTACTTCTTCTTCTTCTTTTCAATGTAATGCATCCAGAAAGAAACAATATACATATATACTGCTTATAAAAAAAATAAAGAATAATTCATCAAAGAATAGATTTCCTTTGTTTTTACTATAATATTCATTAGCTTAAACTTGATCCATGTACATATAATGTCTGATATTTCATTTAAAATATTTTACTTGCATATTGTTTTGATTTATCAACATACAATACATGTTTTCTGTTACAAATGTAATTAAGCTGTACATCGGGCATATCTAAATATATGTCATCTGTTATTTTAGGTAAAATATTAATTAAATAATAGTACAAAGGCTTATAAATAATAATATTGAAGAAAAAAAGTGATCCAAACAAGGGAGAAAAGCGAGATTTTTGTATTGCAGCGCACAATGTCGAAGATATTCTTGCGAACTTTTGAACTTTTTCAATACTGCTATTGGCCCATCTTTCAGTGTATAAATCAGAGTCCATATAACTCAAGCCTATCAGATGTCAGAATTCACATTACATGAGTGTACTGTCAAGTTCGAGTATCAGTAGTGTATGAAAAAATATTTTAACTTTAATAATCGATACATTAATGTAGATTGGACTCAGATTGATGATACATTCGAACACAGGTTCATAGAAGTATTAAAAAACTTTAAAAATTTGTGAGAATACTTTCTTCATAGTCCAGGAGTACAGGAGTCTCGCCTCCTCCTTGGATCTGTAACATGCTGATTTCAATATAATATTTTAGGAAAATCAGCAAAAATATGATTCTGTTGAGATGAAATAATAAAATCATACAGAAATATAATCAATAAATCAGATTTAAACGCATCGAAATCGATCCAACAGAAAGATATCAATAAAAAATAGATTACTTTTTCAAGATTAGATATTAAGAGTCAATTCTTCTATCGATTATTAAATATTTTTTCTGAAAGAAAAAAAAATCTCTTATTGTATCCCATTGAAATTTTATGCCAAGATGAACAAAATATATTCGTATTAAAATATTGTTCTTTTTATTCGTGACATAACTAAAACAATGGTATGGAGGGTGATGCGGAAGGAAAACGACGAATGCTCTCTGATAATGTTCCTACAGAAGACTTGGGCTTCTTTGAAATCAAAATTTATTTGACAGTAGAAACATGGATAAAGGACTGGAAGTATTCTAATGGGAAAAAAGCTGAATACCTTCTAGCCCTCATTTGATTACGCTTGTACTTTTTGTATCGATTGGTTTTATTAATTGAGTTAAAGAACCGAATAAAAATCATGAACGTGTTGAAATGACGTTAGAAACATTCAGCAACAAAACAATTAGATTATCTTAATTGATTTCAGCATTGTATTATTGATTTTATCTCCCGGAGAGACGATGCAAAATTCAGCGAGAATGAAAATTCATTTATGAGATCATGGGCAAACAGTACATGGTGCAATAATTATCAAGCGTGCGAGAGTGAATTCAACCTTTGGAGAGGCATCACCCGTTCGACCTTCCTGTTGGATAAAATATCGATTAATTTCATTTTGATACCATGAATATATTTTATGATACAATACTCTATGATTTTCTTTATTGAAAATGAATCTCTTTCAATATTTCAAACGTTGAATAATATCGATTTTGAATGGATTGTTGCTTACACACAGATAAAAGTCGCATATAAAATATTATTCAATACAATGATGATGAACATGACGCATCAGATATAGTATATTTCAATCGTATTCTAACAAGTGAAATTATTTCAATCTTATGACTATTTCTTCCATACGTATGTATCGAGCGATCTTAAATTTGAATAATATCTTGTTAGGATCGAATTCATTTCGATAAACTATTTATGAAATTTTATTGATATCTGAGTTTCAAATTTACAGTTTTGATTTATAAATAAAATAATTCACAAGTATATTTCTACAACAGTCAATAAATATATTTTTACTTTTATGCTGACTAGATGAAAAATACCATTGAATTGATCTATCGAAAAATAGTTTTCGATATTTAATCAACTTTGATTTGATCTCGAATAAATAAAATCATTTTATTCTTTTTGTTCTTTAATCCAACAGTTTTTATATTGATTCGATCTAGCATCAATTTCCCCACGTTCAAGTGGGTCTTTTTCATAAATATCTTTATAACATGAATATGATATGCATCGACGTACACAATTAATCATATCTATTTCAGCTAATTCTTTTTGTTGTTGTTGTTCTAATGAATTATCAGTTTTTAATGATATTGTTGGTAAATATTTTTGACAGGAATCTCTTTGTTCACATTGTCGAGTTAAACGACGAAATGTTTCATCTAATTGACGACGACGCGTAGATGACATCGGAATTTTTTTATTATTCATTGATGAAAATGTCAAGTCAATGAATAAAATAATGTATAATAAACAAACAAATTGATTAATCATCTAAACAGACTGATATTAGAGAAAATACGAAACATCAAATAATACGCAAATATATTTTAAGATTTTTTTTTAAAAAGACAAGAAAAAAAGAAGAAAGCAATAAAAGAAAACGGCACGTAAAAGAGAAAAAAAGACATGAAAATCTTGATAGTTTTTGTGTTTAAAAGAAAGAACATAAACGAACGATTGACAACGAAAGGAATAAAAACATAGAGACAAAGAAAATGTTGTTTTTATTTCGCTCTGCTATTGATAGATCTATTTATATATATTAAATATTGTTCGTTGTTTTTTAAACAGCCAAATTGATAAAAGAATTATATTGTGCAACATTACGTTTAAGAATATCCGATATAGGTCCAAGCACACGTTCAAATCGATAACGATCCATTTTAACACATTTCAATGGTCCTTTTGCTTTGACTGTTGCAGCACGAGGGCGATCAAATAATAAAGCGATTTCACCAAAATAATCAGAAGGACCTAATTTTGACACTTCAACAGCTGGTTCCTCATCCGATGGTTTTTGATAGACGACAGCAGTGCCTAGAAAAACAAGTGGTGTATTTTTAATAAATTATTTGAAATAAAACAAACTCTTTATTTATTTTTACCTTCGACAATAATAAAGAAATCATTTCCTTTTTCGCCTTGTACAACAATATTATCACCATCAGTAAACAGTACTGGTTCAAGAGCATCAGCAACAGTTAAACGTTCCCATTGGTCAAGTTCCTGAAGAATTTTAACTTTCGATAAAAATTCTTCATACATTTTACGTTTTTTAATTGTTGAACCCATTAAAATACGTCGATAAGTCTACAAGAAACAAAAGATGAAAAAAAATTCTCATATGAAATTTTTTTGGTAAAAACAAAGACTAGAAAATATTTACTTTGCGGTCAATAGCCCATAATTTACACTCCGATTTAGCTTTGATTGTTGCTGCACGTGGTGTACCATAAATAAGTGCTAATTCACCAAAACTACCTCCATCTGATATAGCTGTGACACATTTATTGTTAACATAAACTTCAACTTCGCCTTGGTCAATAATATAAAAAAAGTCTCCTTCTTCGCCTTGTTGAATTATAGTTTCATCAGGTTTATGGTTAAATGGTTGCATGGCATCAAATATATCCGATTTTTCACTATCATCCAAATGTGAAAACAATAAATTCGATTGAATAGCTTTACTTAATGCTTGCATTGTTGCATAATCTTTCGGTATAACGGTTTTTACATATGATGTTGCATCTTCCTCTTTATATGGTTCAGCAGAAACTGCACCACGACGCTCACGTGCTTTAACAGAAGTATTTGATGTTGATTGATTTTGATGAGCACTGCTACCACCAGATGTTTCATTTAAATCACCAAGATCATCATTTTCCCCTGCAACACTACCATTTGTTGATTGTTGCTTACTTGCTGGTTCAGTAGGTGATGCGGTTTGCTGTTGACGCATACTAGGTTTTTTTGTTGTTGATGATGCTGATGATGCTGCTGTCTGATTACCAAGTTTATCAAAATAGTCAGCAAGAAATTGTATTGGATTCGATGGCTTTTTTAAACATAATTGAACGATACAGTCGCGTAATAAATTTTGAATATCATGTTTTGCAATATAAGCTTCACAATCGCGCACTGTCTGTTCGGACGACGATGTGTTGTCGACCATGATTATTTATTTCTTTAGATGTGATGATCGATGGAAGCCTGAAACGTATATATATATATATATATATTTATGTGTCAACATTAAGAAGAAAACTAACAGCAAAAGAGAAAACGCAATTGAATTGTAGTATGCCGAACGATAGTGGCAACCGTCGGCATAGAACAGAATACAATAAAAAAAATGTTCTGTTCTCGACAGTGTGCGTGCGTATGTGTGTGAAACAGAGATAGAATCAATCAAGGTCGAACCAGAGAAAAAAAGCGCAAAAAAAAGTCATATCCACCATCATTACAACTGCAACTAGTGGTTGAAGCGATGTAACTCAGTAATAAAAAGCACAACAGCGCATGAGAATATAGAGATATGGAAAAAAAATTCAGAGATACTATCACCCGCTTCTATTCTCTGCTTCTCGTTTTGTTGTTGTCGTTTTTGATCATGATGGTGTCGTCGCTCTCATCCCCATGACTCTCTTATAGATATATTATATATATATATATAATATACATATAAAGGAACCTTCATATAAGCGTGACGAAAAAGAATGATAAAATAATAAATGACTTCTATAGAGAAAAATGAATGTTACTGATAAAAGACAATAAAATGATTTGAAAATAAAAAAGAATGTAAAAAAGGAAGGAGAAAAGCAAGAAAAAAGAGTGTATGGATAAATATCAATTTAAACTTTCACTTAGTTTATGACTGAGTAGCAGCTAGACATTTTTTTCTCTCTTAATCGACATAAGTGCCATTTTTTCTTTCTAATTCTTCTCATGTACATTTTTTTTCGTTTTCTTTCATGATTTTGTTATAGAAAAATATAAATTGTGGTTTTATCAATCAATATGACATTTACCGAATGACAAGCATGTCTTTTAAATAAACAAAAAAAGCGATAGAATGTGCCAACAAAAAAATGCGGATGTATCTATTCGAAAAAAAACCGATCTAACAAAGAAGAACAAAGTAATTTTTACAGTCAACGATCAAGTCAGTGCAACTTAGCAAATAAAAATCAATTATTTATGTCAATATCTTATATTTTAATTGTTAAAAAAAAATAATACAAATAAAAATAATTGTTTACACCTGAATCTTTCCTTTTTTTTTGTTCAGTTGAACTACAATAATGGATTTAGCTCTAGACCATATTCTAAACAGTATATTATATTATTTTTTTCTTTTTGTCTTTTGAAAACAGAAGACTGCTAAAACAACTATGATAACTATGAAATGCATTCTACAGAACATAAAAACAGTTGTGTTGTTAAACGCAGTAAGAAAAAAAAGAATTTTATCAGAATCTCACTGTTCGATTTAAATCAAACAAGAAAAAGCTCTAAAAGTTTTGATCGAGTTATTCTATAGCGTGAAATATACACAGGTGTCCTTTTTATATTTGTTTAAATGTATGTGAAACATATACCGAGTACCTACCGAGGCATGACTAGGAAAAATGACTAAATAATCTGTATTTTTTTCATCTTCCTCTTCACCTTATATATGACTATATACATTACGCTCGATTTAACGCATTACTTCGGGTGATTTCAATTTTTTGTTTTTTTTAGAAAAAACAAGAAATTTTGTATGTGATAAAAGTGAGAAGAGATTTTTCATATTTTCAATCTTTGCTTTATTTAATGAGAATAAGAATTAAAAAGCCTTCATCACCATATTAACATGCTTCGCTTTGTTTTAGTATGTTACTTACGACATGTTGTCAATGATAATGGCTTACATTTGAAAGGATGGTAAGTTGAGTGAATAAATGAATGAGAAAAGAGAGAACCACAAGTCCTGCTTGTTGTCGCCTTATATATATATATATATCTTTTCTATGTGAAAGAGAAATGCAAAACCACTCACGTCATATACATGCAATAAAGAGACGCTACAAGAAAAGAAAGAAAAAGGAAAAAGACGACGAAGAATATTAGTGTTGTGAGTGGAGTTCCCTGATAGAAACAAACGTGAATGAATGCTAGCAATTATTTTTTCTTTTTGTCGCTACATTGTCGGTTTTTTTAACGATCTCATGTTTTTGCTTGATCGCTTATACTCTCGTTTCTAGATTGAGACGAAAGCAAATTATCATTAGAAAAAAATAGTAGCGATGATCAGACAATAGCAGAAAAAGTCTTACTCCATCCTTCTTTCTGGCATGTCTATTTTCTATTCATGTATCTTATCATTTATAATCAGTAATAACTTGCACATAACTATACAAAACAAGAACAACAACATCAACAACAACACTAAAAAGATACATTATGAGTCGTCTGGTACTTTTTCCTAAGTAAAAAATGCGACAAGAAAATTGCTTCGTGCTGCGACGAAGAACGAGCAATCAAATCATTTTAGAGTTCGCTATTTAAACAGGAATATAATTATCTAATTTGATACTATATGGATGAGAATTTCATATTTTATTCTTAGCCACATAATGCACGACGTTCTTTACTAACTATTTGCATGAGAGAGTATAATCGACGTTCCTTCATTTTTTTCTGACGCAGTTGGTCTGATTGTCTATTCATGTAAATTTTTTACACTACAAGGATTATATGGGAACATGCTAAATTATTAGTCCAAATATAATCAGTTCATGAATCAAATCATTTTCCTCTTTAGTGATATTTATACTAAAAATAAAATTATTTTTCTTACCAAAGAATAACCGAAGCTGATCACGCTTTGAATCTATCTAGAAACATTAAAAAAAAGATCTTTTACATATATGTAGAATAAATACTATCGATTTAATTCAAGAGCGATATAGAAAACTACAAATATTTTTTTACATTCATAATAAAGGTGATAGCCAAAATCTTAGTTCGGTAATTGACAAATAGGAAAAAAGAATGGCTACTACGAATAGCAACAAGCACCAGTTGGGCGCTGCATCCATTTACTTGTTCTTTCTATTCTATTTTTTTTTCTTTTTTCTTCAGCTTGGCAAAATTCTTCTTCATTTCTCGTCCTACTTGCGATGGTAGTTCTGCTTGCTTCTTACAAGACGGAGACCAATAAAGCAAGGAAATATATTAGCATAAATCAGGAAAAAGTAGAGAACGGAAAAAAGGAAAAAGCTTTTCTCAATTCTGTATTCTGATGTGGTTTTTTTTCTTTACTTCGAAAGAAACAGAACAAGAACCTCGGACGTAGCCAAGTCAGTACCAACTCTTCACATAGATCGTGGTGACAGGCCAAAAATTTGCGATAATTTCATCTTCATATAGATATGGAAAAGAACTAAACAGTATGTCTATTATAGACGTCAAGGCTAAACCAAAAGAAAAACAGAGTCAAGCAAAATAGAAATATAATTTCATTGTTTGCCTATTTTCTATCTATTCTATGATATATATATATATATTTTTTTTCTACTAACCCAGAAGTTTTGTTGAAATTTATATTAAATTAATAAATAAGAAATTAAAATGTTCCTATAGTTTACTAAATATATTGTAAAAATTGTTTTTTTTTATGTTTAAACCAACACAAGATATATGAAATTAAGAATTTACAATAATAAAAGGGACAACAACATTTAGTAGATATATTATTTTTCGAGTAGTTTTTCTCTTTTATGTCTTCACAGATATCTATCAAACTTCATTTTTTCGATATTTTCATTAACGTTTTTCTTATTTTTTTGTTTTGCTTAAGGTCAACATGTTTCTCTAGAAATAAAACTCAATCAACATTCATCTATAGAATATACTGAAGAAAAAAAGACTAAAGCTTCGTTTAACTAATATAAAAGAATCCTATTTTATTATTTTGAATGTTGTTTTAGACCCATCGACATTCGTAAACTATAAACTATAAAATACAAATATATCATTATTAGTCAAAAGCAAAATGATACTTAAGATAATTATCAAACATGACGAAGAAATGTTATTGAGAAAATAACAGATCAAGATCAATAGGAATATCTAAAAAAGAAAGAAAAAAAAATGTTCATTGTAATAATAAAAGACCCGAAATTAATTGAGTAGCCTTAGGATAAAAAGAAATTTTGTACTTGAATTATGAAAATATTTAATCATACGCATTATTTGTTTGACAAATTTGACCGAGAAAAAAAACTTCGCTATCTTGACAAACGTCTTAGTCGATCGAAAATAAGTAAAAACAAATGAATAGGATCCTATGAAGTAGAATTGATTGCTTATTCAGATACTTAAAACAATACAGAATGTATTTCGATAAAAAGAGAAAAAACAATGAGCAAGCAATATCATATAGATACATGTCTATGTCGTTTCTAAATAATAGTTTGATTTGATACTTCCTGAGCACATCATTAAAATAAGCTTTTATTTTTTTCATATACTTGCTTGTTTTAAAAAATAGACGCGAACAAAGCAAAAAAAACTAATTTCTTCAGAAACTTCTTACATTTCTCTCAAGCAAACTGGCTAATAATTTTCTTTTCTCAAATACGGAAAACTAGCTGACTAGACGAGTTCTCTTTATAGTCTCTTGTTACAGCAAGAATAGCTACACTAGTAATGGTAGTCTTGAATAGTTTCCTTTGGGAAATACTTAATCGAAAAATATGTATGCTGTTACTGGCAGTTGTCATCGATGAATAGGCTAAAAGACATTTCACTTTCCTCTTACCCAAAAATAAAAAAGACCGATCTTTTGTTGAAAATTATTTTCTTTTGTTGAATAACAAAACAAAAACAAAAATGAATAACAATCAATTATAACAAAGAAATAAACAACATCACTGGTTACTGTTGTTATTGGTTGTAGTTAATTCCAGAAATTGTCTTAATACATCAATTAAAGCACGTGGTAACATTTCCAAATTTTGTATTACTAAGTAATATGGAAACGGAAAACTATCTAAGTATGAACGAAATTCAACCTAAACGAAAAACAATTGAAATCATTTTTATAAATTATTTATTTTTTGCTTTTGAATATCTTCTTTTCTTACCTTATCACCAACAAACACAGCTTCATTGATTTGAAAAATCGATGATGATTTTTCATGATTTATATTATCAAGAATAACAAACACAACGAAAATATTTTGTGACATTGCATGGCGAACACTTTTTAATAAACGATCTTTACCCGATACAGTTAAACCACGACCATCGGATAAAATTATTAATAATTGTGATAAAGGATTTGATGTTTGAAGTTTTTCTTTATCAAATGTATGTGTTACTGATTCCATCAACTAAAAAAAGACGAACAAACAAGGTTATTATAAAAATGAGTAGACTAGTAAATTCAGCATTAAATTATCAACAACCTTGACATGTCAATAAAGATAATAAAATTTCTAAGGTTTTATTGTTTTTTTTCATAAATTTTTTACAACTATTCAAACTGTTAGAGAGGCTTTAAAAGAAACTAAATTTATAATCATATTAGAATTGAAGAAAATTTTGCCTATTTAATTACTCAAGCGTTGTTTTTTTTTGTTAGAGTATTGTAATACTAAGCAAAAAAGAAAAATCTTACATCAGCTAAAAGCGTTTTAGTTTGATCAAATTTTAATCGTTCAAGTACTTGAATACCATTTTGATGATTAAAGTTTTGACTTAATGGTTGTAACATTGTAATATATTGCCCAAATGAAACAATGCCAAACTGTCCAACATCTAATAAATTCAATGTTTGTCCAAGTAAAATTAATGATTCTAACGCTAAACGTTTAACTTGTAAATTATCCATCGATTGACTATCATCAATAGCTAATATTAATTGATATTGTCTTTTTGATGGTTTGGAACGTCTTAACCAAATTCGATCTTTACGAAAATCTGACGCTATATATGAAATAATACGTTTCATATTTAAACGTTTTCCAGTCCTATAATCTCCAGAATATTTCGATCTTTGCGTTGGTTCAAGTAAAAGACGAAGTTGTTCACATAATTCGAAAACATATGGTTGTGTTAAATTTTCTAACTGCGTCCAAAGTTGTTCAGCTTCTTTTGAATCATTTGATTTTTCATTTATATTCGTATACCATTCTTCTAATTGATATTCAATTTGTTCAGTTAAACTATTTGTTAAAGGTTTAACATTCGATAGATAATTAAATTGATGTTCAACTGTTGTTGTCGATATATAGGGCTTTTCAATTGAAATCATTTCATTATTTTCATTGGTTTCTGATGTTAATAATGGTTGATCATGAATAGATGAAGATTTTGGTTTTTGTATTGGCTCTTTTTGTAAAGTTGATGGTTTACCTTGTTCCTTTTCGTCCTCTTGTTGATTATCAATAATCATTGGTTCGACTTGTTTTGTTTCAAGATCATCTTTTTCATTAAGATTTTTTGTTTGTTCTTCTGTTGCTGAATCAAGAATTTGTTTTTGTTCAGGGAAATGTTTTGGAATATTTTTAGCATGTGCATAGATTTGTGTTTGTTTCTCATTTGAATTTTGCTCTAGACTAGGTAAATCATCGTCAGGATTATTATTATCTTCAGTTTGTTCAAGATCAAATGCTGCTTTTATATTTTGATCAATAAACGATGCTATTTCACTTAATGTTCGTTGTTCATTTGATTGATTTGATGATTTATTTATATTATCTGATTTAAGATCATCATTTAATTCTTGTGTTAATTGATTTTCTTGATTCGAAGATATCTGTTGAGTTTGAGAGGTTTGTTTTGATGACGACTCACCAACATTTTCTTTTCGATCTTTTTCTTTTTCTTCTTCAAATGTTTCGGCATTTGCAAAGCTTTGTTGACACTCATTTGGTTGATTTTTTGAATCAGCAGTTGAACTTTTATCTTGAGTTAAAGCTGATTGTTCAAGTTTTTCTTGCTCTTGATCAGGAAGATTTTCTGGCAATTCAGTTATCTGATTTGTTTTCAAATTATTATTTTCGTCATCGCCTTCCGGTTCATCATTGCTATCTTTACTTTCTTCGTTCGGTAAATTAATATCTTCATCTTCAGGTAAATTTAAATCATTTGGATTTTCTTCGATGTTTTCTTCTTTTTCATCATTACCATCTAAATCCATATTTTCTGGAAGTTCTAACATTTCTTCTTCAGAATTTAAATCAGTTTTTGCTGTTTCTGGTGGTTGATCTTCATAAGTATTATCATTTGCTTCAAGATTTTCATCAATTGATTCTTCAGCCAAATCTAATTGTTCATCTTTCGCAGATAGGCCATCCCGTTGTCGTTTGTCTTTACCAGATGATTTATCAGTTTCATTTGGTTTCTAGAAAAATAATTAAATGAAAATAAAATATCATTCGATCTATTACTTTGACGAGAAACAGTAATAATTAATTGAGAATGAAAAAATCATAGATTTGATTCTTTTGACGAGACATAATTATTCATCGGAACTTTTGATATATTATAATGTTTGATGAAAAATAATCAATTTCAAATGAAAACAAATCAGTTTCTCAAAATTTTACAATCGATTTCTCGATCAAGTAAAATTTATATTTCAGACAGATTTCAATGAAATTTCATAAGAAATCTTGATTTTTTTTCTCTATACGAATTTTCTGACAAACAACTAAAATCCTTGAATGTTTCGTAATAAGATATCACTAAACTTTAATGATTACTATCACTTTCCATTCGTGTCTGTCTAAGAGTTCTATAGAGAATTATCAGTAACATAAAATAACAATGTACTTTATTCTCTCTGCTAAAGCAAGTATAGATTTGTTGTTTCTCAAAACTTTTACTTAAGAAATATGACATTGAAATATCAATATTTTTTCAATAAGCACATGAGCAATTGAATTAAACCTTCAAGATTGACTTATAGGATGCATGCGAACAAAGACTAAGGCAACATTGTAAACAGAAATGTCACAAAATAGTATGATTTTATTTGATATCTAATAGATTTATCCACATAAAAAGCTTCTTATTTTTTGTTATTAACATTTTCCGATGCAACGACAAAGCGGCTTATATGACTAAGAAAATAGTTCATTAAAAATAAAATAAACCCTTACATTTTGATCTTCTTCTTCTTCTTCTTCGTCTTTGTTTTTCTCATCACCCCATTTTTTCTCATCAAATATTTCTCCTTGGTCATCTTCATTAACATCCCCCATTTGATCATCGATATTATCATCATTTGATTCACTTTCATTCTCATCTTCTTCATCATTTTCTTCTTTGTCTCTAAAATAAATTAGAAAAAATTTTCATACTTTGTTAACGATTTTCGATTAAGAAAAACAAAATGAAATTTACTCATTCGATGGATTTTCCATGAGTGCTTCAAAATCAAATGAAACGTCAATGCCATTTTTTTCATCATCAACACTTTGTTGTTCATCTGAGTTTTTCTCATTATCTTGTTCTTCTTGTCCAGGCATTTTTGCTTCATCTAATTGATCTTCGGTTTCAATTTGATCCGAAACATCTTTTGCATCTTTATTAATTTGTCCTTCACCCATTCCTGATGGTCCGCCTTCACTCTTTTGTTCTTGATTATTTGTATCTTGTTCTGTTTCTTCTGGCGGCATTTGAAAGCCATCACGTAGTAAAGTTAAAAATGTATTACTTAATGATAAATAGATTTGTAACGTACAATGGTGATAATATATAAAACGATATAGTATTTGTTCACTTAATAAATGTATTTCGTTAAAGAATACGATTGATTTAGGAGTTATTGTTTTTGAAATTATTTTTGTTAAATGCAAAAGATCTAATTGATTTATATGATTATTAAAATAATTATAGTAGTGAACAAGCCACATTGATGATGAAGAATCAACTGTTGGAGTATTCGAATGTAAATTATTGAGACCAGTAATTAAACGATTTTTATAACGTTTTAACGGTTTAGAATTGAACGATGGAGTTGCTTCTAAATCAAAATGTATATTATATAATTGAATTCTATGTCTGATGATTTCAAAGTTTCGAAAAAGCTTCTTCGAAAAAAACACCCATGTAATCTTATTTTCATCAGTCTAGAATTTCAATATAGTCGCATATACATTTGAAGAAAGAAGAAAAAAAACAAGATTTTCATTCTTTATTAACTATTTAAATGAATCTAACAATGAGTACACAACACAACCTTGAAGAATCACCGAGACTGATGAAGTATAATCGATATTAAAAAACTTTTCTTTTCACTCAATCGAATTGGTTCTGGTTCGTTACATAACCTCGGCTTTAGCAATTCTAATCCAATTTTCGATTCAATATCTTGTTTCAAATTAAAATTGTTTTTTAGATTGATTTTATTAGGCTCGTGTAGTTTCAAAATTAATTTTGATACAACTAGTAATGAAACTTTCTTTGAATAGAAAATTGAGAAAAAAATCAGTTCGATCACGATGACTTCTTTCGATGACACCTATTCTCACTGGAAGTTTGATAATTCAACAAGAAAAAGCTTCATGAAATAGTCAGTCTATCATGTTGAGAAGTTTCAACAATTTTTGAACACTAGTTTCAAATTCGATGAAATTTAAAAATAAATGGCTAGGTTGAAAGAGTTCATAGGAAAAGATTAATTAGATTATAAACTTCTTGTATCCTTAAGCTAAACAAATTTAGAAACAAAACGAACGTACTGTCATCAATCAAGACTTCGGTTTTAAAACGACGGAGAACAAGGTCGAATTGGTTTCGTTGACTTTAAATTGGGCTCAAACATATGAGAACAAAGTATATTGATTTTGTTTCTTCAATATGTCAGATCTATACCTATTATTCGAATACTAGTTGAAATAGTATTCAAGTTCTCTATAAAAATCTATTCTGTATTCTATGTAAGAATTTTATATATGAATGAATTGCGCTGACATTATACGGTTGCTATGCGAACACGAAAGATCTTATAACTCAACTTCTACTCAATCGATTTGGACAATTGTTTTGTTGAAATGTTCCACTCAGTCCGTCCTACTCACCATAAAATTATCGAGGTGTTTATTTGCGTGGTAAGGATTTTTCAAGCATAAAAGATCATTACGAAAGCTGTTTGACAGGATCTATCGACAGAAATTCCTTTTTATATCCTACAACTCTGACTGAATAAATAGATTTTTTTACGGAAGCTGGCAGCTCAGGTTCTCCTCTTTTTAACTATATAAAGTAATCTTAATTTCGATTTTGATTTCGTGATCAAATCTTGCAAAAATATGAAAGCATACACTTTGACCATTTTTTGTCACAACAGATTAAATTATAACTACTAAAGACTACTTAAAAGCTAACTCAAATTTCTTTTTTTGTGTTTGATAGAGCAAAGAGCCAGAAATATTTTGATTAAAAAATAAATTAAAAAAATATTCACGATGAAACAAAAAAGTAAAAATAAAACAGATTGGTAGCTATGTCGCACTAAATGTCACGACAGATTTCTTATTTTGACTTTTTGATTTCCCGCTAACTATAAGAGATTAATCAATGATGTTTTTACCATTTTTGACTGAGTATATGGTACATCTATGATAAAAAGTTGAGCTGTTAACTAAGTGTCGTTCGCAAGAAAATAGCATTTTACTGAAAAAATGTCACAACAGATTAATATGATAGATATTCAGAGAAAATATGATATCTTTTCATCTTCTTTTACTTCTCTCGACTCCTCTCGACTGAGAGACATTACTAGACATTTCATTGTTATCGCGAAACAATGTTAAAAAGAATTTCGCTATAAAGCGCGTTTCTAAAAAAGTTATGCATTTTTAATAATAGCAATCGCATTACATTCCCGAAAATGCATGAATAATACATGCGAGTAAAATTCTGCACATGTCTCGTGGATTCCCCGATTGCAAACGATTTGTTTCATCTATGATAACCATGTAAAAACATTTTACTCATCATTTTTTTTTGTCAAGAAATCTCGGACCTTTCATATATTTTGAGATCTCAATTTCCTCGGAAATGGAAATCCTGACAGTGGAGAAAATAGTTGACTCATATGCAACAAATAAGGTTCAATCGAATGCACGGTCCAAATCTATCCTCTGTTTACTTTAATTTTTTCCGATTTTTTTCTTCAAACCGTATTCCAGATCGATCAAAACGGACCACCGTAAAATTACCGTAAACGGTCGTTTTTGCATCGTACTCCGTCGTAAAACGGCCGTTTTAAGCCGAATTAAGGCGTTTTAACAGGGGCAGTATTACGGTCATACACGGACACCGTATATCAGCCGTAAAACCTCGTAAAGCCGACGTAATATTATCGTATTCTATAGAACATACGGCCGTATTACTGCCCCTGTTATACGGGGAAAATACGGCACGCAAAACGGGCCGTATTTGTATCGTATACGACCGTTTACTGATCGTTTTCTTCGACCGAGGATAATGTCAGCGCAATTCATTCATATACAAAACTATTAGAATAATGTCTCAAAATATGTGTAAGAAGAGTCTTCAAAACGTTTTTTTGCGATATTTATGTAAAAACTAATCAAAATCCTTAAGTGAAAATTATTTTACATTATTACTAGGAAAAAAAGATTTTGATTTGCTTTATGTTATTCTTATAACTATACAATAGAAAATCGTAGAAAATGCTGTTACATAACATACTATTCTAAATTTCACATTCTTTAAGATGAAACACAATCAAAAGAATTTTCAAGGATTTAAAAAAATATGAAAACTATTCTATTAGAATCCTACGAAAGATTTTCATCTGAGTTCATCTATGAAATTTGTGTACGTAAATCACTTGATGAAAAACTTTATCGACGATGATAATAAGTATTTGACTTCAACTTGGTTGGTTACTTATTTAGGAAAAATATATCAATCGAAAATATTTGAATAGAATATTATATTCGTTTAACTGTTTTTAATATTTGATTAAGATAGTGTGTTCTACGAAAATTTAATCTGAGATAATATAAGATAAAAAAATGTCAGAATGTTCTCTACTAGCAGCTGAAAGTTGAAGGTCGTAAACTGTTGTTCATGTCGAGTTAGTAAACTTGTGTTCATCACTTTTCAATTCTGACGTAATGACATCAATTTAAACAATGATGAAGATCGTCATATGAGGTGTTTTCAGCGAACGATTGATCTATTCATCAACATCAAAATTATTTGTTCTGCAAAATATCTATTTGTTTATTCTCGTATGAAGAAAAAAGTTGAAGAAAAAAGGAATGTATCTCAATCAATTAAATCAACTTAAAGAATAGTTGACTTTGAGTAAAAACTTCTCGTCATTAAAAATAATTTCGAACCTTTATCTTGATTTATAAGATTGATTTGAGAAAATTGTTCATAAACATCAATAAAATTCTTTGCCAACTGTCCAATAAATTGATCATTAGGAAAAATATTTTCATCGATAAATAATTTTTGAATAACATTTTGAATTTGTTGTTTAGTTAAACATATTTCTGAATGTAAAGAAAAAATTTCTTTTAACACTGGATGATAATCAATGATATGATCATAAAACTTGTTTAATGTCTCAATTAATAAATTCAAACGTTCTAGAAATTTTTCTAATAAATCAATAAAATCATTTGAATTTAATAATTGAATATAATTTGGTTTTTGATCAATAATTGGAATTTGCTCAATAGAATTTGATGGAATTGATCGAATAATTAATAAAAATGAATAAATACGTTCAACTAATGAAATTGTAAAATGATACAGTTGATCAATAGAATGATTATTATTTAATGAATATTGAAAATTTCGTTTTGAATAAATTGAGAATAACTTTGAAAATTGTTGATATTGCTCAATAAATGAATGTAAAAGACTTTTTTGTTGAAATATAATTTTAATTAAATGTTCCAAAAATCCTTGAATACGTTGAAAAATAATTGGATCTACTTTATTTATTTGTACTAATAAACGTAATTGATTATGTTGATAAATTGTTTTGTAATAATTAAAATCTGTTTCTTGATAAATAGAAGAAAATTTTTCTAATACATTTAAACGATTATCAATAATTAATTTTTTAGTTTTAGTTTTAATAAAACCATAAGTTTTTCTATTTAAATCAATATCAAAATATTTCATTTCAATTGTTGATAATGAAAATGATGTTTGAGAATTAATATTTAATAAACCTTTTTTAAATGATAAACCAATTGTTGTTAATTTTTTAAATAATTGTGTTATTAATTGACGTTTTTCTGTGTATAATTGTTTTATTTCTTTACGATCATTGGTTCCAATTTTCATTAAATTTATATTTGATGAATATTCATTTATTAAATTACTATCATTTTTCATATAATTAGTAAATATATGATAATTATTTTTATCAACTAAAATCGTTTTTAAATTAATTAAACGAAAAAAATCTTCATTTTTCGTTAATAAATAATTAAATTTTATTTGATACGTTGGGAAATATTTTTGAATTGAATCCAATAATGATTGTTTATATTTTTTAATTGATTTAAATAGAAATCTATGTGATTTATCAATTGATTGCTTTAATGAATAATAATTTGTATCTTTCCATTGTTGAATTTTAAAAAATTTTTTTATTTCATTTTCAATTGGTTTTCTTATTGCATTAATTTGATTTTGTATGAATTCTTGAAATTGTTTATAATAACTAATTATTGAATTTAATATTAATATATTATCATTATTAAAATATTTCGAAAGTATTTCACATAATTCTAAACGTATTAGAAAATCTCCCAGTGTTGATTTTTGAAAAAATTCATGAAGATTTTTTTCTAATAAAACTAAACTATTTTCTGAATTAATCAAACCAAATAAATGTAACCACCAGTTTGTTATTGTTAACTTTCTTTGATTATAATCAATCATTGATAAACTTTGTTCATAACAATTAAATTCATATTTACGAAATTCTATTATATATGATGTTAACATATTTAATTCATTAGTATATGTCGTTTGAAGACTTTTTGATGCATATGTTTCTTGCCAATAAGTTAGTTTATGAAATAAAATATCAAATCCATAAAGGAATTTTATCAATGAACTTTCAATTGAAAATGATTTAAGTCGTTGAATAACAAGAAGAATTTCAAGCAGTGTTGGATGATTTTCATGAGTTTCTAAAAGTTGATTTGTACGTTTCTCAATTGAAATAATCAATGAATATGATTCAATTATCATTGAAGATTTTGAATCTTGATAAATATCAAATGGCTTATTTAAATTTGTTATATATTTGGATAAAGTTTCTTTAGATTTTATCGATAAACGTATCATATGAGTTATTAAACGATCGTCTTCACCAAATTCATATAAACTATTAAAAAATGGTACGACAAGATTGTTTAAAGCAATTTTTTCATTATATATTATGGAAGAAAATTGTTCAAAGATAAGATAGTATGGAAGCACTGATAATTTTGATGGTTTTTCTTCGACTGATTTTATTTCTTCATTTTCAATCTTTTCGTTTGATGCAAGAAAATCAATAAAATCCGAATCAAATGATGGAAATAAACGTTGATATTCGTAATCATCTTGTTCGCTCTCAAGTTCACTTGCTTCATGACGATAAATACTTGAGGATAAACGTTTTTCTTCTTCTACTTGACGTTCTTCTTCAGACCAAAGATAATGAACCGTTTCCAAATATGAATGTAATAGCTGATTAAAATCTTTTGATCTATCGTGATTTATATGAATATAAACAACCAAATATTCGATTATCAATATAAAATACCTAAAAAGACACAACTATGTATTAACCATAAGAATTTTTAACTTAGAATTTATATCAATGATTATGATTTCTATCAAAATAACTGAATTATCTTTCATATCTATAGTTTCGATGTCTTTTCAAAATTAAAGATCACTTTTGAATTCAGACATTGCAATATAATATGGCATTTGGAAAGTTATAAAAAAAAAGCTAAAATTGACAGAATTCCTACGTTTCTCTTAGAAAATTGATCGTTATTTTATTGCTAACCTTTTGTAAGATACGTATAAAAGATCTTTATGATGACATATGGATGTAAAATAGTGCCTACAGATAAATATACTTTTAATGACATGGTCCGAAGATTTCAGCTCAAAGCAACATTCTATTGACATGATATTTAATCTTACGGGAAAAAAATCTTTAATCTTTCTTAGAATATGAAATCAATTTTTCGAAATTGAGTATCTAAGGAAATGAACATAGTTTTGGGTAGAAAATTTTCAGAGGAGTCTGCAACGAAATAGATCTATCTCTGGGTACAATTCCAGGTCAAAATGTCATCATTCAATGTTTATATATATATATATATATGCTAGGATCGTATATGAAACTTTAGCAAAATGCCTATCGATTTGTATGAATTCTCTAAAAGCTCATATTCATCTAAGTAATTTTATTTATAATTGTTGTTCATCTGACACACACCGTTGAAATTTAAAAATAATCTTTACTCTAAGACACTGTTTTCTTTATTTTAATGAGACTCCAATACTATTCTGTTGCTTTCTCTCTTCTGATAAGATACCGTTTTAATTGAAAAACAATAATTAGACGTTAATGATATTATTTAACATATATTCTCTTCAAGTATTTGGTTTTCTCTTTGTTAAATTCAAATGATCTTCTCAGATACATCATTATACTGAATTAAGATCCTTGTTGTATCCATGATTAAAATTTTATAAAGAACAATTTGAAACTTTGAGGATATAAAAAAAAATCGCTCTCAAGAAAATAATTATCAATGAATACGATGAAAAAGCTCTACTCTTTTGATTACGTTTTTGAATAAATTATTAATCTTAACAAACTCTACAGAGTTTGTAAATAAAAATTTGCATATTATTTCTATCGAACGCTATGGATGAAGTGCTTAATTCACTACAAGATTCAATTACACATCTGAAATATTTTCTCGGGCACAAAATCATCGCTGACATGTGCGTAGTAATGACATTATATGTTCATCGAAATGATGTTAACGATTCGTTTATAAACTCAACAAATTTGATTTAGTTCTCATTCTTTTTTTTTTGTTATGATGTAGTTGTATAAATCATACTTCGCACTACGCTAAACATCTCCATCAGACGATTGCAGAAGACTTATTCTATCGATGAATACAACTCAATTAGAAGACTTTTTCAAAAACATTTTCTATGACTATCTCCGATCGATAATATGAGTAAAAAAACAAATTGTTCTTACTGCCTAAAACGATCTGTTGCCATATTTTGCTGAACAAATGTTCGTTTTTGAAATAAATCTTGTGCAATATGTAATAAATTATAATGATTTAGTCCACTTGGAAAAAGACAGTCATTAAAAATCTTTTTGTTATTATCATTATTTGATTGAAAATGATAATCAAAAGCCAAAACAATTTGAAAAACTTGTTTCATTAAAGGCATAGTAACATCTCTATAAATATAAAATTTATCTGATAAAATGAAGTTTTTATAAAATTCCACAATATTTTTTCTCCATTGTTGATAAATTTTCTTTTCATTTCTGTTATAAATTTGTTCAATTAAAAAGTTTTTATTTAATAAATTACTAATTAATTGCTTGGTTAAATAATTCATTAATAATTGATATTGTTCATTATTAAAACGATAATAATTATATTGTTCAATATCTAATTGATTCATAATGATTTTCATTTGTTTTTCCCATTGATGAATTGAAGTATTGAATGAATATTCATATTTTTGTTGACATTCAACTCTTAAATTAAATTCAAAAATTATTTCTGATTGAAATTTTAATTTATAATCATTTATGATTTGTTCATAAATAATCGGATCGATTTCACCACGTGGATAAATTAAATCAATTTTATTTAAACTTTGCTCAATTAATTCTAATGAAAGATTTTTTAATTTATTTTCTGGATTATCTAAACAATTTCGAACAAATTCTTCTAAATTTGATCGATTACATTGAAGAAATGAACCGTTTAACCAGAAAAAGTTTGACCAAAAATTAATTTGTTGACGAATTTTATCATATAAACCAAATGGAACATTTAGTGAATGAATATTAAAATAGTATAACAATGATTTTGTATTTGGTTGTTCAAGCCATTTTTCAATATAAATTTCGTTGATTGATGGATTTATTGAATAAGATATTAATTGGCAAAAATATTCATCGGGATTTTCATTATTATTAAATGGAATTGATAAAGAAACAAAAGGTAATATTAATGAATTTTGCTTTAAATATGAACTTATCCATTGATATTGATAACTAAGAATTGATTCAAATGTATTATAAAATAATATATCACGATCGAATATAGTTGAACTATATTTCAATTCATTCCAACTTGTTTCTATTTCTTTTAGAATAGTTAAATCATTTTCCTAAATAAAATTAACAAAAAAAAAGAATTTTTCATCTTAACTTCTCTTGTTTTGTACAATCAAATTAAAATAGAATATAACCAATTTCGAATGCTATTCTTTTCTAATATATCAATTTTTGGCGTCGTTAATTTTCTAGTATATATTTAAAATGAAGCCGAAATAACTCAGTCAATTAATTCTAACTGCATTCTTAAAAAAGAACATAGGCACAGTTCTCTTTAGACTTTTTTTAGCCTCATTAATACTTATTTATAGATAAAATTTGAATCAAAATAATGAAAATTTAGTTCGAATAGTTTTCTTGTAATAAAACTACAACTTAAATTTCAAATTTTTCTCTATGATCACAAACGGTTTCGTTTTATTTCTATAATTTAAAACAAAAAAGTGTTACTTTTTTTATTTTTAAAAGGATTTGAAAAATCGCATTGTGAACAATTCTTTTCTACGTGTTCTATTCGATACATTTAGTTACAGTTTTATTTTTATTGCTAACGAAATGTAACTATATTAAAATCATTATTAGACTAATAGGACACTTGCTCAGATATTTCAAATAAGAAATCCGTAACTTTTACTTCAATAAAGCTTACTATTTGAAAATATGGACTCTGGCAATATTGCCTTTCTCATAATACTTCTTTAAGACTATGATCGACAGAAAGACAATTTGAAAAGTAATCCGATTCGACTTCGTCCCTTAAAATGACTCATCGCCTTTTTCTTACGCTTGCCCCAACTGTTAGCCTATGAAAGAAAAACTGATGCCATCTGTCTTCGAGTACATCCATCTTATTACTTTCGAAAATCAAGAATATCAATCACGATCAGCGTTCTTCATAAAAACTACCTCTATTCATATTTTTTATTTCTGCAAGTTTTTTTTTATTCGCTTTTAAATTTTGTTTCTTATCGTACGCTGTAAAATAAGTGGCAGAAAATGTCGATTCTTGTGTTTTTTTTCAAAAAAAAGCCGTTGTCAAGCAGAAAATATTCATCTACCGAAAATAAATATTCTTATTAATTAATTTTTGGTTCGCGTTTGTGAAAAAAAAATAATATGATGAAGAGATCAAAAATAAAACCATATTAGAGTAATTTGGCAATTTCAAGCGAACCAAATTAACTTGTTTCTACAAAAAAAAACTTAATGTGCATATCTTCATATGTTTGAAGAAGTGACTGAATATGGTTTTTGTCTCCCACATATTATTAATGAATGATAAGAGTAAATGAATTCTATTACTCGAAAAGAAAGGAAAACATTTGTTACAAGAATTTGTTTATCCGTGCGATACAAATATTAATATTTTGCACTATTAATTGTACTTTTTATTTTGTTCTGAAATAATCAATTTATTATATATGCGATCATGCCCACAAATTCTACTAGCTCAATATTATTAGAAAATATCAGATACGAAATATATGACATGATTTTATTTCATGAACAAGCATTCGTAATTATCAAGACCAAAAACAAAACAGTCGATTATCTATGATTTTTAATCAAGTAAAAATTAGAATATTTAGATTACCTGAGATTGATTTAATTGTTGAAAACAACGAATCAATTGTTTATCATAATGAAACCAATATTGTAAATATTTTTCTAAATTTTTCTCTGTTTTATTATTAGAAAACAAATCAATTTGATAAAAAACTTGATAACGTTGACATAATAAATCATATTCATATTTTGTTTTTATCAAATAATGTGCTTGATTTTGATAATGATTATAAAATTGAAAGAATTCATTCTGTATAGACATATATTGCTCATCAATTTGTTTTATTTGTTCAATAAATAATGAGTTTTCATTATAATTTGAAAATAGTGAACGCACATAAGGCCATGCGATTATTAAATGAAGGCGACGATTTATTAAATTCGATGGAGATTCAATTATCGATAGAAACCAACGCCATGAACGATAGTGTGAAAATGATAATTCATCATTATTAATGAAATCGAATCTATTTAAAGAAAATTACTTTCGACGAAATCTCCGAATAATCGATTGTAGTCAACTGCATTTTTCATCGTTTATCATGAAATAAACGGGAAAATGATCAATATTGAATTTTAATCTCTATCATCGCACAATGCAATGTGTATATGGTCATAGAAAGTCCGTTTAAGTACAAAATATTTACATTGTAGACTAATATAATGTTTTATGATCATGTTTAGTGAAAATACGATATACTCAAGATCTCAACACAATGAGCACACTCGATTATATGGTCATCAACAATAGACTATACTGGCGTTTCTAAGATTTTACGATTATTAATAGCTATAAATTCATAGTTTGCAGAGACAGTATTATGATCATATTTCACTGTATTTTAAACGGTTAAATACTAGATTTTCAACGATGTACATCACGATAAAAAGAATTAGAAGAATAATTTAGCATCCTCGTTTGAGATTTGCCGTGAATAGTAATGATTACTTTAGCACATTTAGGCACTGTGGACTTGAGAAAATTAAGCTACAAACAGATTTTATTATACCGCTATTAACTGTTAACGTATAATACTGTTTCTCACTGATCGGAATGGTTGACCTTGAGCGTTGTATACGATACTATGCTACAGTTTGTTTTCTTACTAAATGCTAGTGTAAACAGAAAAAAGGACGAATACTTTTCATCATCGACTCAGTCTTACTCATTTCTATGCGATAAATCATTGCCAGATGATATCTTTATCAAACACGATCATAAAATGTTGATCAAATTCTATGATAAAACAGAGTACATCAAATATCTGTTTGTGATTTCTTATTAAATGTATTGTTCGTGAAAAGATTTTTATGCAAAATAATAAAAACATACATACGAAGATAAAGCTCGAATGAAATATTGTTTCATTAATAACCAAAATTGTCCATCACTATTTTCAAAAAATAATTCTTCGTCAGTAGACTGTGATTTGATAACTTTTTTTAATTGTTTATAAATCGAATCATGTTCAATTAATATTCTTAATAATAAAAAATTATTATTATCACTATTCATTTCTTTAACAAGATTAATTAAATTTGCTTGTTGAGAATGTCTATAAGAAAATAAATCATATTCAATTGATGACGATGATGATGATGAAATATTTTCAATAAAACGATAAAATAATAAATGAAATTTTCTTTTATCAGTTTTTAATGAACAATTCCAAAGTGGAATATTTTGTTTCATGGAAAGTACTAATTCTGGTTGTAAACATAAATCATTGATTTGTGTTGGTGAAATAATAAAATTGGATGATACAGTATTCGAAGTAAATTCATCAACTAATAAATCAATTTCATTATTTAAACGTGTGTTCAATGTACGATAAGCTGTTTTTATTGCCAATCGAAATGGTTCATTTGATGAATGAGTTAATTCATTGAATAGTAAACATGATCGAATTAAATTATGGAAACCAAATGTTGATACTGAAATAAATTTTTATTATAGTTTCACATGTAAGATGATTTTAGTGAAATTTAGACAACTATTTACAATATCTAACTACGAGAATGATCGATTAATTTTCTTTGCCTTTATATTTGAATAGAAAAAGAATGATATGCCAATAATTCAATTTTGAAATGTTGCGTTGTTAATTAAATAAAGACAAAAAAAAAGAATTTATCGAAATCATCTTCGTATACTTATCCTCGATCGGAAAAGATTACATCAATTGAAGGACTCATCTTACTCTTTAGTCGGAAGAGATGAACATTTTTCTATTTAGTAGATCAATGTCAATTGATCATTATAGATTTTTCTAGCAAAATAAAACATTATTTTATGAAAGATAATTAAAAGTAATAAGAAACATTTGAACGTAAGTGAGATACGAATCTTTGCTATATATGATAATAATGGTTTCATGTGTTTTTTTCCTTTTTGAAAAACAGACCATTGAAATCTATGTGTCATTGCAATTTATGTTCAATTCGGATAAATAAACTGTGAAAAAGAAAACAATGTTAAACCTTTTTGACAAAGTATTTGATGAATTCGAATGAAGTCTTCTTGTTGTTGTGTTTGATAAATTTGACAAACTTGTATTAATTCTTTGGAATCATAATAATTAAATTGTTGTTGATCATCAATATAAATTTCACAGCAACGATTTCGCATAGCTCGTGATATTTCTCCATTACCTTGTTTAGGATCCATTGTTAAAATAAGTCGAAAATCTTTATGTGGTTTAACAAGAGAACCTTGTCCACCACCTTCATTCAATATGAGTTGTCCATTTGGTTCTAATAATGAATTTAAACGATCTAAAACACTCAACGAACATGTATTAACATTTTCAAGTATTAACCAATTTCCTTGACGCATCGAACGAATTAAAATTGATTCAATCCAAACAAAATGTTGTTCTTGGCAACATTTTGATATTAATTTATCGATTTCATTCGATGGTAAATGTTGTTTCAGTTCATTTAAATATTCAATAGTAATTTCTTTGCTTTCATTATTTAAATCATTTAATAAATTAATTTGATTATTTTTAATATATTCTTGTTTTAATAAATTTAAATGATGTCTTGCATATTGTTGAAAATTAAATTGTTCATAATTTCCTAATAATTCATTTGTATCGATTGAAGAATTCAATTCAAATGTTTGACATGGACGACCGCATAAACATGATAGTAAATGAATTAATGTTGATTTTGATGAGCGTGATGATGGACCGACAAGAAGAATTGGCCATGATAATGATAAACATTCTAATATTGATGATATACTTTCTAATTGATGGCGCATCAATAGAATTGGATGGGTAGATGATAGTGTTGGAAGACGAATTGATTCACGTAACCATTTCTTTGAACCAATCTAAATGATTTTGAAATTTTTAGTTATATCTATACGTAGCTATATAAGATATCTATTATGAACATAATTCGTAGAAAATTCAAAATGAAAGAAACAATCTTACTATTATTATATATCACAGGTAGAGTACGGTTTTCTTTTTATTGTTTGACAAATTTCTTCATCAGTTTTCTATTTAGTCTTCTAGGATTGCAATAAAAAATTCATCTGTCAATGATCTGTCACTGTTGGTGATGAAGTGTGGAGAAGAAAGACGGAAAAACGTTACTAAGGCATCTGTCATGGTCTGTAATGTTTCCATGGTGATAATGTCTGTCAGAATCAGTGACAGAGGAAGAGAAATGCCTAAGAATACACTCATTCTTGAAAATTCATTTCAATAATGACTGTTTTTTAATAGTGAGAAATCATAGTTCTCTCTACTGTTCGTAATAAAAATTTTGCCTAGTTTTGATTGTTCTATTGGACACGATGATTAGATTTGTTCGAATCGAAGCATGTCTATGTCGAAATTCAAGATTTTTCTGAGTAAATTTGATCAATTTTGCAATTTATACAAAGATTTCAAAGTAATCAAATTCAATCATTGCAAATTAAGCATGTTCAAGATGTATTGATAGACTTTGAATGATTAAGCTAAGCCATTTTTAAATGTGTGTATTTTCAAGAATATATTTTTACGATGAAGATTTCAATGAAAACGGAAGCATGAAAGATTCGAATGTTCTTTATTATCGACTCTTCGAATAGAAAAGTAAATTACCTGCAATGTTTTCGAATCAATTTTAAAATGAACTTGAATTGGTTCAATATTCCATTCAGTTGTTTGTTGATATATTTGTCTAGTAAGATCTTGATCTTTCTTTGTTCTCATACGTTTAACATAGATTAAATCAAAAGCTTTATATTTGTTTTCATTATTTTGTTCAAACATTTCACACCATTTTAATAAATCTCGTAAATTAAAATCATATTGACTATTATTAAATTCTTGTTGAATTTTTTCATTAAAATTTAACATTCTATCAATAATATCGTCAGGAATCTTTTCATATAATTGCTGACAGATTATTTTTAAATCAATTTTTTCCAGTACAGAAAAATAAATGGTTGTAAAACGATTTAAAAATGATTTTGGTAAACCTTTTCGCCCACTAACTTGTCCATAAGGATTTTGACATGCAAATATACGCAATGGTATTGATGTATCTTTATCATGAATATAAAATGTTCGATTTAATTCAGGAATGTAAATTTCACCTCGATGATCTAAACATGCATTCAATCCTTCTAATACCGATTGATTTGCTAAATTAAGCTAAAACATAAGTAAAAAAAAACAAGATTATTTTTTATCAAAATTACTATTTAATTCAATAGAACTATTGTTTACTTCAAAAGATAAACTTTTGAAAAGATTTCTTATGGTAATTCTAAAAGATTTTCTCCTGTTTTAATATAAACAAAGAAAATTTCTCTAATAGAAATTAGAATAGAACGACTTTTTAGCACACCAATCATAGATCAAGTTATGATATCTTGATAAAAACGTTCTACGCACACTCTGATTCTAGAGAATGTTAAAATGAAAATTGATTTAAATCATGTTCTGAAATTACTTGAAATATGATATAATTTGATGGGAAATGTAGGAGCTGTTGTATGTGGTATATTCTTATTACTTCACACGTTGTCAATATGCATCGAAGATGGAAACGGAAGAGGAAGATAGAAAATGATGTTAACATCATCTTTAACATAAAAAACTGCATTAGAATTTGATGGTATATTTCTGTTTTAGGACTATGCCTTTTATTAAACATTTTGAACAAAAAAGGAATTTTTCGAATGAATAAATTCATGCGCATGAATTCACCATGTGTTCTCTTACGAGAAAATTACTTGCATCTATTAACCGTTGTGAAGTTTCTATATTTATCATAGATAAAAGATCTTGAAATATTACTATCTTTGTAATGAATCGCGTGTACATTGATTCGTTCTGTAATTACACATGTTAAAATGAAGTTTTGACCCATAGCAAAGCATCTTTTACAAAGTACAGCTAAGGAATATTGGCATGAAAAATTCATGTTAGCATATAGATCGAGTAGATACTGAAATTTCAAGCAAGAAAAAAGATAAAACGATGAATTAGGATGTAAAAAACATATTTAGACAATTATTAAAAGCTTTGTTAAGCATTAATAGGGTTAAAATCATCGTACTAGACAGTAAGTAGTACTTCAAAGAAGATCACTTCATAGAATACATTCAACGCTGTTATAACACAATAGTTGAATATAGATGAGTATACTTTTACAGAGGATCAAGAACAAAAGAAACGATCTACTATCTGCTTCATCGTCTAAAAGTAGAAATAGTTACTTAGTATTATTTTGGTATCACACCGTTTTTGCTAAAGAACGTACGTATATAAGATCGTTTTTTCCATCTTCAAATTTTTTTAAATTTTCTTTGAGTTGAAATCGTTCGAGTGGTGATGTGGAGTAAAATGCTTAGCTCACCAAAATTTTCTTTATTTACACGCGGCGTACTCTTCTAGAAGGCCTACAAAAATTTGATCACTCATTTATAGCTCATAGTAAACTAAAATATTTTGTATGTCAGCAAATTCCTTCAATCTCTGTAGTAATGTGAAATTGTTTATCCTCAAGAGCATTAACAAACATCAATGTCCTTTTGAGTATAAACATTTCGAAACATTTTTTTGCAAATCTAAAGATTGCGATGGATTACCATACCCCTAGACTCCTCAAATAGACACATCATTTTGTTTTATTAATAGTTTTCTTATTAATATTTTCTCTGCTAATTAGTCATTTTCTAACATATTATTACTACAAATATAATTGAAATGGTTAAATCCAAACACACACTTCATTATATAGGCATTCTATCATGATAATGTTTCATTTATAATAGAATAAGTATTTCAAAGTGATTATTTAGTGTCTTTGATTTTTATTGATTAATGGAAAATAGAATTTCTCATGGTAGATTACGTCTTGTTTTAATATCTAATTCAAAGATAAAAACTTTTACTTAAGCGAATACACATACTTCATCAAGAATAACCCATTGATTATTTTTAATGGCTGTTAATAAAGGTCCATCATGCCATTTAAATTTTCCTGCTTGTCCACTTTCAACATCAGGTAAATCAGAGCCAAATAAATCACTAATATCGGTTTGTTCTGATAAATTAATTCTAATATACGAATAATCAGCTAATTTTGCTAATGCAATAACTAAACTTGTTTTACCAACACCAGGATTTCCTTCAATTAATATTGGTTTATTATTTAATTGCATAGCACGTAAAAGTCGTTGAACATTTAACAATGTTGTTGGTGCTTTAAAACTATACTCTTCATTCTCAGTATAATTTGTTGAGCCACGTTGAATTGAATATGAACCAAACGATAAATACTTTGATTTAATATTTATTGTTTCAGATAAAAGTGATTTTTGTTGTTGTTGTTGTTTGATTAAAAACTCAACTATCAATTGTTTTAATGTTAATGATGAATCTAATGCATCAATAAAAACTAAATAAGCACCATGCTCATATGAATATTCCCAATTATTTGAATTTAGATTTATAAATGTTACCCAACTAAGAATATCACGAACAGTTATCAAAATACTATAAATAAAAGAAGAGTTTTTATTTGAAGTTTTACTTTTTTTTTTAATATTTTTACCGTTTCGTTATTGACATTGTACGAAGATATTCAATAAAATTGCACATCATTGTTGTACATTCTTTTAGTTGGTTTTCATCATTTAATTTTAAATTATGCATTATAATTGAATATAAATCATGAATTGATTCACTTGGTGTGCACCATATTTCTGTAAAACGATTACGTAATGCTGGCGAAAGCTAGAAAAAGACAACGACAAAAAGAAACATTTTCAAATGACAAATTATTAAAATAAAATATATTTCAACCTCTTTTTTTCCAAAGTCTCCACCAGGATTCATTGTTGCAATTAAACGAAAATTTTCATGTGCTTTTATAATATCAATATGTTGATCATCATGACTATAGCCTTTTTCAGCTAAAAATAATTCTTTTTCAGGTTCTAGAACACTATTTAATCGTTCAAGAACACTATCATCAGCTAGCGAAATTTCATCAATAAGAAAAAATCCACCTTGTTTCATTGAACACACTAATGCGCCATCTTGCCATTCAAATAAACCTTGATTTTCATCAAATTTTACATTTTGTTCGTTGCGACGAACGGGACGAATACTTCCAATAAAATCAGCACTTTCAGTTGTTGTATGACAATTTATTGTAAATAATTTTTGTTTATTTATTTCTGATAAAATTTCACATATTGTGGTTTTACCGCACCTAAAAAACAATCGATGTTTGTTTAATCGTTTTTTTATTATTATTATTATCATAAAATAAAATACTATAAAGCTACTTTTGTTAATCAAAGAAAGATTATTTTTATTCCATAAAATATATTTCTTTGTCTTCTCTCGCTAAGTATCTTCTACAAATATAGAAAGGAACTACTAGTACAGATTTATGAATTTTTTATTTGATATATTGTCTCTGTTTGAATATTAGTGATGTGTGTCACAATCTGTATGTATATGTGAATGTAAAGTTGTACATTTTCTATTTTTAAACTGCTTTTAGATTATGCTTGAAATAAAATCAAAAATGTAATTAGACAAACAAAAAATCTCACCCAGTTTCTCCAACTAATAAAGCAGGTTCGTCAAATTGAAGACATAAAGCACAAAGAATTGCAAGTCTTCTTAATGGTTGTGTCCAAACAATATGTTTTAATTGATTATTTGTTTTAATATTTTGCCATATTTGTCTAGTTGAATAAGGACTACCTTCATCTCCGAATAAAATCTCTTCGTTTACAAGCATTTTTTTTTCACAAAAATGTTTTTCAATAGTTTGTTTAATAAAATCTCTATCTTCGGAATTTCTTGATCTTCCAGCTAACAATAGATAACCATGTTCAGCTAAAAATTGTTTATAATTATCACACGAATTTTTATACATTGTATAACGTTGTGCCCAACGAAATAAATCTCTCAATGTAATTAAACTTGATTTTCCAGAAAAAATACCTTTTTGTGAACGATACTTTTGTAAATCAATCATAGTTTGTATTAACAGTTTAGAATATGATTTAGGTAATTGACATTTTTTTTCAATAATTATTTCTAATTCATTTTGTGGTAAATTACTAAAATGTAATTCAATAAAACGATTACGAAATGCACGTGATAAACGTTTACGTCCAGCATATTGTTCACCAGCAGGATTTTGTGTTGCAAATAATTGAAAACGTTCATGTGCATTAATTAATTCATTTGTTTCACTTAAATATAATTGTCTATTGTCATCTAATAAACGATTTAATGCTTCCAATATATCGCTTGATGCTAAATTTAATTCATCGAGTATAATCCACCAACCATAACGCATGGCTTTTATTAATGGACCATCTTGAAAGATAAGTTGTCCAGTTGTTGACGAACATGTATACGTACCAAGATATTCAGATAAATCCGTATGTTCATGGTTATTTATTCTTAAACATTTATTTCCTGTTGCTGATGCTAACCAATTAATTAATGATGTTTTACCAACAGATGTTTCACCTTGCAGAAGTACTGGATAAGATTTGGCTGATAGAACTCGAATTATATTAATTAAATTTTCAGTAACTGTTTCAGTAAAAATATAATTTTCATTTTGATGAAGTGTTAAATCACCTTTTAATATCATATAATTTTTTATTTCAATATATTTTTTAGAATTTTCTTTGGAAACAACCATTTGAGTTGATTTCAATAATGTTTGAATTGATGGCTTGTCTTCTAAATAAGAAAACAAAAACAATTTTATATGATCGGTCTAATATCATGAGTATGTCATCATATAGGTATTTATTTTCTTGGCAGATTTATATAATTCTATTTTTCTAGATTGAATCAATACTATATTCTGATTAATAAATGTTTCAAGAAAAAAGGTACTTTCATGTTCATGGAAAATGTCAGAATCGTAAAACATATCTAAATCTCTCTCGAAATTGTTCGTTTTCAATCATTAGAAAATATCTCGCGTTCGATAAAAATCCTATTATAATGTTCATCAGTAAATGCGATAGAAATGAGTTAAAGCATTCCAAAGCATAGTTACAATTTTCATTACCACTCAAAAACTATCAAAAACAATTATTTTTATCGTAAAATTTGTAGGAAGATATTTCGAAAAGAAATTTTGACATCTGGAAAATATTCAAGATGCGTTTTTTTGTCCGAAAGATTTAGATGTTTTTTTTTCGATATAACAATAGAATGCTTTTAAAATGTAGGATAAACAAAAAAAGAATTCATTTCCAGAAAATATTCTCGATATTTTTCAGATACTAAACTTGATTTTTCAAGTATCTTTATTAATATTTAATGTTGACAACTAAGATAAACTCATGGAAAATATGTGTCAAAATTATTTGCGAAAAAAACAATCAATAAAATAAAATAAAATAAAATTATGGACTTGATTTTTAATTCGAAACCTACGTAATATTATTTGATGAATTAGTTTTTGAACATCATGATAATATGATCGATCTAATTGACTAAAAAAACTTAAACAAAAACCCTAAAAGAAGAATAATTAAAAGGATGTCTTAAAATTTTGTTTTTGTTTTTTTACTTCAAATAGAGCTCGAGAATATGATTTTCCCGACCATTGTGTTGTTGCAATATATTTTAATGCACGACATAAACTTCTTAAACTAAACAAGAAAATAATTGTATTGTCAACAAAAACATGAATCATATTGCAACCTGTAAGTAATTGATATTCGATTATTTGATGTTGATGATGATGTTAAAAGAAAGTTTTTAACTTTAGTTTGAATATCAATATAGAATGTTACAATACGATCAATGTATTCCTTTGGTATATTGGTTTGACAAAGATATTTCTCAACAATAATCATAAATTCAGATCGATCATCACATTCATCAACAAATAATTCTGTAAATCTATTTTAATAATTAAAATTAATTGTTTTTTATTATTAAAACTGAAAAATAAACATAGCTAACCTATTTCTTATACCAATAGGAATATCACGTTTACCAACGTCTGAAGCAGGATTCATACAGCCAAATAAACGAAAATTTGAATGACGCACTATCGGTTGTTTATCACTAAAACAGTTTTTAAAAATGAATAATAAATTTGATTAATTTTCTAAATTCTTTTACCCTCGTTCAGCAAGCCAAATAGTTCCTTGTTCACTTTCAAGTATTCCACTAAGTAATTGAAGAGTTTCTGATGAAGCTAAATTAATTTCATCTAATAAAATCCAATCGCCATTTCTTAATGCTTGAACAAGTGAACCCTAAGCGGAAAATATAAATTATTATTTTCAAGAAAAACATTTCTCTTAATTTCTTTTTACTTCAACAAATCGAAATATGAGTGCAGATTTATTTTTCAATTTAAATGATTCTCGTAATTTAATAAGTTGAATTCTTAATGGAGAATCTTTATCAGTACATTTAATCATTAGTTTGATTGCTTCTTTGTATCGTTTTGATTGAATTGATTTCTAAAAATATAAAAATGTTTACTAATTTCAAAAACATTTCTTCAAACACATTTACTTCAACTTGTTCAATATTTTCATTGGTCGTTTGATCATTGGAAAAATCTCGATAAATTTGTTTTAATAATAACACGGAATCAAATGGTTTATAACCACCAAGTAAATCAACAGCATCACTTTGTTGACTCAAATTGATTACATGAAGATGATTTCCTAAGACAATAAGAATATATTATTATTATTATTATTATTATAATTATTTATTATTATTATCATGATTCTTTGCAATTCTTTCAATAATCTACTATTATTTAAAATTCACCGTAGAAAATCTTAAACTAAAACATCTACTTTATTGAGCTAGTCACCGATGCTAATATTCAAGTTACTCAAAGAAATATTTAACAAGAGTCGTAAATATTTATCAACGCATTAAATATCGTATTAATATAATTGTTTTTTCTCACAATTATTTTACTTGTATTTTCTAAAAATTTAAATCTCACAGATATTTATACATAGGATTTCATATTTGATTATTAATCAATGTACTTCTTTGAATATATTTCTCTACCGATTAGACTCGTATCTTTCTTCGGAAAAAAATACTACATGGATACAAGCATTATATGTTATTTAGAATGAAAGAAAATACCTAGAAGAATAGACATGAATATAGAATGACTCTAATCAAATCTATTTCAAAAATTGAATTCTATCTTAACTCTGTAAGAAAACATCAAATAAGATTGTGACAAATGTTTGAGAAAAAGTAAAAATATGTTACCGGTTTTTTGAGCCAAATATTGAACAAGTGTTGTTTTTCCACAACCTAAAAAAAGTTAAACATTCGTAAAACAATAAAAGAATAAAATTAGTCTTACCAGTTTCACCGCAAAGTAAAACAGGTTCATTCATTTGAACACATCTTGCAATACGTTCTAGTATAAACATAGCTGTACGAGTTTTTGCAAAACAATATTGTTGTTGCAATGATTGATTATTTCTGTAGATGAAAAGCAATATTTCAAATATTTTATTTAGAAAAATTATCGTATCTAACTTCTTTTGTATTTCTAATTTGATATGTCCGATAGAGAAATAGTGATTATCAAGATCGTCAAATTCAAGCATTGATTTAAATGAATAAAATTCAACCTTAAAAATAAGAAAAAGATGAATTCATGATGAAAAATAATTTTCTGTTTTGTTTTACTTCTTGATTATTCATATTAAATAATGTTCCAATGGATTGAATGATTTGTAAACGATTTGCTTTTGGTAAGAATGATGCAAAACAATCTAATACATCATAAAATGCTAATTGTCTATCCACTGAACGTGAAATTGATAAACTCGATAGGCGATGACAACATTTTAATAAATCACTAAAAGAACATTATTAATTAGAATAAGAAAAGAACTTTTTGTTATTTTTACCGTAACGTAACCAGACGTGTATGTATTGATCCTTTTGTATTTTGTAATGATTGATATAATTGAAATAATTTCATTTGAAATAATTTTAAATCATTATTCCATATTGGAAGATTTTCCATTATCTATATATAATTTATTTTTAATATGCCAAGTCTTTACTGCTTTCTTTTATATTTTGTTTTCTATTCGATATTCTGTGGGATTAAGCCGTTATTTTTCTAATGTTACTGGTTTATGCATATACGAAGTTTTTATTTAGAAAACCTATACAAGCTTCCTTTCAAGCTAAGAACTCCAAAATGAAATATAAAAACTTAGTTCTTTTTCTTTGTTTAGCTCGACATTATCAGACAATTATTTACAAACAATTTGATTTATTTGAATGTCACTAATATATTCATCCGCTGAATTTATTCATAAGCACGACTATGGCACTAAGACTCAACATGATTCATGGAACTAGAAATTTGCTATGTACTCATCAAAATCTTTTATAGAAGATCAACTGCATTACAGAGCAGTAGTGCACTATTCGAAAGTTTATCGTTCCTGACTGTTCTCAACGATTCGTCATGATTAATAAAGATCTACATGAATTTTAAAAAAAATTAGCATAGTAAAAATTGAGCCATTGTAAAGATAGAAACGAAAACTTCTCATATAAACTACATATTAATATGTAAATAAAAGTTCATACTTGAATTATTTCGGAATCATTATACGAAGGTATCACAATACAAAATACACTTTTTAATAAATGTATTAATTCATTTGATTGTACCGGTACACCTGTATCACTGAAGAATAACAGCAAAAGTAAAGCATTATTTAGTTTGTTTTGTAAAAAAAGGTTTTATAAAAATACCGTTGTGTTAGAAAAAGACGAAAATCAGGAGAAATCGAACCATATCCAATGGATTTTGTTTCAATTAAACTTTTTATTGTTGATAACACATCGGAACTGGCAGCATCAATATCTTCCATTAATAACCAATGGCCTTCAGATGTTGCCTTTGGAAAAAAATGACAATGATAATAAGCGAAATAAAATGAAACAAATGTATAATATTTACTTCAACAAGTAAACCGGGTGTCCAAATGAATTCTCCAGGCTTGTCCGTACATTGATATGTACCTAATAGAACCTAATAGAACAAAAAATATTATTTAAAAAAATATGCTATATTGCTATATTTATTTATCTCATACTTTACTATCCATATGATCGGAACATTGAATTTTAATTAATCGTTTTCCAACTTGATCAGCAATATGTTCAACAATCATTGTTTTTCCATTACTTATTGAACTATAAATTAATGTTGTCCAACCTAGTGTGATGCTTAAAGCTATTTCACGTAAGCATTTATCTATTGTTGATGTATAAGTTATTTTTATTGTATTGATTGATTGATTTTCATTTCTTTTTTTATTCATAGTACATTTTGATAAAGGAATACCACCAATGAAAACAGTTCGTTTTTTAAAATCATTATCGGCAAATAAATTATCATAAGATGATACAAAATTTGAAACAAGAGAAGATTTTGAATTGATCATATCATAAATGCTAAAATACAAGAAAATGAAATTAAGTTCGTTTGTTGACATATTAAAATATTCAGTTTTCTGATAAAATCTATATTTATTTATTCATTTCAATGATTCTAATGAGGCCAATCGAAATCGTTTCTTGCTCATCATTATTACGTATAAGTAAATTGCAATTTCTTTAGTTTTAAAACATGTTTTTTACGCTTACTGTCTCTCTGATAAATCTATTTTATCATAATTATCTCTGAAATAATTGAAAATTTCGAAAAATGAAATGTGCGACATAGAAATTATCTTCATCATCATTTAGTTCAGACTCGATGAAGTATTCACTGTACTAAAGAAACCAATAAAACGCTCTGCTAATGAGGTTAGTAAAACAGCTTATTCTATGTTGCATAATATGAACAAAAAAACTAATTAAGAGTTTAGAGAAGATTGTTTGTTCTCTATGGTAGTAAATTTAGTTAAAAAGTTATTCTTAGAAAAATATCTACTTATTCAGAAGACACCAAGAGGATTTATTTTAAAAATATGATTTCATACCATTATGAAACCAGCTTCAAAAATAGAGCGTTCGCGTTCGAAGGAAAAAAGAATTACCTCGTAGTTTAAATGATATTGTATTTACACACTGAGAAACAAAGCAGCACAAAACGATTGCCTTGATTGAGCAAGAAAACCTTACAAATTCTAGCTGATAAAATGTTTTTTTCTGTCAAAAAAGATAACACAAAACTGTTTCTCTCTAGTTTTAGACGACTTTCTCTTTCAAATCTCCCCCTCCCCGGTTAAACAAAACAAAACGAAAACAATGAACTTAAATACCTAAAAAGACTGATGTAATTCTAACCTATAGGTAAGTAAAACTCTAAGAAATCTCTTTTTATTTTACAGCCGATTCAATTTGTATAAATAGAACAGACAAGAAAATATTCTGAGAATTTGCGTGCATAAACATAATAGAAAATGCCTATGCTTCTATCACTAAGTCATAATATATGACCATCTTAACTAGTGTTTCTTTTTTCTCAAAGACGACGTAGACTTTCTGAAGAGCGAGCAAACGTTCTTTTTTGGGAGCATAAGTATAAAGTACGTAGTAAAATAAGGACAAACATTTGTGAGTATTGAATTGATCATCAGAAAAGTATCGTGCCGAGTAGTATACTGCATTGAAAGAATAGAATACACAACGAAAATGTCTCAATATTTCTTCAATTATAGAATTTCAATTCGCTTTCTAATAACAAAAACTTGAAAAATTACTTGAATTTAGTTGTATTAGATACATTAGGTCGATATAAATCTTGTTGATCAGAAGACATATTGAATACAATGGATAGGCAAAGATATGTCAACCTATGATATAGCAAATCGTGATAATAAAAATGATCACTAAAGTTATTAATTTAATCAACAAACCATTTAACATTGTCATCATTACTATGTTCTAATAAATGACTCAGTATATTCCATTTCCATGAATGTATTAAATGAATTTTTGAATTCGCTAATAATAATAAACGAAGTGTTGCAATAAGTAAATAAACATTGTCATTGATATTATGCGCTCTCTATACAACAGAAGTTTTCAATAAAATAAAGCATTAGCCTCTTTATATTTTCTTACTGTTTTTAATTTCTTTTTTGGACTTTCTCCGTTCCATTCAATTAAAGAAGTATCCGTTAACAAAAGATGATTTTCAGTTATTCTATTGAAATTAAAACAAAAACATTAATTAACAAAACAGGTACGAAAATATTACGTATGTAATGAAGGATAATCTTGTAGAATTTGAGTAAGCAAAACAAGAAACCTTTGTTTAATTGATGTATGATTAATTATTTTAGTTGAAGAATTCACTGCTGTATGAAGACGATGAATAAATGCTATAAAATAACGAGGAAAAACATTTCGGATCTGTTCAAAAACTCCTGACGATAGTGAATCACTATGCAATAATTTCTGAACAAGTAAGTTTATTAATACATGACGTTTATCTAGAGACCATTTTTCCTGTGCAAAAAATTAAAAAAACAACACTAATTGCAATACATTATTGAAAATGATTGTCTATTTTACCGTTTGTAGGAACGATTGTAAATCTTCATTTAACTCTGGTACTTGTCGAATAAGTCCAAGCAATAGTTGATGATGTTCACAGTCGATTTCCATTTATCTAATTGATTATTTTTTTATATCAAGTGAAATTTCTCTGATCCATAAGAGTGAAGAGGTCTTCGGGTAAAACCTAGCATTAATTATTCGATCTTATTCTGATCGAACACTATTAGCGACATCCTTGTTCTATTGAAATGTTGATTAACAAAATATTTGTTATGCAATTTTAATTTTAATAAATTAATTTTTTTTATAGATAGATATCTAACAAATTTGCTGTAAAGGATTGATTTAATATTTTAATTGGTTGAAACAAGACAAATAAAAACATGGAATAAATAAATATATTCAACCGTACAGACGTACACACAAAAAAAGAAAAACAGAACACCGAACGATTATTTCTGACTATGTTTCTTTTTTTTTTCTCTTTAGTAAATGAGTTAAATAAGATGGATATTTTTCTTTAGATTTTCTTTTTTTTATAATCAACCAAGCATTAACACTGTCCAAATATTTTTTTTGCTATTCAGTTAAGAAAAATAAATAGTGACGGTTAGTAGCCTCTCAAGTTTTTATCCATTACTGCATAGTTATTGTTTTATTAGTAAAACTTTTCGAGTGAAAAAACCTATTGATACATATTAAAGTTTCCTTTTTTATTATTCTTTTTTGACGGATATTTTTGTTTCTTGTGCAAAAATGATGGGACATTGATAGACAGCGAAAAAAGACAAGTTCACTGAAGTGACTGGATATCGATTGCATACGTGTATGTACTTTTGAATAAGTCGATAAACTCGATCATTTACTTTTAGTTACTTTATTTTTAGATATGTAACACATAAGAAAGAGAAAAAATCTTTCTTCTTGTCAATTTTGTGTGTAAGTGGGATTTATATTTCCCTATCCATAATATAAGCGTCAGATATGTTTTACTCGCCGTATTAAATCTCGAACAAAACCAAAAGAAGAAACAATGAAGAATGATTCATCAGAAAAATTCTATGCTTGGTTCGATGTTTCAAGTTAGTGAAAATCGTTCTTTTTTATTTTTTGTAATCCATATAAAATTTTATTTGTCTAAACTAGATAATCTCGATGATGAACGTAGTTGGATACGAAAATATATTGAATTTGATCGAACAAAACGTACATTGACATTGTATTCTAATGATGTATGTTATTTCTTTTCCTTATGATGTTTGGATAAGCAATGAATGACTGAGCTCATCAACTACTAGTAGAAGTAGTAGTAGTAGTAAATTGACCTTCCATGATTTCTTTTCTTCCGTTATGTATGTCCATCATCTCATGTCGATATTTCATTCGTATGCAATGCCACATATCATCGCATCGAGCAGTTTGTATATGTACATGTGTGTGGGTGAGACAGGCACACAAATAGAATCTTTATTCGTATATCTTGTATGATGGAATCGTTTTCTTTCTTTGTCTATTCATTTATAAATGTACATTGTCGAATGAATGCGAAATGTTGAATTGAACGGATTAATGAAAAGAAACAAAAGAAAATTGATGGCATAATCGAAACTGGCAAGACTTCCGTTTGTTATGTTTGATTACGAAACTCAGGAGCACTTTATTTTTATGAGAAAAGAAAAGATTGACAATTTAAATTTTCTTTTTCAAAGTATGAATATTAATGTAATTATTTTTAGTGTATACAATCATCAAAACCAGCACCAATCGTTGATTTAAATAGTGAAATGATATCGTTATCATCATCAGCAACATCTTCTTCATCATCATCATCACTTTGTACGTCATCAATACTAACAAATAATAATAGTGGACGTTCATCAGTTAGTGTTCGTCGACCCAGTTATATGTTACAATCATTATCAGAATATATGTCACCATCATTATCAAAAGCATTTTTTTCTTCGTCAACAGCTAATGATGATAAAACAGCAACATTAACTCCATTGAATAATAATCCAATACAATCAAATTCTATTCGTCTTGCATCATTCACGGGTAAGATATTAATGAGGCAAACTTTAACAAAAAAAAAAAGAAAGGAACTAATGATCATTATAACCTTTATCGATATGAATATTTTGCTTGATCGTATCATACTAATAGAAAAGAATATTTGGTAATCAAATCAGCTAAGGAGGAAAAAATTGCGGAACATAGAACCAAAGTAACAGTTTAGTACATACGAATGGTCGCTTAGTTATGTTCGGTACTTATAACAATAATAACGAAAACTTGATTCGAATAAAGTTCTATAGGTTTATGTGATATCTTACAAAACAGAACAAATAAAAGACAACTTTTTTGGATTTTGTTTTGTTGATTAAGAAAAGATTGCTCATACAACCGTTCTCGGCATGTCATCGATCATACACATTGTACCATAATCGGTGGGTTTTATATGTCATATAGGACATACTCCGACTATGGAATACAAGCTCAGACATGAACTAGAATATTTAAATCATGGCAATCCTCTACACAGTATCGAACATTCAACCTTTGTCAACTCGAATATCTGTATCAATTCGACTAACTTTACCGATCTATTCATCTAATTTTCTATCTCACATCTGTTTATGCATACTATCTCGAGACAAATTATCTTACTTTCTCAATGAAGACAACATCGCTCCGTATTTCATCCCACTTGTCTATCCAAACATACCCATATATATATATTTATTTATTTATTTATTTATATGTATGGTCGTCTAGAAAAAGAAAAAAAAATACATATGAGAACAGCGAAGCCCCAATATGCGCTAAATGATAACCACTAGGAGCCCATTGGCGTGCACGTATGTGTATATATATATATTTATATACGTACACGCGTGCGTATGTTTGTAATAATAATTGTTCGATGTTACAGATCGATTCCGATTACATTTCAATTACTGTACCATCAACATATCGAGAGAAGAACAAAAAGAAGAAGAAAAAAAAGAGTAAAGAAAAAAAGCGAGAATGTACATGCATTTTCTCTCGTATTGTTTCGGTTTGCATTAGAACGAGAGAAGAAGAAAAGAAGAAAAAAAACAGAGAAAGTATAAGATACGAACCATTGTTCAAAATGCATCGTCATCATCATCATTGCTATCATCGTTGTTGTATAACAACAAAAAATAGAAATAATGCGGCACTTATTTAAAAGGTGGGCTTCAAATAATCAACTAATGACAACATCGACCGATAGTAATTCTATAGCATCAGCAATTTATCACCATCAAGTACCGATTATAGAAGAAGAAGAGTTTGATGATGAAGGTTCGTTTTGTTCAATCCTATTTTCTATATAAACTTATATTTATATGCGAGGCGTTTTCGCATATACTTTGACTTCCGTTATTGAGAATAAATGACACACCTTTAACAAAGCATATTTGTCACATTCGTGTCGTTTTATACTTTTAACAAATGAATAGAAAGTGAACAAATGTTCGTTCAAGGTGTATTCATTTCTAATTTTTACCTTCTTTTTACTATTTTATTTTATGGGTCAAGGTAGAAAGTGTACTCTTTTTGTTTCGTCGTTCATTTATTCATTGAAATGCAATCGTTAAGAGACAAAAAATAGTACTAAAATAAGTTAATTGCAGTAAAATATGTTAATCATACATTTAAGTTCTGATTAGCTTCAGTTTTCTATTAGGTAACTTCGTTAAGGCTAAAATTTTAACAGAATTTACAAAGTTTCAGTTTTAAATAGAATTATTTTAAATGTTAATAGTTTAGTTTTTCTAATTCAGACAATATGGATGTTTTGATGTATTAAAACAAACGTGAGACTTTTGTTCAAAGAAAAAATTCCAGCTCAAGTCTATATATAACCGGCCTAATGGCTAAGGCGTCTGACTTCGAATCAGAAGATTGCAGGTTCGAATCCTGCCAGGGTCGCTTTACTTTTTTCTCGTCCTATTCGATCATTCGTGATAAATTTAATTTTGCTTTCTACTGTATAACCTATGCTAACCTTGTGGGCTAATGGCTAAGACGTCCGACTTCGGATCGGACGATTACAGGTTCATTACCTTCCAGGACCATTTAGTTTATCCTTTTTTTTTTTATTCTCTTATCTTTCAAAATAATTTACATATAGATAAAGCTAATCCTCGTGATTAATTATTTGTTATCTGTATAGACTCATTGTCCGATCGTCTATCTTCAATAACAACAACGACAACTCGGCAATCAAAAACAAAATTTTCTTATTTTTTTGGTCGTTCATCAGCAAATAATAAATCAAGTCACAATCAACAACCATTACCATCACCAAATATAAATATTGATTCATTAAAACGTACAAAAAGTGTTACAAAACTGGAACGACAAAAACGTCTTCAACAGCCTTTATTAAACCCAAATAATCAGCAAATATCTCCATCTCTTCAGTATGAAATAAGGTTATTTCATTAAATAGATATATGAAAATGAATTTTCTTTTCTTTTCTTTCTAGTAGCATTCCAGCAAATCGATCTCGTTCACATGAATCTCTATTTGTATTAAACGGTACTGCTGGTAATGGTCCATTAGGATCAATATCAACAACAATTCCGAGTCAATTAATATTAGATCATTGTCACATACGTCGGTTACATCCAAGTATTTTACAAGCAGCGTCTGATATAAATGATGAACATTTTTCTCCTTATCAATGTGTTCAAATACGAAATAAAAATGAGAAAAAAAACTACTATCTACGTTCAAAACAATATTCAACTGATAGTTCATTATTAATAAATAATTTAAGACAAACATCGTTAGAGACAATAACCAATTTATGTGGTTTGAGAACAGATAATTCTTTGGATATATGGATTTTAGAAGCAAAAGGTTTACCTGTCAAGAAAAAGTAAAATTTAAATATACTTATATGAAACGAAAAGGAAAAATAAATCTATTTATAGATATTATGTAAAAATTTTTCTTGATGATGGCATTTATGGAAAAACAACGAGTAAAGAACGACGTGAAATACTTTTTTGGGGTGAAAATTTTACATTCAAAGATATACCCGAAGGTTTGTTTTTGAAAATAGAAGTTCTTTTTTCTTTGTAATGTTATTTAATTATATTCGAAATTCCACTAAAAAGGTTGTTCAACACTACGTTGTAAAATATATCGAGAAACGGAACGTCGTAAACAAAAACAAGTAAATGGAAATGACATCGATTTAATTGGTTACGTTGATATTCCATTATCAACAATAACCGGAAATCAATTTATCGAGCAATGGTATCCATTACAAATACCTTCTGGTTTAACTATTACAGGAAAGGAAAAATCACAAAGATTACAAGATGGATCGTTCAATATTAGAATCAAAGCTAAATATCAAGCTATACAGATTTTACCAATTGAATCATATTTACATTTGCAAGAAGTTTGTTTTCTTCTAGATTGAATTAACTCCAGAGAAAATTCTCTTTTTTCTTTTTAGTATATCCGACGTGATTATCTACGACTTATTAGAATTCTCGAACCACATATTAGTTTACGAGATAAAGATGAAATTGGTACGTTTCTGTTTAACTATTCTTTATGAATGAAATATGAAAATAATTTGACAACATCAGTTTTTATAAGAAAAAAATTTGAGTAATAACGACAAATCAGCATCATTAAGCTACAAAGTTGTTCATGTAAAAGCTAATATATATATTGTCTATTTCAAAACTTTTAGAAATCGAAAATCCCAATATTTTCATACTCCATCAATTTAAGCTGATCCGAAAAATAAAATATGGGTGAAGTGGAACTGAATATGCATATTATTAATTTCCGTAACTTTTCGGTTCAGCAAAGAGCATTGTTTTTACAAATTGAGTTACTCTTGTTGGAAGATTTTATTATCTAAAATTTCGTCTACAATGAATGTCTTTCCTACAAGAAACTTTGTATTGATATCAATAGCTAAGAAACATTGATCTAACCGAAAATTAATCCTCATAAAATATGATCTTCGCAGTTTTCGATCATAGTTTCAATGGAGGAAAACTTTTGTTGAAAATTTCGACAGCTGCAATGCTTAATAAACTATCTAGACTCATCAGATGACTATATGTTCAATTCAGAATTCACTACGAAAGAAAAAATTCACTAGAGCACATGTATAGTTGCAAAACAAAACTTACTCGATATTTTAAAGAAAACATTTTGACAGAATTCATTGTACATTACCAGTCTAGATTATGTAACTTGTTTCAAGATAAAAACGAAACAACACGTGACTATGTATCGTCTATTGATAGGAATATCGAGAGTTCGACCATATTATCCAAATTCTTTCGATTTGCCATGAATCATGCATGGAAAATAAATCAATGCAATCTATAGAAAATGATCATTTTTTACCTGAAGATAAAATTTGTTTAATATATAATATTGTAATATAAATGTACTTTTACATTACTGCAAAAAGATAAATCTGGTTGTGATGAAAAGCTTATAAACATTTGAGACAAAAAATAACATCTTTTAATTCAACAAAGATCTTTGATTTTTTCCTTGATATTTATTATCTTAGTTATCATCCATTGATTGTTTCTTTTAGCGACGTCATTGACCCGTATTGCTCAATCTCTTTCATTTTCTACATCATTTCTTGTTGATATTGTTCAAGCAGAAATCTTATCAACACCTGATAATTCTCTAATGTTTCGTGGTAATTCCATTGCAACAAAATCCATGGAAGCATATATGAAATTAATTGGCGAAACATATTTACGTGAAACATTAACACGATTTGTAACAGATATTGTTTCATCGAAAAATTCCAATGACATGGATTTAGAAGTTGATCCAGGTCGTGTATCCAATCTTCAAAATTTGGAACGAAATCAAATAACATTAAGATTATTATGCGAAAAAATTTGGTTAGAAATTCAACAGTCACATTCATTATTTCCTCAGTAAATATTTGAAAAATATTTTTGGAAAAATGATAAAATAATTAAATGTTTTATTTTTTCAAGGGAATTGAAGCGTATCTTTTGGAAACTTCGACAATTATCATCATCCGATGAAACTATGTTTAATTTAATAAGTGGTTCGGTGTTTCTTCGTTTCCTTTGTCCAGCAATTTTATCACCAAATTTATTTGGTCTGACCCAAGGTAAATTTCATTGATAGATAAGATTTATTTGAAATCTTCATTTTGTCATTTAAATAGAATATCCAAATGAAAAATCATCTAGAAAATTAACATTAATTGCTAAAACATTACAAACTTTAGCGAACTTTTCTAAGTAAGAAAATTTTCCTTCATTCATTTTAAAATACAATTCTTAATTTAGATTCGGTCCCAAAGAATCTTACATGAAATTTATGAATGATTTTGTTGGGAAAGAATCGGAAAATATGAGAAGGTTTCTAGCACAGATCTCGGTAAGTTAAATAAGATAAACAAATGATTATGTACTAAAGCACGTTCGTTTTTCTGCAGACAATCGATCATGATTATGATGAACCACGATATTCACATAGAAATAATCTTCACGATGACAAATGTGATATTGATTTAGGTTTGTTTCTTTTCATTATAGCATTTATTAGAATTATAGTTTGATTTTATCTAATGATTTCTACACATTTGTTAGCAATTGAAGAAGCTAGAAAAAATCTAACCTAAAGTGCTTTCATTCACTAAAACCTAAGAATAGTGATTAGAAAACGAAGAAGATAATAAAATTGAACTTAACCTGTTGTTGCTCATAAACAGACGAGCTACCACCTACGTACGTCTTATCTAAGTCTATGCCCATCGTCATGATAATGTCAGGTGATTTTTGTTTCATTTGTACTGTAGAAACGTAAAGAACAGTTCAATATCTGATTTCTGTCCAAGCTTACTAGCAATCTACAAAACATTGATCGAATAGCTAACGAATTTCACTAGAAGTCAAGCATGTAATGTTGTAGGTAGTTTTTTAATCGAATTACCAATTATTCAGTAGGAATATTTTGGAAAGGATCGAATTACTTCAAAATACCTTTTTCAAGACTAAACGAATCGAGTGTATTCTATTAACCCATATGCATATGGTATCTTTGTGTATTTTTTAAGGTCGAGAATATTCAATTCTTCATTCGACGCTTGCTGATTTATTTGAACAAATTGATTTTAATACTCGTCGAACGTTAAATGAATTAGAATATGTTTTAACTGAATTAACAAATATAAAATTATTCTATGCGACAACACAAAATGGAACACAAATTCATTTACATCATCATCATCATCATATTTATCATCATTTATCAACGCCATCCGAGCATTATTACAATCGTTTAGATAAACAACCAAACGATAATCGCCTATCGCCCTATGGTAGCCAAATATCCTTATCATTAACAGGTACAGGTACAACAAATGATTCATCACAAGGCTATCATTCAATATCAGAATCACCAACAATCACAACTGTCGAAAATCTCAATAAAGAAAATATTCGTACGCCATTGTCTTTCAAAAATCCCATTTTTAATAATCAAAAAATTCAAATTGATGACAATAATCACAGTGATTTATCTGATGACGATAATCAAATTAATTTAAATCAAACTCTACCAGATTCATCAAAAGCACTTTATTTTATTAATAGTCTTTGCATTGAATCTCTAAAAAATTCATCGTCTTCTTCTACTTCTCAGCAATCACTTGTTCATTCAGCTAGTCGACAATCATTACAACAGCCGTTATTTGTTTTAAATAATAGTTATATGACAAGAAGTACGCAAAGTTTAGCATCATCAGCAAATATGAATACACCTATTAAAACAAATAATTCAACATCAACAACCTATTATTGTGTAAAAGCACAAGATCAATTTAATGGAGCAAATAAAAGGCAATCAATTGTATCGTCTCAACAATTATTACCGCCAAAAATGGGTGTCAAAGCACTTAATCATACTTCAACATCAAATAAAGTAAGATTTATGTACTCGTTAGAATTATTGGAAAAAAAACATCTCAAAGGAAAATAAAAATATGAGCTAACGAGGGAACCTCTCCAAATGATACCAACCATTCGGGTTGATATTGTGCTCACAAGTAGGACCCGAATGGTTGGTATCACTTGGGAAGGTTCCCTCGTAAGTGAAATTTAGCAGTATTATTCTAAAATTGACTGAATGTGATCAGAATTTTTATTCTAATCAACAGTCTAAACACTACAATAACAAATTTCGGCGTTTTTACTCTATTTTTTCACGTGAATCCTATCAATTCTGTTTTGAGACATATGTTAATAATGATTTTCGAATGAATAGAAATTGATTTTACGCTGATCTACTTGAAATAATTTATATTTATCCTTTACTGAGTATCTTATATTTTTATCAACCAGTTTTATATGCTTGTAAAGAAGATGATTTTATTAGATATTGTTTCTTTTTTGTATTTAAGGATATTGTTATTGGTCAACGTTCGCCACTGTTAAATTTATATCAAGAAGAAAAATGTCGTCGAATAGAGTCTGAAAAACAAGCTGAAAGGTTAGTAAAAGTTACATAAACATGGATAACTAAATTAACTTGGGAAAAGAGTAAACTGTGTATTTTTCCTTTTTTTTCTAATTTTTAACAATGTCAAAAGTAATTTTGCATGATTTTCTTCTATCTCTCTCAGGATCTGCTCGCATGAGACAGTTGTTTAACAATAAGGTGGGTTATTTAGATATTTACGTACATAATATATTAAGCATGTTTCTTTGTTGTATTATTTTGTTTTTCTCTTTTGAATGTAGTTGCATGTTAATAATTTTTGTTTAGCATGTCGTTTTTATTTATTTATTTATTTATTTATTTATTTATTCTATCAATGAATATATTTTGTTTAGACTTCACAATGAATTACATCGATCAAATGAACAAATTGAAGAATATCGACATTTGATTGGTTTGTTAAATGAGAAAAGTTTCACAACTAATATTGATAATATTAATTTAATTGATTATTCTGATGACGGCGACGACGACGACGAGGACAATAGCGATGACAATGATGTTCAACCGATTGAAAAAAATTTTTGTCTCGATGATAATACAGAAAATAAATTTATTTTTTTGTATAGTAAACCCCCATTGCCACCGGATGATGAAGATGATGATGATGATTTATCAATACTTTCACATCTTGAAAATGCGATTGAATGAAATTCTCAATTTTTGTTTTTCTTTTCTTTTCTTATTCATAGGAATTAGTCTTTTTCTCTGTTTTCTCTTCACATGTTTTTTCTCTCAATACTCGTTGTTGTTTATTCAACTCACATTGTCATATCATTGTTTAATAATAAAAAAATAATCTATGTGTGTTTATTTGTTGTTTTATAAAACGAGGAAAATTCTTCTTTGTTCTGTTTTCTTTTCTTATAATGTCAATGTTTATTGTAATACTAAAAACATTTTGTAATAAAGTAACATCAGCAGGTTGCGAATATCTCATTAAAAAGAAATAATCCATATTATAAAGTAAATGTGTTATCAATATTTGAAAAGAACAAGTCTATGGTGACTTTCTCAAATATGTACATAAACGCTGATAAACAATTCCATTATGTATACTGACTGGTGTGCGACCAATATTGAAAAGTTATGGACACAGAAAAAATGCGATGATAAAAGGTGCGGATGTACATAGAGATATGAATCAATACTATAAGAGAAGACTAATACCATCTACCTTCATATACATCACATGATCTTTGAATAGAGGCGTCTTATTGAGCTTTAGTTTTGACGTTTGTCTAACTTTTCGGTACTGTATGTTCTCATGCATAAGTATGCATGGTCATTGTTCTAGTTCCTGTTACCAATTTCGATTAATTAATTACTTATTTATTTAGTTAGTTAGTTGGATTACGGTAAATGTCTATCAATTCAGTCGAAAAATACAGATCGAATTTACCATAGAAATGTCAATTGTTGACAATTTAGGATACTTGTAAACATTTTTTGTGCAGCTAGCACACCGACATATTGATAAAGTTATTAAAGATCTCAACGATAAATTATGATCGGGTATCATCCGATTAAACTATACAAGGCACATAATTTGCCTAATGAAGTCACCAAGAAAATTCAAACGATTGAGTTGATAGTATCTAATTTTCATAGTAATATGTTAGAAAACCACTATGATCAAGAGAATTCATTTTTTATTGACAAAGACACTTGCTACTGAAATAGTTTATTCATGAATATAAAATGAACACGAATCCTCACAAGATATTTAAAAAGATCTAGGTCAATTTGAAATAAGAATTAATAGCAAAAATAAATAAACTTGAAATACGGATGGATCAAATTAGAAATTCACATTCTCTTCAACAACCACATTAACCTTGAGCATTTATCATCTTAATCATGTCAAATAACATGAGAGTGCTTACAACGTTCTTATTCTTAGACCCCAGACACACCGAAAAAGTGAACTAACGTTAAATTTGAATCATGCACGTGCCACGACGAAGTCGCTGTATATTATCGAATAATAGATATTTTCAATATTTTGAATTACTGAATGTAGAAAATACGAGTTGAATCATAGAAATTATGAACACTAGAATATTTAACGAAACTATAGTTGAAAGAAATAAGTTAGAATAATAGATATTTTGGTGACAAATTTCGTCATTTATTGATAATCATCAAAAAGAGAGAAGCGACTTTTTCTTTTCTGAACATGTGCTAAGTTTGTACATTCAGGCTACGTGTATTGATTAATTCTTCATGTTAAATTGAAAATTTCTAACAAGTACATCAGTGTGACTTGGTTTGCAACGATCGGTTCAAATATATGAATTGACAGCCATGTACAAGTTTTGTTTTAAATATAGTAGTGAATGCTATAGCAAAAAGTGAAAAATACATGAATCATTGCTACTTAATAAATTCATCACTCTATCCCATATTTTTATGGAAAAAAATTCAAATTTCATGTGTTTCATGGGATTTACAAGTTATTTTTTTAACTTTTCCCTTGACAGCAAATGAAGCTGCTAGATAACCTTGTCCCTAGTCAACTCTCCCTAGAAGAATCCCCAGGGAGTCCCTAGGGATTGCGTCATTTTGCGAGGACTCCCCGGGAGTCGTCGGGGGAGAGCAGATTAGGGTGTACAGGATGTTAATGATTACGAGACTTTATGCTGCGAAGACGAATATCAATCCAAGAAGCTACAATAGAAAACCTTAAAAAGCAACTTAGTCTAACCGGATAAGTCAGTATATTAGACTAAAAAGAAAGCAAGTAAGAGCAATAAGCAGATGATACTGATCTTCACATATCTTCAAACATCCATCAAGACCCATAAGAATTCACTGGAATCCACCAGAATTCATGAGGAGCCATCAGAATCCAAGGATCCAGGAGTCGCTTTTTCCTCCTTGGTAGACGCACGTAGATTTAATTCGAATTAATGCCGCATTATCTATCTTTGTAATGTAGACACGGTTTTAGAATAACTTTGCTTTGGTTTCAATTTTCAATTTTCAAGTGCTAAAAATCTGCATTTTTTTGTTCGTACTTTTTTCGTACAGATCATCCAAAAATAAGAAAAAGTATTTTTAATATTAATCTATTGTATAATTGAATGAATATTATGATCTGAACTGTATCTATGCTTGCATCATTGGGATATCTTTCGTGATATTCTTGTTTAGGTATTCACATATCTATTACTACGAATAAATAAAGTTTGATGAAAATACCAGTTAATATCTTGTATTGAATGAGATCTTGCTTTTTTCCTTGTATTTTCAAAATGTTTTACATTTTGTAAGGTCAAAATTTTCGTGAGCTCATTAACATGAGAAATAACATAAAAATAACTTTTTAATAGAAGTTTTTGTATCTATAGAAATCAACATTTTAACTTCTTGTACATTTTGTACATTTTCATCTCCGAAACAACGTGTACAGTTACACGCTACACAGGAAAACAGAGTGTATGCATACATCCTATTTTAGATTTCTATTAAGAATGTTGGTCATCGGCACAACAACGTGTGAACTTATTTTGATTCATGTTTTTATTTGAAAATGATCATCGACTATGAAAACAAAACACGGTTATTTTTTTAGAAATGTATAATTACTTGGATAATCGTTGTCGGCTGTACTCTTGAAAGAAGTGTGACTGATTAGAAGCAACAGGTCCATTCTGATTGGCCCAGCGAAGAAAAAGAAAAGTTTACACAAGTAAACACAATAATAATGAATCATTTACGTTAAGCACTAGTCACATTTTTTTCTTTTGGATACTGAAATATACGAATGCTTGAGAGAAACAGAAGCTTGCTTCTTTTGTCTTTATTTCAGATATGGAAGTGGCGTCTGTTAATCCGATATCGGACACGTGAATTTGATATTCGTTTGTGACAGATGGATCTTTGAAAAATGCTCAATATTATTTAATAACGATTACGGTATTTGGGGTGGCGATGTCTCTCTTCATAGCAACAATGCATTACAAGCCGGCACTCGTGTTAGGCTTGGAGTCAAGCGTCTTCGTGAGATGATTCTCTTCAACGATCGCTGCTTTCTTGTCATTGGAGAAATACATTCATTTGATAATAATATCAATTTGAACTAATCGGATACACCCTCTACACATCGGCTAAATACGATCGATTAAATGGCAATGCCATTTGGATTACCCAATTGGTTGTTAGCTCTTCTTACCGTGGTTAAGGTGTTGCCGGAACCCTGCTTTTCATGGCTAAGAAAAGCATTGAAAATACTGTCATAGTTGGATTCGTTTCTTCACATCCACACGCAGTGATCGCCCTTTCGAACGCTTGCAATTGCATTCCGATCGACTTGAAATTTATTGCTGATCATGTGGAAGATGTCATTCGAGCGTGCAACATTCCTTATCTTTCATAGGCTCAACTCGTTGGTTCTATTTTCGACAGTCAACCTCTTATCGCTGACAATAACAATCAGCAAACTGTTTCGTTCGTCAAACAGACTTTTTCGTCGATCATAATGAAGTCTTGGCCGTTCTCGGACCTCTTTTGGATGACGACGAATTTTGCGTCGTGTTGCCAACCACCTGCGTTCGCCATTCAAAGAATTCGTCGAGCAGATCTTCATATAATAGTTCACAATACGAAAATAATCAACAGCATTTTCTCAAACTTCATTGATGAACAATTAAGTTTTTTTGTACATGACATTTTATTTTTTTTGTTATTGAATTTGTGTTTCCATCATTTTCATATCACAAATAAGAATCTTTAGTCGGTCACTATCGACCAAGAGCATGTTCTCATAACAATTGTTCAAACAGATTAACTGCTGATCAGTATCAGTTAAGTAGAATACGAAACCTTATGACTAATTTTAAGCAGACGGAATAGGGAAATGGAGTTGTTTTGTTGTTTGAAATTGATTCATAGTTGAACGAGTGTGGATGTAATATAGCAATTAGATGGAATTCGTCTTTGATAATCTTTCATTCGATGATCATCGAAATAATGAAAAATTTGATCAGTAATCTTTCATCTCGAATGACGATGGCTTATAAAAACGAAAAATATTTACTTGAATTATCAAGCAAGAGCAAAGGGTGTGGGCGTGGCATTGCGAATTTGGTGCGAAGCTTTTCTCCATCACACCCGCACCCTTAAAAGAAAAACTGTTTTAAATATTTGTTCTGAAGTTAAATTAACTGCGTTTTATTCGATTATTTCAGTTATAAATGAAAATATTTTATAGATAATATATATATATATATATAACAAAATTTGTCTTCAAATCAATCCATTTTCAAAAATTAATTCAACGAGAAATCAAATTTTTCTGTTATACTTTCGTATGTTTCCACATCATCTGAAAGACAAAGAAGAAGAAGAAGTAAAAACATAACAGAGTTAATAAATAGATTTATTATCACTGTAACATTTACAGTTATTTCTGTTTCTATTTATCACTTTTGATCTACTTCCTTTCTTCTTACTCAGTTTAGTTAGTGCAGTCCCGTTTGGCTTGTTACTTTTTCTCTCTCTAGAAGCACCTTCTTTTGTGTACTTTCTTTAAAAGAAGTACAAGCACAAATGCCAAAGTAGCTGCATAATAATAAGATTTGAAAAATTTAATTAAAATTCTCCTAGAACCTTCAATTTAACAGATAATAAATTTACAGGATATGCATCAATGTTAGCTAGAAAAAAAAACAAAGAAAAAAAGATTTTGATTCTATAACATTTTATTTATATTATATACTAAATTTAAATATATTTTATACTATTTGACGTATTCAAATGAAAAATTCAATTGAAAGATATCGATTATATATATACGTTTGAATATATTTTTATCATTGATCATGTGCAAATAGATATACGTTTCGTTTCATGTATTTGTAAAATTTAAAATAATTAAAGCAACTTATTAATCTACTCTCTCATTTATTCGACGTACATTATATAAGAATATAGATAACAATCAAGTCAGTCACATGTTCACTGTATAAACACAAAGAACAGCAGTGTAACGTAATGATTACAGCTCGAAAAGCGTAATCAGATGTACCGCTATATTATCAGATTAGATCTGATGTTAAATTTGTCAAGTTAAAATTTATTTATATTCAATTAAAATGAGATATTTCATTTGACTTATTTATAAGTAAATCGTTGGAAAAATACAAATAAATCTTTATTACTCATAAAAGACATTGTAAATCAATTGTAGTTATCGATCAAGAATCTCATTGGACATTCTTAATCATCATTCGTTTTCTGTGTTATTCAATCATCGAAAACCTTTTTTTTAGTGATAGTTTTCTCGTATTATGTATTTGTTATAAGAAGATTTGAATTCTATTGCTTTTTACGACGTTAGCTATTTAAACTTTATACGTAGATTTTCTCCTTATTAATCTAACATATCGAATTCTTCTGCTGTTTCTTTATTGTCAAATATATCTAATGGTTATTTGATTGCATTTTGTTTTTGAACATTTTATTATTCAAAAACAAGAATGAAGATTTTCGACGATCAGTGACCTCTCTCAATAAAATTTTGTTGAGCAAAACTTGTTCTGTTGGATTTTATTGCACCACTACGTACTCATTGAAATTTTTTCTCCATCTCAAACACTTAAAGCAATATTTATTTTCTTGCGTTCTGTTGTTTTTTCGAACATAATTTTTATATTCTGAATTCATTATTCAAACCGAATATATCGTGAGCTGTGACATATTAATAATAAAAAAGAAATAAATAGGTTTTATCGTGAAAATGATTCTTTTAGTCTAGCGATTTCTTGTTAAACCAATATTGCCCTTCCGTTATAGGTCAAATAATTTTAAAAATTCGTTCGCCATTATATTATATGCTAAGGGCAAATAAAACTTAACACTTATTCAAAGAAAAAGAGATCTTATAACCTCATTTAATCTTTTTATGATTTGAACTGTTTTATCTTCTTGTTTAGATTTGAAATAGCTATACATACATATGGCAACCTCTGCAATCATAAGGTTTGCTTTATTACTGTCAATTACAAAAGAAAATGTAAATTAATTTTTATATTTTTGTTTTAATTATTAAGACGTAATAGTTTTGATCGTTTGCGTGCGATGGAATATGATCAAACAGAATCAACGTACGTGTGTGATTGTGGAAATGAATATATGAATGAGAACACTCTCAACCTACATAAAGTATGTTATAAACAATGATTATTAGACCTTTCCATTATCTCATTATTTTCCTAGAAAAATGATTGCAAAAATCGATCAATTAAATGTTCATTTTGTTCAGAAACATTTCCATCGTCAAATCTCATACGTGATCATTTACTTTTCTGCGGAAATAAAACTGATCAATGTCCACGTTGTCATCAATTAATACGACGTTCGCATTTTGCTTATCACTATGAAAACAAATGTGTATCAGTTGATGAAATAGAAACTCCTCCAAGTCGAATTAAAAATCGATCGGTACATCATGCACCTGTAAATCTTAATATGCCATTTTCGAGAGTCGATGTTCCCAGTAATGGCTATCCTGAAGAATATCCTGGACAAAAGTCTTCGACAAATTCTCCAAGAGGAAACGGTAAAATGCAATTGACTCTGTCAAATCCAAGTGAATAATTCTATTTTAAAAGACTATTTTTCTTTATTGAATATTTCTTTTACTTCGAAGACGATTCATCGATGATAATCAAATGCGAATTTTGTCATAATGAATGTGTTCGAAATGACTATCGAACTCATAAGGTATTCTTTACAGAATCTAAAAAATTATATTCTTTGTTTTCAGTTGTTTAAATTGGCATTTCATTATGTTTTTGTAGGATAATTGCCTTAAAAATCCAGCAAATATTAACCGAAAACAAACAATTGCAATACCGTTAAGGCCAAATCAAGCTTCAGCTAGTTCCAATGGTATTGTTCATATCCCGTGTGAAATTTGTCAACAGCCCATTGATTTACCTAATTGGTCAAATCATACTGTAAATTTGTCTGAAATCGATTATTTTACATTATTTTGAATTTATTCTATCTAGCAAAGTTGCCGTGAACGAGAGCAACAACGATTAAACAAACGTGCCGAGTAAGTCTATTATTGTTCGATATATGAAAGTTATTCAAAATATATTCTAGAACAATTAATCAAGAATCTGTTACTGAACAGTTTCCATGTGAATATTGTCAACAATTATATTTAGCTCAACAACTTCATGCACACGAAGTAATTATAAAATAATCAAATTTATATTTGAATCTTACATTTTATTTCATAGAAAAGCTGTGGGAGAAATCCGACTAATACAGTCTTAGTACGTGGCCATGCTCAACGGCCACAACTTTCAAATAATGTCTTTCTACCAATCAAACGACAGAATAATCAAAGCAATCCAATTTCGCCTAGTAAGTCATATAAATCCATATAGATATAGAGATATATAGATATGTTATTCTATAAGCAAAATAAAAATTTTCTTTAGAACCTCGATCACCAGACGATCCTCGTTTTGCTCAATATCAACGTATTGATATTGACCGTACACACCAAGCCAATAGATCACTGGATAATGAGAGAGGTAAAAATCAATATCATATATGAGAAATAAAAAAATAACGAAAATAGTTTTGAATCAGAAAATTCTGCTCGTCGCGGTCGTAGTAATGACAATTTATCGATGCGATCAAATGAAATCCTAGTAGAATCACCAAGAGAACCTAATCCACGTAACTAGTATTTTATTCATTATATTTATCTTGCTAATATTTGAATAGATGGGATCTCACGGCGTGTCAAATCATCTGATAACTTACGACTCGTATATGATAATCAAGATTTAAGTAATAATTCTGACGGTTATCCCCCACGACCCCCCAATAACAGTCGTCGACATCAAAATAACATTAACCGTAAAAGTGAAGTAAGTTAATTGATACAATTTTGACCGTTGAATCATTTATTTCTTTATCAGAGGCGCGAACTAATGAACGATAATTATATCTGTCCCAAAGCGGGCAAGAAGAAAAAATCTTGGTAAATATCACAATAATATGTTTTCTATTGTTTTTGAGAAACATTTATCGTATTACTAAGCTTTATCTTATTCCAATTAACATATATTAGCTACAATGTTAATATCAAATATCATTATTGACTGGAGGACAGTAGAGTCTTGAGTAGTTGTAATATTGAATTTGAATGTCATCAAAACTAAAATTGTTACACCGAGATTTTGAAAATAACAGGTTTTGCTGCTATATCTGGAAGAATATCGTACGTCTGATAGCCTCTTATATTCCTTTTATCTAATTCTGATATCAAAAACTACTGAATATTTATGAAGATTCGATCAAGTTTACTAAGAAAACTCTTACAAATCGCCACTAAAACAATTCAATTGTTTTGTTGAAAATTGCTTATAAATTCAACTTTCCCAAACGCATCTGTTTGATCAATCGTTGGGGTACAATAAATTTGATCATCTCGACTAGTCTCTTTTGAATAATGACCTCCAGACGTTTCTATCATGTTCTATTCGAAATCTATGGAAAAAAGAACTCAACTGTCCTGTATTTTTACATCAATAGTAGTATTAGCTATACGTAGATTAAAGAGATTTAAAATTGGTTGATTCTTTTCTAAGCATAGAAATTGATTCTAAATTTTCGTTTTAAATTCATCTTTGAAATTTATTTCTTCACTTGTTATTCATTCAGTGTATATTTTTATGTATGTTTCAGGCTGGCGGAACTTTTTTGTTGCGGAGGGGGGTCAGGTAATTGAAAGATAATCAATTTATATGACATTCGTTTTACTTGCTATATGAAAAGAACGTGTATTGTAACAGTGTGCTTTCGAAAGATAAAGCTGAAGTTTGTGATGATTGTTTCTTTTTTATAAAAATACTTATTTTTGATAAATTCTGCGTTCTCTATAATTTGTTCGATTTTTTTCTTCTTTTACATATATTTATGGAGCTCACTTATATTAAATGATTTACACAGATAATTAATAGTTGAAATCAAAAACTTTGCTCTGCCTATATCAAAGTTTTACAATGAATTATCCGATGTTCATGTCACATTGATAATATAATCACTACTGTTCTTACGAATTCTTCGTTGCAGTTAAATGAATGACAATTATAGGGATTGAATTTGAAACCATGTTGATAATTAATAGACTTCTTTTACATCGAAAATTGTTCTTTTTTACAAGCAGCTATGAGTAACATTAACTGATAAGAGACTGAAAATGATTCATTCTCCGCAGCTATTATTATCCACTTTTAGCGAGTCTTATTCACTTGAAAATTTTTCAAAGAGTAAAAAATAACATTTATTGACAGATGACGGACAGATTCTATGCTGTTAACTTGTATAAAAAGATCTTCAGAATCGATTGATGAACACAATCTTTAACTGATAAGAATGAGTAAATAATTTTCATTGCAATTTTCATTTATAGTCTAGAAAAATGAATCTAATGAATAGCTTTATTTAAGTAAATATTCGAGGAAAAACAAGATGATAAATAAAGAATTGCTCAAATTTTTTTTGGTTCTCCTTTCTGTTCTTTATTTTTTGAATAACAAATCAACAAACAATAATCTTATCTTTTTCTTTTTAAAAGAATCATGGCAATAATATATTTATGTACATGTACTTATGGGGAAAATATTTTCTTGGATTATCACATTTTTAAGTTTTGGTTTGAAAAATATACTAACGAATTAACTTTTATGAAGTTCATATGCTTTCTCGTACTGTTAAAGATAATACTATGGAAATGACTTCATGGATTAATGGAAAATCTAGAACTGAGCTCTACCTTCAGTTGTTCATTTAAAAATAATTCACTTTTTTATATTCAATATAGAAATAAATATGAGTTTGATGAATGCTTCCATAGAATTCACTCAAATATATGTTCACCAAACCCTGTTACGTTATAATCTCTATTTTCATCGAGTATTTTAATTTTGAAAATCATTTCAATATTTTACTTCTTTTTTCTTTTTGTTTATAAAATAGCAGATGAAAAACTGAATCAAACATGAAATTTTTAGTTATTTTACATAGTAATAAAGTATCAGCATCACTTTAATCATTAATAAGGTGAATTTCTTCTTTCAAGCAAGATAATATTGCGAGGTTCATCATGGCTTACTTTCTCTAATTAAGCGAAATGATAACAAACAGTGAACAGTCAGTCATTATACTGTGTTAGATAGTAATGATGCAGAGAAGACGAAAGAAAAGTACGCACATATTCATTTAAAGAAAATTAGAATATCCATCGGGTCTACAAAAATAAGGTTGAAATTCAAAGTAGAAAAGCTTTCATCTATGGATGACAAATTTTCACTGAAAATCACTTTATTGAATCACGTTTCTGTTTGTAATGGCAGATATTCGCTAAGAGAGTTTCTCTTAATAATCTCTAAATAATTGTTTTTTTTTCTTCAATAAGAAATATTCAATGAATGTAAAAATTGCATAGTTGATCGATTAAATATATATTTACATTATATTCATTGAAAAATCGCTCGCATAGCTAAAAATGGATGTTTGCAAATTTAATTCGATAGATAACGTTTGGAATGTTTTAAAAAAGATCTACGAAAGATGAATCTTTAATATTTCCGTTGTTTTTCTCGAAAAATAAAACCAACTTTATTTTATAACAAAATCACAAGTAATTTCAGATTTTTAAAAATTATCAAGAATCATCAATATTAATTATTTTCTCTTCTTTAACTTTAAATTCAATTTTCAGTTGCCACTTTGTGGTGGGATAGTTGATATCCATTCAGGGAATCTTGTTTTATTTTGTATTCTATAGATTTCATTAAAAAAAGAAACAAACCACAATATCATTCAGTGTGAATATAACATATTAATCGAACTTTAGATAATTCGAAGCTAATAAGACAAAGAATTTCATGAAATATTAATAAATAGTGCCAGATAAACGTGCGATAATAGTACATAATAGTTCGTGATAAAACTGTTATAATTCAATCAATTCACTATGAAAATAACATGTTTCATTCTTAACAATAATCAAAGAATTCGTATTGAAATGCTCATCGATGATTCAGAGTATTGGTTTTCTGACGAGCATTGATTTTTCATTGAACAAGATTTAAGGAGGCAATACCAAGCAAAAACACATTATTATCATGATTGTCAAAATATACGGAAGTTATTATTATTCATAGACATACTTTCTTTTTTATTCGTACGAATGGCGCGAAAAACTGGCATTAAACTTAAGCAATATTGAACTAAAAATTTTTACAATACACTGTTTTTGATATCGCTAAATTATGCTCACTATATCAGTAGCTCTTAATAAAGTCAGCACTTACTCTATTGTGGCATGTAAGTAGAGATCAATGCTCAGTGAAAATTTTCTTGTTACAATTCGAATGAATCCCACTTATTTCGAAAAATATCGATCTGTTTATCGAAGATAGAGAAGCATCCGAATAAAATGTTTTCTTTTATCCATTGATTCCTGATCAAATTCATCATCTTATAGGTATCTTCAATTTCTATTTTTTGACTTTTTTATCGAGAGAAAAATTTAAGCATCGTACCACTCTACAATAAAGTTATCTGGTGTTTGTTATGGAATGGACGGTTAAAAAATTATGAAAAGAAAATAGTATGCACAAGTTGAATCTGCTGATACTGTCAGTTTGACAAGTTACCAGTTAGAGGTATAATCTACGTTAATAATTATATTTCTAAGTGCTGTTCATGCAATGAAACCGATTTTCACCTATCGAGTCTGTGTTTTCGAGCACTTATGAGATTTTTACAAGAATTATGGCATGTTGTCTCTGTATGATGTCAATTAACTTTATTTCTTATATTGTCTACATGTCTATGATCATTGTTATTTCCTGGTAATATTAATTATCTGAATAAATGAGGAAACATCGGATTCGCATCCGATTGTTACGTGTTCTGTAAAACTGAGTCGATTTATATATGTTTTGAATAATTCTGAGAAAAAAATCCCTGTACCTCCCTCCGCCTCACGGGTGGTCTGGTCAATAATGACAATTTTTTCGACAACTCAGCCATTTCTTGACGGATCCTTCTCATTTTCGAACTCGACTGAGATATTGATGAGATCATTCTGTGTACAAAATTTCATGACAATTGGATGAGGCTTTCAAGAGTTATCGTGTTAACGGCCGGACGGACACACTGACCGAATCTAGAATGTACTCACTTTTTGAGTACACAAAAATTAGTATAAATCTTGATGTTTACTGAAGCGTACTGTATTTGAAATAATAGAAACTTCAGAATTAATAGTGTAATGGTTTTTTTCGAAATTCTATTCAGAATTGTGTGAGAATATATGTCTTGGTCTTGATTGACTGCATTCTGAGTTTCTCTGTATTCGAAGTAGTACGTTCTAACAGCGTCCTCTAGATCTCCTGCATATTTCTATTTTCTACAGGACGAAAGCTGAAACTTCGAGAAAACTACTTCCATGTAAACATTCAAGTTACAATTCATTTGTTCTTTGCTCTATTAAATCTTGATCCTACATTTACAAAATCGAAGTTTCTATATAACTTTGAAATTATATTATAAAAATTGCGATTAGACTATTTCATAGAAAAAATTGTCTACTGAAAATGATCGAATGCGATTTGGAAATGCATATATTTGGTGAGAAACACTATGTATCATCAAAAGAAGCTCCTCTTCTAGTAAGCAATGCAACAATTTTCTAGCTTTCAATAGAAGGATAGTAATGGTGAGCAAGACCTTCTCTAGATGCATCATTACAATGATCAATCAAAAAATAGAACGATTCAGTAGCATTGATAGATTCTCAAAATGAGAATTTAGTTGTGCAAATATCAATTATTTTTTAATCATTACCCCTTGATATCATTCTCGATTCTATTTGAAATTGTCATGGGCAAGAAAAATGTCCAGTGAAAACTTTTATTTTTTTTTATGATCTGACAAAAATATTCTATTTAACATTGGTTCTATTTAATATCATTCGCGCCTTTGTAAATTTGCACTTAACTCTAGACTAAATATTCGAGCAATTTTTCTCTTAATAGTTTCTACAAAAATAATATAAACCTATTAAAACACTTATATGTTTATAATCTAATTATATAATTTAGAATCGGTTCCGTTTTCCTTAATTACTCATTTCATTTATATAAAATAGAATATATGAATTTACAAAGATTTATTTCATCCGAAAATAGTTTGTGTTAACCTGTTCGAATGTCTCTTGATCGTTCATGTATATTCAAAATCTAATTCATGTCCATACGATATCGATTTAAACGAAACAAGTTTGAGTATGCACTCGATATTATTAATTTCTGAAGACAAAATTATTTCTCTCTAGTAGTCTTTTAAATGATCCTATTCCAGTTCATCCTGGTGCAATTTATCGACCTCACAATCGACCGAAGCCAGAAAATGTCCCACTATTAGTTTCCCGTGTGACAGTTCCACGTGGGATAAAAAGCAATGTTATTGTATCTGCACCACTTATTGCCAATGATAGTGACTTTTCATCTTGGTGGATCATGGGGCCCTTGTTTGTTTTACTTATACTTTTGGGTCTTGGTGCTCTCGCTTATCGCATGAAGAAAAAACATGATTCAGAAAAACGATTCAAAAGTGAAAATAATGAAACAACCCAAGAGAACCATGATAGAAAAACAAATGAAGATAAAATAGAAAATCTACAAACTCATGACAGTAAAAACAAATCAACAGTTCAAAACGTCACACTGACAAGTACAACAGCAAATATAATACCGCATGAACAAATAAAATTGACACGAACATCATCTGATACTGAAGGTAAATATGATGTTTTAGTGAACTTGAATTCCAGATAAATATTATTTTAAGCAATAATAGATTTTCAACAGTTATTCAGCCTTATTTTCAATTAAAAGAAAAATAATTTCTTCTTTTTTTATCAGTAAATTCTAGATAATTAGACATCATACACAGATTTGTTTTCCTTTAAGAGTGTTTAAAAAATGAATTCTAAAAATCTGTATTGTTGATGTATAGTTTTACATCAACCCAATAATCACTCTACGTATTGGTATTCATACTTCCTAAGAATATTTAGTCAGCATCTAACGACCATCCTATTAATCTTCATTGTCAATCAATACTTATTAACATAGTTCATATGATAAAACTAAATTCTGATGTAAAAGCAAAACATAGATATTATGAAAAGCAAAGTATTGCTCAAATAATTCAACAAATTTCACTCATTCACTAGGTTTTTGCTCTATTAAAAATTCTTTTGTTCATTCATAAACTCTTAGAACAATATCGAATTATGTTGAGAGTGAATGATAAATCGTAATTATTACTCGTATACTTTTTATACCCTCAAGATTGCTCAAAACTTTTGATCGAATTAATAACGAGTTAGATATACGTAAATAGAATTAAGGCAAAATTGATTGCTAACCTCAACAAAAAATTCCTCAAAGAATGATTTTGTAAAAACACCGAATGAAAAATCAGTTGAATAGTATTTTTTGTGTCTCAACAGAATACGAAACTATTTCAATGATTAACAGTGATAGTGCTTTAAACCGAATAGATTCTCTCGAGCCACATGGTATTGGCAAAAGTCCATTGATATCAATGTTTCCAAGTGGAACAAAACGAAATGAAAAACAAAAACTAAAAACTCGTCATGATCAAATAAAAACCAGAAACATAACATTAAATTCTCACATAGAAAATCAACAGTCAGGTAAAAATACCTTGTGATTCGAATGGATCAAAAAACTTTATTAACTATTAGACATAAATAAGGATAAACAAAAACAATTAACAACAAATATTAGTTCAAAATATGATTCATCATTTGAATCAAGTAAAATAATCTCATCGAGTTCTCTTGCATCAGTTCCACCAACAAAAGCACAAAACTCAAGAATTGTTTTATCAAGTAAAACTTTCGTTTTTTGATATTTCACTAAAATATATATTATTTCTATCGTTTTTGTAGATGAAAAATCAAACAGAAACATTCTTCAGTCATCTAGACAATATTCAACGATTAATAAAAACAATTTAGATATTTTTGGTAGATATCATATTTATATTCATATAAAAGTTGTTTATTTCATTTCATCAGATAATCGATTACAATCTAACAATGAATCATTAAATCATCAAAAAATACAAAAACTTGATGATAATAAATCTAATGCAACAACAACATCATTAACACAATTAAATTTAATAAGTCACAACAAAACAATAACTTTAATGCCAAATGTTCCTCAATGTAAATTAAATAAATTATCTGATGATAATGATGATTATGATGAAATTTATTCTTTTCCTGAAAATAATTCAAAAAAACAATGAAAAACATAGAACTATGAAGAAGCAAAAAAAATTATAAACTCTTAAGTTCAATATTAAAATACATCAATACATCGAAGAAAATCGACTTTATACATGCATTGATCTCAGACAAAACGACTTCACCACAAACACGAAATATACATAGAGAAAAAATCATTTCTAAATTTGAGAAAAGCGATTGCAACAAAAATATTCATCAAAAACATATCCTGTTTCTTGGAATATTCTATCGAGAAATTCTATTTTCTATTTTTTTCACATCTACTTCTTTTTTTCCGTTTTATATCTAAATTCAGTGAAATTTACAAAATCTACTCGGAAAATTCATTTTATAACTAAACATGATATTCACTACTCATAGAAAAGAAAAACATTTGCTAGTTTTTCTGTTACATAAGAATTTCAAAAAATTACTTTAAAACATTGCTACTTCGCGCTTTTTGTTTGTTCTGGTTAAACTAACTAAGAATAATAGACGTAAAGGAACCAGTTATGCTGTGTATTACGAACTTCTATTAATGTATAAGCACAAAATTAGTCATCATATGTTTATCGATTATATAAGCAGAAAGGGGGCAGTAGTTCCTATAACACCCTAACCCAGCATCTTTTAAGTTTATACTGACATAATATATTCTTTCTTTTGTGCTTGACTTGCATGTATACATTAAATATATATGTTTACAGTCAGCTTTCTTTGCTTTTTCTGAAGAAGTTTTTCAGAAGAAAAAATTCAAATTATTAGCTGATTTAGTTGAAAAAAAAATGAAAAAGCGTTCCTTTTTCTTTTTTTTATGTGCTAAAAATAAGCTTTATAGTCAAAAACAAAACAAAAAAGGATGGATTTCTTATTGTTCTATTCAAACATATTGATGTTCTTACTGCCCTTTATGCACAAATCAAGAAAACATTATATCACTGCGACCAGTCGTTTAACATGTTTTTTCTTATCGACAGCTACTATTCCATTGTGTTCGTCTGGAATGACAGTTTGGTTATCGATAAATAAAACCATTAATCAAGAACTAATTAAAAAACAGCGTGATTAGTCTATTTAGATTTAATAAATATGTTGCGACATAAATTAATTGTTAGCGTCAGTAGATGACACTCACTGGCGCTAAACGTCTCTCGTATGTTATCTATTTTTTGAATCTCTAATTTGATTTGTTACGTAATCTCTCAACTATGATTCATCTCATCTCGTGGTTATCTTTTTGTATTTCGTTATTGCGCAGCTGTTGATGTTCTATCGTATCGAATACTCGATACTCAATATATTCTATACATGACACGACGACAAAGTCTATTATTGAAACATGTTTAGCTCTCTATTTTTGGCAGACTAAATATTAGTTATACTATTTCTACAGAATCCCCAAAACGAGAGCTAACAAAATTGTAAGGTTATACGTACGACGTAATAGCTTGAAAAAACTTTGTCTTTTAACATGATTTCTACAGTCGAAATGAAATTTCAATTATTTTCTAGTCTATTCAACAATTTGGTTCTTATTCTGGAAAGGTAGATGTCATTCAAAAAATTTGTTCTTCTTTTGATTCTATAACCAATTTTCAGAGTAGCAATTTTATTCATGATATCCTATATTGTAAATCAGTTTTTCTGATATGTAGATGATAGTTATAATGTATAAAATTTAGTAATAGAAATTTCATTTAATTGACTTCCTTCATTCTAGTTTTAAATGTCAAATTAAAAAAGTTGAAAATATATAAAGAGTGAGTAAGCATTCAAACCTTTTAAAAACAACTTTCATTTAGGAAAAAACATTATTTCAAGATAAGTTCAAACTTGATAAATATTTATTTATTCATTAATCAAATGTTAAACCATTACTGGATTAAACTGTTCACACGTTCGAATAAATTTATTTATAGGAGTCATCTCAATTTTCCATTATACTGTAAAAGATAGTAAAAAACAAATTTGTTAGTTTTATGATCTTTGAACATTAATTTACAATTCTTCTTTGTATCTTTATCGATTGTTCTTAGAAAAAGAAAATTTTTCTAGAAGAATAAGTTTTAAAAAGAAAAAGAATATTATTATTATTTGCATTTCCTTTCAATGACGCACATTTTATAAAAACAATATTCTATAAAAAAATAAGGTAAATGACGTCGATACTTTCATGCATATTTTATAAGAAAATAAGTATAGACGACTACTTGTTAGTTTCGAGTCGCAAGGTAACGTGTTTGTTGTTTTTCTCTCAGTCTTTAGCAATTATATATTTGACTTTTTTCGAATTTTGAAAACAATAAATGCTGATGTACAATCATATTCTCCTTGGTGATTTCATTTGCAGTATTTTTTCTTGTAATAGTAATATTTTTTGATACTGACGTCATTCAAACTTGAACAGACAGTATTCGCTAAGTTATATTATTAAATTTCTTTTTTTCTCCTCTCATTACATCATTGTGCTCCCTTTTTCCATCTAGTAAATGGAATTTCACTCGTTCACCGGTGACATGAAGATAGAAAAAAATTATTCCGCATGAGTTTAACTCTTAGTAAGAAAAGAAAAGAAAATACGACTTAAAGAATGTTGTATCTATTCTTATTTTTCAAACTTATTTTCCATTGGATCATCTACGCGCACCAATAGAAAATGAGTAGAAAAAAGAAAAGTCCAAACAAAGAAAATGCACGAGCTCTTTGGGTTTTACATTAAAAGCACTGAATTCTTTTTGTTTTTAATTTTTAAATAACGAAGTTTTATGCCCGTTAAAAAATAAAAAAAATACTAAATGAATCATCAAGATTGGTTGTTATTCGATGATATAGTCATCTATCAAATAATTCTCTCTTTATATAATGTAACAGCATCATAAAGAAGAAATGCACACGTAAAAGATAGTGTAATAAAAGCCAAACAAAAAAACAAGTGCGTCTGCAATAATGACGCTTTCGCCGGCTAGACAATACACATAATCATCGCACGTGTGGAAAAAATCGACATAGACAGTGAAATGCATTTCAGTTTCTCGATGTTTTTTCTCTTTTTTTTTGTTAGATTGCTGTGTAAAACGAATCGGTTCTTTAGCATAAAGAGGAAAAAACAATAAATGATGTTTTTTTCCCTCATACTAGGTGTTTTTTCTCTACGTCTCGCCATATCAAACTAGAAAAAACAGCGCCAGTGTGACATCCGAACGACGCACTATTTTTTTCTTGATTCCCTTTTTTTTCTGCCTTGCGTCGGTGTTTTGCATTTTTTGTTGTATTTCTTTTCTTCGTTTTTCTCGTCGGTCCCTTTCTTCCAGCTAATCATCGACACACTATCGTCCTCTCGACGTTTTTTTCTCCGTACTTCTTCTAACCTGACATAACAGTAGAGAATAAAGTGCATTCTTTCAATTCTATTTGTAACAAAATGAGAAAAAAACATTTCCATCAGACGGTACTGCCGAGACATCAGCGTCTTGTCATTAGGCAATGCGTTACTAAATATAGGTCAAAGTAGACATTTGCGTTATTAGAGCGAACCTTTTTACTTGGCTGTTTTTTTCTAAGGCTTCGATATTTGTTTAAATAATATTAATACTGTTTTTCTGTTTTTTTTCTTCTGTAGTATTGATGACAAGATCAACACTAATACTTGATTGACTGTATACGCGCATTTATATTGCCTATGCATATTTCAGCGTAAAGAATTACGTAGTATGGCATAGTATATTTCTATCTCTGTTTGTCCCGTTTTGTACATGCATATGCATATGTTATTATGAAACGACCACCCTCTCATTCGCTGCTATTTGCCCGCTCTCGCTTGTTCAACCTTCACCTCTCGCGCTCGTTGCTTCTTTCCCTCCTCGTCTATTTTTCTGTGTTGGCGAATGTTACTAGTGTTGTATTCGGCCCTTTCTTCGCCTCGCCAGTCGTCGCCTCTCTTATTGAACATACACGCTATACATAAGTTCAACCATCCGAAAGCGACCGACCGACGGAGAAAAAGAAAAGAAAAAAAAGAATGAGAGAATAGAGGATTACGTGTATTGCCCGAATCGTCGCTCTCCATCTCTCTTTCTCTCTGTCTTATACAACTCAGGGGGCAGTCGTCGTCGCTCCGAAAGAGACATATTTGCTCAGTAGTCTTCATTTCTTCGGATTTTTTTTCTCTCTCCCTCGTACTCGTTTATTGTAGACCAACTCTTCTCAATCACAGTGTTTATATGCGAATGACGACCACAACATCGACTCCACCGAGCTCCGTAGCATCTTCAATATCGTCATTTGACCCACAATTACTTAAACTTTTGGCTCGACATCATCATCATTTTAATCAACAACCAAGTGCAAAAGAATTTCTTCAACATGCATTTTATTTTAATCATGCACCACCAAATACTGTAGCAACAATAACACCGCGACATCATCTAAGTAATGGATTATCAAAATTAAATACAGAAAATTCGACATCCAATAAATTACTATCTCCATCAACAATAAATAATGGAAAACTTGATCAACAACAAACAATATCACCAACTAATACTCAAATAAAAAAACCGGCAACTCAACAACAAGTTAAAGATGTTCTAGCTTTTGATCAATGGCTTCAACCACCACTTGGTTCTATTATACAAGGTCCACCCTGCGTTCAAGCTGACACAGCATCATCATCGAGTTCATCGGCAGCTGCAGGTTCTAAAGGTGAAACAACATTATCATCAGGTAAGACGTTCGCTTTCTCTATCCTTTAAACGGAAAGTGTAAAAAGACGCTATTCTTTCTCGACGTTTTTGCGCATGAAGAGAAGAATTTCTTTCTTTTTTTATTCATTTAGTTCAATAATTTTTTCCGAATGACAATTATTTGTAAATATTAACTGTACACGATAAGAACGCAGATTAAATACATAAGAATAGCAAATAAGACTATCGCTCATAGATTCAACTGGTTAAGTAAACGATATTATTATTATTAGTTGTTGGAGTACAAAGTATAGTCTAGAATATATATTTCTTTTTCGAACTTGTTGGCAGATATGTTTCTCGTATTTCAACGAAGAACAACAGCTGTCATTGATGCTGAAAATATATTGTAGTGTTAAAGTATAGACACCCACTGTCTCCGACATGTGTTATTATTAAAATGTTCCGGATGAATCTTTTACAATCTCGAGAGTTTTAAACACTATTTTGGTAGTTTTCTTACAGATTTTCTTTTCATTCTTTGTCTGAATTGAATAGACAGAAATAACGGCTCTTAAGTACTGTTCGACTATTATTAGGTTTTGCTATAGCAGAGGAAAAAGGAAAGATCTTAATCAGCAGCTCCCGTAGAACATAGAAGAGTGTATGATTAAAGAAAACTTTTTTTTGTATTTATGGTCAGGCTTTTTTATTTTTACAAAATAATATGTTGCCCGACACTTATATTTGTATTTTTGGTAATAATCATATATAAGGAAGAAAAAGCTACAATGTGTAAACAAACGTTTCTATCATTGAGTATGTCAGTGAAAACAATTGTGAAAAAATGTAATATAACATTGTTATTGTGTCTCTATTCTAATTTTAATGACACTCGTCAACAAAATCAATCCGATTTTTTATTCATACATTCCTACAGTACACACCTACGTTTTAACAGAAGTTTTATGACGTTATTCTTTTTCTATTTAACTAAGAAAAATAAAAGTAAACATAATATGTACTGAAAAAATAAATTGATTAGAATAAACAACAAGTTAAATTTCTTGATCGAAGACATTAAATAAAATACAGTAAAAAGAAATGAAAACCCAAAAAAAATCTCTTTGATAAGAGCAGAAAGAAAAATGACATAAGGTTTTTTATGGTTTGCAGTTAACCCATTAGTGACATCCGTCATAATTAACAACTAAAAAATAAGAGAGAAAACTATAGCCTATGACAATATGAATTTCATTATTTTTAAGCATCAGAACGATGTTTAGTTTTGAAAAATAAATCTATTTTACGGTATGACCTACAAACTATGATAGTTACAGAAGCGCACAACATAAAAAATCGATTGTTAACAAGTTAGAGAAGCGATAAAAACAAAACTAATCAACCATACTGAATAAATCTAAAAACATCATAAGAAATATTATTTAATATTGATGAGCGCATGACATAATGCTTTAATGATTCATAGGAATGATTATAAAAAATTGATATTTTTTAACTGATGAAATTATTATTTATTTAGGTGAACGTATAACATGTTTTATTGTTGGTGGTGAAAAACGTTTATGCTTACCGGAAATTTTAAATACTGTTTTAAAAGATTTTTCATTACAAGAAATAAATGCAGCATGTGAACGTTTACATATTTATTGTTCACGATGTACAAATGAACAACTTGATATTCTTAAAAAAACTCAAGTTTTACCAATGAATGCACCATCATGTGGCCTAATAACTCAAACAGACGCTGAACGTCTTTGCGCGAGTTTATTACAATTACGTTATAAAGGACAATTACGCACTGTAAATTCTATAACAACAAATCAATATGAACGTTTATATTCCATTAAAGTTCAACATAAATGTTTTGGCAAATGTTCTGGAACATTATATCCAACATTGTATGTTGCACCACAAGCTGAATGTATACAATGTGATACATGTCAAGCATTATTTTCTCCAAAAACCTTTGTTTCACATGGACATAAATCAGAAGAAAATCGTATTTGTCACTGGGGTTTCAACTCAGATAATTGGCGTGCTTATTTGAAAATACGTTCAACAGAAAATAATAAAGCACATGAAGAACTAGAGTTATTTAAGGAAAAATTTTTAAATACCAACAATAATAATCAAAACCTAAAGAAGCGCTTGCCACAACAATCGGTAAATTTATTTATTAGATAAAAAGTTTCATTTTTGTATATATTTTTATCATTAGGATTGTTTATTGTCAGCAGAAAAACGTACAAAATTAGTGCCATCATCATCATCATCTGATGCTTGGTCATATCCATATAATCAATCGAATTTTACATCCATAAAAAAAGATAATCATTATGGTGATTATTCTTTTGGTGGATGTTTACCACGACCAACATTAATACCTCCACCATTACCGTTAGCAGCTTCAGCTGATGCAATAGCAACAACAACAACAACATCATCGAACAGGTATAATTAGTCTTTTATTTCTTTATATATATATATATATATATATATATAATTTTTTTTCTTTTAATAGTTGTAATCGACCATCACCATTGCGTGTTGTTCGCTCAAATTCTCCCGCACTAAATGAGCCAATCAATCCGTCCATCACAAATTTCAATGGTAAGACAACATTTTCATATGGAATTCATTGAAACAAGTTGTGTCTTTTTTGTCTATCTTCATCATGATATATTAATCAGCTTTTTTCCTTCCGATATAACCTACTGATTTTCATAATAAAAGGACTATCATGACATTTTATCATTCATCTAATAAAACAGGTTGTTTTTCTTTTTATTAAATAGATTTTTCACCAGATGGTATTCGGCAAATAGTTGAATCAACAGTATCATCATCACGTGCTCGTCAACAATTAATAACATATATATCTCAATTACAATTACATGCCTATGCACAATCATCTAAAACAAATTCTACACTTGCTGTCGCACATCAACAAAATGAGACAATCTTATTACGCGTACGTATTTTTGTTCTATTATTTGACAATCAAAAAATATTTAACTATAAAAATAAATTTTCTTTTAAAGCATGAAAATGAATTACTTCGTGAACGCTTATTTAAATTAGAAGCTGCTCAAGTATCATCGAATTCAAGTACAATTAGTAATGGAAGTAAATTTTCATTACACGATAACAATCAACAACAAGATAGTATTGTTGGAGATTCAGATGATCTTGATTCAAATGTATCGTTACATAGTGCATCATCCATAGTTGTTCATGATACAACAATTGAACAACCAAAATACTTTGATCGTAAACGTCGTTTATTAGCAGCTGAGCAACAAATATCAACATCCGAACTCGATGCATTAGTAACGAAAAAATCCAGTCCACATAAAAAAGCTTGTTTAGATGATATTGTTGATTCATTAAATCAGAAGGCTCAAGCTGAAAGAGACGAAGTAGATGAAACAGAAGAAGGCGAAATTGAAGAACATCAAATAAAACACGAACAAAATGATGACGATGAAGACATTGTTGCCGGAACTAATCATAATTTAACACCTCCGTCAACAACAACAACAGAAAGAGAAGATGAAGATGAAGAAGATATTGATATCGATGACGCTAAACTGACTGTTGATGATGATCATTAAGGGGATGAGGTGTGCCATTATATATATTTTTTTCTTTTCGTGTTCAAATCTGTATCGAGAAAAAAAGAAATTAATCCTCAGGTATTTTCTTTTTCTGCTGATGTCGTCGTCGTTGTTGTTATTGTTGTTGTTTTCTCTTTATATTGAACAGTAACATCATCCTCTGTATCTTCTTTTTTTTCTTTTGTTTTTGACTTTTGTTTATCAGCATTGTACTTATTAATATGGGCTTGAAAATTTTTTTTTGGTTATCTGTTTCAATATGTACCAGTTTGTGTTAGCAAATCAAGCAGAGTTTTCTTTTCTCTTTTTGATTTATCTTGCTGTGGTGTGTATTCTATTGTTACCGTTAGTAACTTTATTATGATTTGCATCATTGTCATCATCAGAAGGAATATTTGCTTCTTTTTTTTCGTTTGTTTTTGAACAGTATATGCATATATATATATATATATATATGTGTGTGTGTGTGTGTGTGTGTGTGTGTGTGTTTGTTTATTTGTGTTGATTGCATTTTGTTTTGGCAAGAAAAAAGAAGAAAACAAATTGAAAAGATTAAATAAAATAAAGAAAAATACCAAAAAATGTGTCTCAATTTCAAACGATTTCATGACCGGAAAAAAAACAGACTTTAATTGCAAAAACATGAAATATTTAAAAAAACAGAAAAAGCTTACGACACTCGGTATTCCCAGGCGGTCACCTATCCAAGTACCAACCGAGCCCGACGTTGCTTATCTTCAGTGATCCGACGAGAACTGGTATATTCAAGTAAGCATAGGATATGCCAATGAAACATGTACTTATACATATTATAGAAACAAATATGTAAGGAAAAGATCAGTGAAAAGGTTATCGGTTGTAAATTAATTGAAACACATGTTGAACATTTCTTGTAAAAAGAACTAAAACACAACTATCTGTTGCTTGTCACTTTCGCAATTAGACTACGGAATGAACGAGAACTCAATATTTTAGTATATGACCTCATATGCTACAGCAATCAATATGAACAGTATTCAACTTGTATCCGGTTTTCTTTTTTTTAAATAAGTTTGTTTATCGTTTCAAAAAAAAATCATATCGGATATCCCCAAAGTTTGCATTTCGTATTTTTTTCCCCATCAATTTGTGTCTTAGGTGACTTATAAGATAAAACTAAAAGTTCTTGTATGCATTTTATTTCATTGAAAATGACTCGCGGGCTTAACTTGTCTATTCGAGTTCTTAGCGAGAGTGATTTCATTGAGTATTCCCTAATGTTTATAATGCGGTGATCTCGAAATTAATATTATTTCAAATTCAATACTTACATAAATCAGTTATAACAACAAAGTAAAAAAAACATTTTTGCTCTAATTTAGAGAAATTTTAATATTAATTATCGTTGATCATAGTTTTGACGAATTACTTTTGACACACTATTCACTGCAAATATCAATGAAACATCATTTCTCATATGCTATTCTTTTTGAGCCGTTAATAATTGTTTTCTTCACATGTATAACTGGTTCATAATTTTGAAAGTCAATTTCAAATTTATATTTGCCATTCATTTGGGAACTGTGAAAAACGTTTTTCCAATTTGATCTGCTGTTCGCATTTTGAGAATGAGCGATTAACTTCGGTCGTGAGTCATATATCGACTGATGGACCAAGAAAAATATGGTTTCAAAAATTTTAAAAAATTGAAATTAATAAGTTTGCTTCTGTGTTTTGTGCAGTCCACTATCTTAATTAAAATATACATGTAGATCATAGCATAAGATAAAAGGTACATTGTACTTATTGTGAAAACAGCTCATAACTAGAAATGGAACCAATTATCTTAATGAAAAGATTGAGAAAGGTCAAGAAGATTTATACCTAGTATTTGTCGTTGAATTCGAAAATTTCTTACGTAAATCCACTGATGCATAGCGTCTCTGAGTTATTTCAAGTGGCGCTGTTGTCGATCGAAGTTGCATTTGAAATAAATATGATTTTGTTTCTATTTAATCATCCATAATGCAAGAAATGATTTAAAATTCTTTGTTTTTATATTCCTTTTTAACACAAATCATACGCACGTTGACTTCTCTTCGTTTATTTACATAATTCTTTTTCTCAAATCATCATATTTCACGATTATTGAGTGACTATTATTTGCCCCAAATTGAAATCCCCAAATTGATCCCCAAAAAAAACCCAATTTGGGGATGATAAAACAATTCTGGTAACCAAATAGGGATTTTAATTTGCCCCAGGTCGAACTCACCCCATCGGATCCGATGGGAATGCGTCGGAAGTTGTCGGATGTCGGAAAGTGTCTGATTTTTAGGGTTCCGACAGGATCCGGGTCATTCAGGCACTTTCCGACATCCAACAACTTCCTGTCGGGATCCAATACCAAGGATTCTGCCAACTTTCGATGAATTCCCATCGGATCCGATAATTTTCCGCTAGGATCCGACTGTCGGATTGTTCTTCCTGGATGGGGATTCTGTCTTTTGGGGATTTTTTTTTATCATAAGATACACTGTGTATGCTGTAATTCAATCGCATCTTGGTTCTCGTACTACACAGCATCAACTTTAGCATAAAAGTTTCTAGCATGATCATTGTGTTAGCCAAGGTTCAATTTATGTTCTGATGATCAGAAAGTGATTTTTCACTCAATATTGCATTATGTAACAAATATGAGAACTACTTTTGAATGCCTATCATTTACCCCAAAACTGGTTAGCACAAGTCAACCCCCAAATAAAATCCCCATTTGGAGTAACCAAACGAATAAAGTGAGGATATTGATTTGAGGATTTTTTTAATTCACTAAGCATAAGACAAACAGCTCTACGATGAATCAGATGACCAGATTATATCTTGGCTTACTATAAAGTGTAGTTTTTGGCGACCCACAATATATTCTGGCCACCAGATTCATCGTAAAGCTGTTTTTCTTATGTTTAGTCAATTAAAAAAATCCCCAAATCAATATCCTCACTTTATTCCTTTGATAACGCCAAATGGGGATTTTATTTGGGGATTGATTTGTGGTAACCAGTTTTGAGGTAAATGATAACCTATCAAGAAAAATAGATAATTATTTTTAAGAATTACTACAAATATCATAAAGCTATATGATAATACTCAAGACAATGCTCGAGAACTTCAGTTGATAGTTCTTATCAACATATAAAAGAATTTTCATTTATTTTAAGATGTTGAATTTTCAAAAGAAGAATTGTACATTCTTTAGCATTCGTCAGAAACAAAAATCGACTGCAAAATGTTTTAAAAATTAAAAAAGAAATAAAATTTAAGAGAAAATATTTTTTTAAACGTATCTCCAGAAAATTATAGAAGAACCGCAGACAGATTCGTCATAAACACAAGCGTACGACACTCGGTATTCCCAGGTGGTCACCCATCCAAGTACTAACCGAGCGCGACGTTGCTCAACTTCAGTGATCGGACGAGAACTGGTGTATTCAACGTGGTACGACCGTAAGCGTATATGTTGGTGAAAAAGAATTCGATTAAAATTTTTTTGCAAAACGAACGAATAAATAAATAAGAAAACATCGGATTCGCATCCGATTGTTACGTTTACTGCAAAAACTGAGTCGATTTATATATGTTTTGAATAATACTGAGAAAAAATGTTTTTTTGAAAAAATCCCTGTGTCCCCCCTCAGGGATGGTCTAGCCAATAATGACAATTTTTTCGATAACTCAGCCATTTCTTCACAGATTGCTTTCATCTTCGAACTCGACTGAGATATTGATGAGATCATTCTGTGTACAAAATTTCATGACAATTAGATGAGGCTTTCAAAATTTATCGTGTTAACGGCCGGACACACTGATCGAATCTAGAGTGTACTCATTTTTTTTGGAGTACACAAAAAAGAAGTAAAAGAGAAAAAGCTTCGAGTTGAATAATATTTTTATTTTTTTGTTGCGCGCGCACGAGTTACAAATTGGAAGAAAGTGCATCTAGTTATATCAATCAAGTACTTGAATATTTTGTAAATTACATGGACGACAATAGAATTGCTATTATCAGCATTAAAGTACTTCATTTTTATTAAGTTTATTTGTTTTTAAGAAAATCTTTAAACTATTTCAAAATTTCAAAATTATGAAAACAAATTTTCACCGTGCAATTGTAGATGAACACAATGAATTCAATATAGAATCGAGAAAATAATTCAATAAAATAAAAATAAAAATGAATAATAGAACATCGGTAGCAACACTACAAAGACAATCTACATATGAATTAGGTCGTGAAATTCAAAAGAGAGAAAAAATCACTGGTGGATTCGGTAAAACATTTTATAAAGCAACATGGTTAAATGGAGAGAACTTGCCCATTGTATTACTTGAAATGAAAGGAAATAAAGTAGAAGTTGAAGCGTTACTTTATATTACACTTCATCATACACATATTATAAAAACGTATGGTCTTGTAAATCCAAACGATCAATTGATAGGCTCAGATTCAGTTTTACTTCTACAAGAATACGCTAAAGATGGTGATATTGCTAGATTGTTAAGTGCACAACATTTTATTCCATCACAATATGTACTAATTGAAATATTTATTCAAATATCAAGTGCTATGATTTATCTTGCTGAAAATGATATTATACATGGCGATTTAGCGTGCAGAAATGCTCTAGTTTTTAAATCAGATCCACATGATCCAAAAAAAAATTTAATTAAATTAATTGATTTTGGTTTAACACATAATGAATTATTTGCATCAGATATAGAGATCAATATTCCAGTACGCTATGCTGCTCCAGAAATTTTACGTAGTAGAGGCCGATCGAATTATTCAGAAAGATCTGACGTCTATTCATTTGCTGTTCTTATGTGGGAAGCTTGTTCTTTTGGAAAAATGCCTTATAGTGAAATTTATGATGATGAAGAAGTTTGTAAACAAAAGCTACATGGTAAAATATTAACACGACCAGATAAATGTGATCCAAATCTTTGGAAACTTATGATTGTATGTTGGAATGATAGATTTCATGATAGACCAACATTTAATATGATTCATAAACAACTGGAATCTATTCAAAATGTTCAACCATCGTCGTCATCCTTACTTTCGTAAGATTGAACATAAAAAAAAATTATTCATTTTTGTATTTGATTTGTTTTTTTTTATAAAGAAATTCAATGTTGTTGTCATCGTCGTCGTCAATAGTTGAGAAGCATCCATGTTTATTTGCAATTATATATGAACATTGTCATGACTGTCATTTACCATATACAGATTATGATTCTCATTTAGATAGTTGTCGTGAAAAAATACTGGTATGCTTTAAATGTGGTAAACAATATCGACGTGCAATTTGTGATAATCATATCAACACTTGTGTTAACAAATTTAAGTCAATAAACACAAGCCAACCAATGTCGTCTAGTAATTCTTTTGAAGCGTCAGTTACTTCATTTCATATGAAGATTTTATGCAGATGTAACGAAGTATTTCTAAATGTAGAGTAAACCATGATGATTTATTATTTTGCGAAAATTGCAATCTGCGATACAATATCCATGAGAGCCATGTTCATGAGGTACTCTTATTAGTTTATTTGAATAACATAATTCATATCGAATTATTTCTAGAGATGTTTTCTTAATTCAAAGCAACATCCAGTAATTCGTCAACTATCTGGAAGATCGACATCATTTGATGATAGTATTGTATTTAGAATTTTTAAAATATCAAATGTTTTTGTCTTAATTCACATTACTAGTTGATTGACGACATTTGTTTTAGGCGAAAATCGAAGTCGAAGAGAAAATACTCGTCGCTCAATGCAATTTGATTCAAATAGTTCGCTATCGTCGCGTCCAAATACGATTCAGAATAGTAATGGCAATCATTTTTTTTTCTATTCAATAATGGAATAAACATTAATAGTATTTTTGTTGAAGGAAAATCTTCAGATATACATATGGTACCATTGGACGACAACAAATCAACCATACATAGAACAAAATCTGACATTCAAGAAAATCTATCGTATAATATTGAGAGAGAGAGCCATTTCATCTTATATTTAATATATTCAGAATATGTTTTGTAAGGAATTTCTCCACAATAATTCAAGTACCCTGTGAAATATGTAATCGACCGATTGTGGGATCACAATATCAAACACATCTAGTAACTATAGATCATTTGGAATTCTGGAGAATCTTTCAAAAATATTATCTTTGACTTGATCATTAATTATAACTTAGAAACAATGTAATGAAAATGATAGACGTCGACTTGTGAATAAAAGAAGGTTTAGATTTTTGTTTTTTCGTTTCAAGTCATCACTTTTTCTCATTTTTTATTGAATCTATAGACAAATTGAATTATCAAAAATAACAGTGAAAGTTGAATGTCTATTTTGTCGACAACGCTGTTCATTAAATGAATCCGAGAATCATCAGGTATGATATTGAATAATTCTATTATATTTTAGTTAACACTATTTTTCTTAAAGAATAAGTGTTCTTTCAATCCAAAACATATTCCGGATGTATCAGATATTCAATCAACAGGAAGACGGACTTCAATTCCAAGTATTTATCAGAACACGAAACTATTCACTCTCTCAAAATATTATTATCATTTTTTGTGTAATAGATGATATCTCGTCCACGCCATCATTTCGTAAGTTACTCACTCCTTCTGAAGGATATATTAAAATATGAATAGAAGTCAATTTCTTTTGTCATATTGCTTTCGATATCTTTTATTATTTGTTTCATAGAGACTGATCATTTATCAGGAAACACATCTGATCAGATACACATACCTTTCGTAAGTGAAAAAATATTTAGCGAAGTTTCTCGACGTTGATCAATTGATTTTTTAATAAAAAAAAGGACGATACAACGAAAAATTCATTTCACAACAATAACCAACAATTGTAAGAGTAAATAATTTCTTTTATTAAAAATCATTTAAAATTTGATGTGTTGGTAGATCATGTTTTCAAAAGTTTCTGTCATGTCTACAGTCATTTTTCAATAAACACCAATTAACATAATTTATTGTTCTTCATTATTAAATGTTAATACACGGCTTTTCTTTTTATCATGAAATTTTTATATAAAATGAAAGTAATAATCTTTTTCATGTTGATAAATATGTGTGACATTCGTGAATAGCGATTGAATATTTGCCCGAGACGAAGAAAAAATTGAATTATCCTAATTACCATTATTATGAATTATTCTTATGATGAATAAAATAGGATTCATTAATAAAATCATAGTTTTATCTACTGATAACAATTACATGAAATGATTAGATCTTTGTATTCAATTGAACGAACAGGCTGCGATGAAAATCTATGTTTTTGTTATTCTCTCCTCGATGAAAAGGGACAAAATAAAAACGTATTCTTCAAGTTTTGCTTTCAAACATTGAAAATTATCTTGAATGAACTGATTTATTTGTTTTCATTTTCATTTTTATTACTACAACTGACAAAAATCAATTTTCAATCGAGTTTATTTTTCGTTCATACCTTGATTCCTTAGTACTGAACACGCGTAAATGTTTACAGTCTAGTACTAAAAAACCATCTGAGAATTATCGACACACTAAATATAAAAATGTTGACGATAATAAAGAGAAATAAAATATTTCCGATGTAATTGATTTCTATCTTTCATGAAAGAATATCAATATCAATAATAAAATATAACTTTATGATATATTATTTTCATATATGTATATTTTCCATACTTTTTTTTCATTCAAAAAGAAAATAATCGAGTCTAGAACACAGTAAACTAAATATTATGAAGAATTATTTTTTGTTTATACCATCAGCATTATCATCTTGATAGTGAAAATTCAAAAATAAAATTCCTGACATTTAGGGAAATATCATGACATTTATATTTTTGAAACCGTCTAAATCAGCCTTTTATACATGAAAATATGTAGCTAACTCTTTCAATGAGATTTTGTAGACTACAGTGTTTCGAGTCATTCTCGTTATATAATACTTGAATTCTTTCATATATCACTCCAAATATTATTAAATTTTAACTTTGTGAATAATGAATACAGCTCTATTGCATATAGTCATATGAGATTCATCATCCGTAAAGTGAATCGTTTAACAAAATATTTTTGTTTGAAGATTTGTATTTTTTCGAAAAACGTTTTTCCTATAATAGGACTATCAAAAGAAATCAAATCAAATACTAAACGATTCGTGTCAGAATATACGAAAGCGTTTCTATTATATCCAAGGATATTACTTAGTAGAAAAATAAATGATACAATATGCTTTTAATAAATATCGTCCGTTTTTTTTCTAAACAAACGGTAGGCGTATTTTTCGTTTCTAGTTCTTGAGATTTTTCATCAAAATTTGCATTCGAATTTCGAATACTGAAACAAGAACTGATCAAACTAAATGTACTCATTAGAAAAGCTTGTTTACGTATAATATACTGATATTTCAATAATATTGGTGTACATTTTTTGTTAATTTATTCATGCATCTTTGAACAGCAATTGTCAATTACGTGTATTAAATAAAATGCAACGAAACGACGATATTATTCACTGCCATTAGAATTAGAAAACTAGAACTCAATTAATTTAGGCATTTCATATTTTCATAATTAATTTTTATTTCATTTAATGAACAGTGCTCTTCTCGTTTATAAGCACATTTTGTCAACGTTTCTAATAGGTTATATTAATTATAAATGTAAATACTTTACAAAGAAAACTACTTTCTATTTTTTTATGAAATGAACTGCAATAACCATTACTTTCACTATTTAGTTGGTCTTTCTTTTTTCTTTTTGATAAATAGTGAAGATCCTATATAAACGTGTTTAGGTGTAGCCATATTTTCAGGTTGATGAATGTTCTCTATAAATATTTCTTTCGTTCTGCATGATTCTATTGGTATATGCAGCATTCAATTGGATTTTACTGTCTTAGCAAATGTTTTCGCTATCGTCGTGATGGAAAGATTTCTCCAGTTTTTTTTGTGTAATCTAACATTTTTACAATGTTGTCAGATTTAGTAGCAACTCTGTCATCTAATCCATATTTTGGCGCTGGAGCCGGTCTGATTGGTATCGGTACAGCATTGGCTGCACTTCGTCGTTCATCACAATATGGTTTAATATTTTTTCGTCGGCAATTTATGATAACTCTCGAAGTACCAAATAATGATATAAGTTATACGTGGTTATTACAATGGATATCACATCAATTGCGTGATTCAAGTCGTCATTTAAGTGCTCGTACAACGCTAGTGAAAAATGATGAACCATCATCACGTATTCAAGCATCCTATACATTTGTTCCATCAGTTGGCACACATTATTTTCGTTATAAAGGAAAATTCGTTAAAGTTGAACGTACACGTGAACAAATGATTAATTCTGGTGTACCATTTGAATCTGTACAATTAACTGCATTCGGACAAGATCGACAAATCTACATTGATATGTTAGAAAAAGCTCGTGATGCTGCATTATTAGCTAATGAAGGAAAAACACTTGTTTATGTTCCAACAAGTGAGTTTAAGACAAATTTAACATCAATAACTAAATCAGATTAGTTAATGAATGGCATCTATTTGGTCATCCAAGACGAAAAANCCCACATTGTAAAAATGTTTGATTTCCCAAAAAAAACTGGAGAAATCTTTCCATCACGACGATAGCGAAAACATTTGCTAAGACAGTAAAATCCAATTGAATGCCGTGATCCTCAATACGGGAGTGCTCGAAGGTTTAATAAAAGATGTTGAACATTTCCTTTCAAATCCGCAATGGTATATTGATCGTGGTATACCATATCGACGTGGTTATCTTCTACATGGACCACCAGGTTCAGGAAAAACATCAGCTATTATGGCTCTCGCAGGTTTTTAATCTACATTTATATAAATAATTCATAATCGATTTCTTGTGCTTTATAATGCAATGATCAAATTTAGGACACTTTGATTTAAGTATTAGTACACTTAATTTAAGTCAAGGTACAATGACGGATGATCGTCTTCAACAATTATTAAGTAATGTACCAGAAGAAAGTATTATTCTATTAGAAGATATTGATGCTGCAACAGTTGGAAGACATTACGAAAAAGAAGGTTAATTAATAGTCAAATAGATTTTTCAAGTAAAATAATTCAAATTTTCCTGTGTCTTCTAATTTTCATCAATAGATAACATTCGATATCAAGGCATGAAACCATTAACATTGAGCGGATTATTAAATGCACTTGATGGAGTTATATCAGCTGAAGGCAGAATTATTTTTATGACGACGAATTTTATTGAACGGTATGCCGTATTTTCTTTAATTAGTAAGATATTCATTTTCTCTTGTTAGTCTTGATCCAGCACTTATTCGCCCTGGTCGAGTTGACCATAAAGAATACATAGGTCCATTAACATCCAATCAAGTTGAACGCATGCTTACTCGTTTCTATCCTCAATCAACTCGTAATGAAATTAACCAATTTCTAACTCAAATAGAACAGCTAACAGATAATTATTCGAAACAACTAAGTGCTGCACAATTACAAGGATTTTTTATGCACAATAAAGACTCGATAAAAGATGTTTTCGCTAATGTTAATCAATTGCTATGTTTATAATTGAAATAAAATTTTGCTAACGAAAACATGAAATTAAAAGACGAACACAACAACCTTTTCTTTGTATACCTTTTACACCATTGACAGTAATATGTGCATGTTTATGTTCATCAATTTGATATTTTCCGATAGGAAGATATATTTCCCACATTGTTAAAAGATCTATCGGAATAAAATCATGTCTATATGCATAATCAACAATTACATTTGTTTGATTAACAATAATATGCTAAACAAAGCCAGAAAGAAAATAATAAAAGATTTATTCATTGGATTTAAAATATTTAACTGTGACAGAAGTATTAAAAGCAATAGATTTGTCAGGTTGGATCATTGAAAGTAATTCAATACAATGGCCAATTATATTTCTATGTGCAACTATAATTTCAAATGTTGTGTTTGCATTTTTTATTGATTGTTTTTTTAAACGAAAATAATCACGTTTTAATGCATGCCAATTTCCTTAAATTGTTCAAATAGAAATAAAATTATGAAAATTAGATTTGTTTCTCAAATTAATTGACAGTTTACTTCAAATATATATAACATGGGAGGGGGGGGGTAGGAGAGACGTTTTATTTGTCTTTCTTTAATCTACTGTCACTAGGGAGTTATTTCATTGATTAAAAAATAACCACATGATTTTATTAGTGGATAAAATTTTAGATTCTTTATTTTTAAACCATTCGTCTGGTGTCTTACATTCAAGCTCTGATGAATAATATAATTGTTCCATGGGAATGCTCATTTAGAAACTTGTCAAACTTCCGTTTCAAGTTCAACATACTCATGGAATCAATTTTGTACAAATTCAATTCAATATGTTGATAAAATTTAAAATTGTGTAGTATTAAAATGTTTTGTAAAAATAAATTTTTTAGAGTTTAACAAGAAATGTGGTTACATAATAGTGTTGTTATTCATCAGAACATTAATATAAGATATGTCAAATAGTAAAGAGTAATAGAGAACTACAAATTCTATCAGAATATTGAATGATACTTTTTGCTGTTGTTAAAAGAACAGTCTCGTGAATGATGACGAATATAAAAGCAATGTATTCATAAAAGTTATTTTATCCCATAATCAGTAGATTACAAGTCAAAATGGAAATAAATATCGTAAGATAGAACTAAAAATTGTTTTTGAAATATATAATAATTTCTTTTAAATGTGCTTTCATCGTGATACTGAAATTGAGATCGAGAAACTGGATATATTTTTCTTCTTCTACACGATGAAATAATATAAGTATACATGAAATCATAGCTTCTGACTTTTTATTCAGGATATTCAAGGATAATTTTCGAAAATTCAGAGAAAATCGATACCTCATATTGTTACAAAAATTCATTTTTCTAAATGAAATTTTCCATTGAAAAATTGTGTCTTGCTATAGGCTCAACTTTAGATAAAATTTTGATGAGTGACACATATTGTGAGCATGTTTTCCAATTTCAATCAGCTTTTTTTATCAATAAAATATCGATATTAGTTTTCTTTCTGTTTATGTTATCGATTTCGTTCAAGACAACAAAATGAAAAAGGAGAAATTGTAGTTAATCTGTTTGGTGTGAAATTGTAACAGAACTCTGTGCTATCGATTTAGTTACCTTCAAGTAAAAAAGTAAATAATAAATTATGTTCTCGAAAGTCAGTATCAATTGAAAAATATTCTATATCAATTTTTTTCTTTGATAGTAATCGTTTATAAATGATTGTTGCTGTTTCACGTGTCCGAATCACTAGAAAATAATCGAAAGAGAAAGACAAATAGAAATTTCTTTTTTGTTTTGATTTTTATCTTTTATATTGATTTTACTATCTGAATGTGTTAATGAATCGAATAACACATCATCTGGCAACTGTGACATGAGAAAATTTGCTGCGTACCAAGCTTGATTTTGTCCTTGAACAGTTAAATGTCCATCAGATTGTGTTCGTCGTCGTTGATATTGACCATGACGAACAAGAAATAGATGGCGAACTGGTTTATTATAACTTACACTTAACTCAGATTGATTATCATCAATAGAACTTTTATTTGATGTACTCACACTATCAGTAGTTAGTGTGGTTTCAGTATTCGTATTTGTATTTAGAGACCATTTATGTCGTTTAACAATTAATGACATTGTGTTTGAGATAAGAAAAAGAGCGCCTTAATAATATTCTTCATTTTTATTTCCAAAAGAAAAAAAAAGTAAAGAATTTTTTTCTAAGTTTACCGAGTACTTTCAATTCAATTATCATGTCGTACTAATCCTAAATCACCACGACAATAATGTGTACTAGCTTTTACCGATGAGTTTTGATGACTAATAAAAAGTAGTTTTCAAAATTGTTCATAGATCAATTCTTTTTATACGTACATTCGATGTAGACCGAGCCGTGATCCTGGAAAAATTCCTTTCTGACCAAATGACTTTTTTTGTAATGGCAATCCAGTTCGACCCAAATGGTGTGAAGTTAAAAGAATCGATAATAGTTGTTCAAGCATTTCATTGTGTTTTTCAACTTTTGACGCTGTTTCCGTGTCATCATCTCGAGACTAAATATATAGATTGCATTCGTCATCGTCATAGATTATGCAAGTGAAATCCATTCTCGTTTTTTCTATACATTTGATTTTAAACTACCCTTAATAGAAGGAGCATTGCATAAATGTTCTGAAATTGATAACTCTTCAACTAAATCATTCTATGGGTGTGTCTAGCATATTCGCTAAAAAAGCATTCGCTTTCCGTTAATGATGTAATTAAGTATGAATATAGAAACAAAGAAATACTCGTAGAACCACATGAGAAGTTAACAACTAGTTCCCAAATATGACAATTTTTCATAAGAATCTCTAGATAGTGATGAAGAAAACAATATTTATTTCTGGATTTGACATTTTGTAATAGACTAATGTTCAACAAAAGTTTTTTTATAGGTTGATCTTACTGAAAAATTAACTATAGGCGTACTGTGTTTTGTAGCAACCATTCTGAATGTTTTCAATAGTTTTCATTCTATATCTGAAAAGCTGTACTGATTAATTTTGACTTGATTAAAATTAATTCTTAGTTAGCAAAAATACAGAACATAATGGTATTTGACTAGGTTGTCTAAAATAGTCTTTATATATATATATATATATATACATTTAATGTGCGATAAAAACAAATATCACAATCATCATGTACCTAAATTCTTTTTTTCTAGCTGTCGAACTTTTCATTTTGACCATTGATTGTAATTGAATTCTACTTTGTGATTTTTAACTTGAACGAAATAAAAGAATGTGCATTACATGATTGACTACACTGCTAGATTTTAGCATTATTCCATAACACTCATTTTAATTATCCAATAAAATTATGATTATTCAATTAATTTGAGATAAGCATTTACTGGTCATTCTATAAAATATCTTGTTCTCGTTTTTCAATCACCAAAATGAAGTGATTGACATACCATACAAAAACAAAACGGTCAACGTTTATCAAATTTGTAATTCTTAAGTCTTTCAACAGAATTATCGTTGTTTTTATCTTATATTTGCTCAAAACATTCAGGTATATGTTTATTCCAATATATTAGACGTACTGAAAAATCATGTAATTTGATTTCCTTAAAAAGATTGATGAAAATCAATACTTAAAAAACCATAGGAATCTAATAAGATAAGAAATCATGTGTTTTTTCCTTTTCACCGCGAATGTTTTTTGAACGTTTTGACTGAAAAATAGTTGAAAATTTGTTAAACTCATAAATATGCCTATGCTCCGAAACATAACACCATGATAAATATTATTTTCTGCCATAATATTGATCGTTTATGATTGATTTCGAATGAACTTAAATTTTATTCTAATGTAGCGTTTTTCAGTCTAGTAAAATTCTAATACGATCTTAGAGAATTGATATTTTAAGATAATAAAGCTATGATAATAAAGCTATATTTTCAAGCAAAAAGCGATATCATCAATTCATTTTACATTGAGATATTAAAAGAAAAGTGATTTGGCTAGTAATGAGTATTATCAATGTCAAATGACACTCTAATTTGAGTAACACTATCATGCCATAGCCTTGAAAATTAATTATACTGTTCTGATTTCTCGTATCTAATAAAAACATTCACACAGTGTCGTTTTCTACGTTGTTGCAATGCTATCAATATATAAAAATCAGTACATCAATCTACAGAATAAGAATATCGCGACATCCAAACTTTTCCATGTGATATTGTACAACACACCAATCAGCATAGAATTTTCTTCTTATGGTTGCATTTCTTTTACTATAAAGTCTCATTTAAAACATCTTTTCCCCAATATATTTCATGAATATCATTCGAAAATAAATTAATCAAAAATAAATAACTGCACAGTTTTATTCTCTGATTGGTCCAGATTAACATGAAGTAGATTCGCTTTCGTGTGACCTCCATCTGTACAAAGTATGTGCCTCGTGACACTAACTGTCTAACGTACTTTTGAAGTACAATTTCTCCTGGATTTTGTTTACATCAATTAAGTTGTTTTGTCTGGCAAGGCAACATACTATATTTTTTTACGCAGATAAAATTTCAATTCTTATCGAAAATAGATATTTAAACACGTCCCGAGATAAAGAAAGTATTTGGAGAAACTTCAACATAGCTGCTATCAATTGTTCTCAAGCATAAGGTAATCGACAACTTTTGAATATACCTGTACAACATCAGCAATGGATATTGCTGCTTGATCAATAATATCTTTTAATAAATTATTTTCTTCTTCTAAATTTCTTATTTCAGTAGATTCTTTTTCTTGTTTCGAATTATCTTCTCGATTACGAGAAAGTTTTGTTCTACAAGCAAATAAATTCATATAATTAAACTTTTCATCTTTTGTTTCCAAAACTTACGACTCTTTTTCGATTTTTTCGATAGGTACTAAAATTTCATGAACAGAATTTTGTTGTTGTTTGCACTTGTCAAGTTTCTCCTTTAACAATTGAATAATCTAAGATTCTCAAAAAGATTTTCTTCTAAACGAGAACATTATTTCTATTCTAAGCATACATTTTCAGTCACAATATGTTTTTTTGCTGAGTGTGTTTCTACGTCTTCGAAAATTGCTATGGTTCGTGTTAAACGTTGATTATCTGCAGTATAGTTTTTATTAATTTCAATTGTTTTTTCTAATTGATTCGATAAATAATCAAATTGATTATTTAAATAAAAGTTTTCATGTAAAGCACGTTTAATTGTATTTGATAATTGGTTTTTTGCATTATGATGAAATTCAATAGCAAGATCATTTAAATATTCGATTGCTTCTTTTTTTAATCTATGAAAGAAAAATAGATTAAAATAGATGAACAAATGGAAACAAAATTTTCAAAACAATCGAACCTATCTTTGAAAAACATTAGTGCTATTTCCATATGATATAATGCTTTTTTATAGGCATCTTCTTTTTTTAAAATTAAACTTTTTAATTCATCAATTGTTTTTTCCATTGTTTGTCGTTGATATTCAAATTCTTCTAAAGCAACTAAACGCGTTTCTTAAATAAGAAAATTGGTTATTTATTAATTAATTTTTTTCTTAATTTATAAAATGATATTACTAAGTAACATATTTTCGTTTCCAAGGTTTTGAATTTCCAAATCATATTGTTCTTTAAGGTTTTGTATTTTTTTTTCAAACAAATCTTTTTCATAATCTTTAGCTTGTTGTAAATCTGTCAAACGATCATTTAAATCGAATACTTGTTCATTACGTAGATCGAGTTGTTTTTTTAGATACGATGATATATCACGTTTATCTTTAAAAAGACTTTCGAATTGATCACCATATGAACGACACATTAATTCTAGTTCATCACATCGTTTTTGATATCTGAATAAGAAAATAATTATGAATTTTGGTCTTGTAGGTTTTTAAATGTTTCGAATAGTTGTTCGTCGTAATTCAACTTATGCTAGTGCTTATCGTTTAAGTATTCAACATCCCGAACGATTTTGGAGTGAACAAGCACAAAAAATATTTTGGTTTCAACGATGGCATAAAGTTTACGATGAAAATAATCTTCTTAGACCTCATTGGTTTCAAGGTGGACAACTTAATATGGCATATAATTGTCTTGATCGACATATTGCAAAACATGGTAATCAAACAGCTATTATACATGATTCTGCTATGACGGGTAAAGTAGCTCATATAACATACAAAGAACTTTTGAAACAAGTCAAAACATTGGCTAATGTTCTAAGTAAAAAATATAATGTCAAAAAAGGTGATGTCGTATTAATTTATATGCCGATGATACCTGAAGCGGCTATTGCAATGTTAGCTTGTGCTCGTATTGGTGCTATACATAATCTTGTATTTGGAGGATTTAGTGCTAATGAATTAGCAGTTAGAATAAAACATTCAGAGCCTAAAGTTCTCATTTCGAGTAAGTAACAAAAAATAAATTACTCAGAAAAATATCTGCTTACAAATATTTTAATTTTTCCTAATGTAAAGCTAATGTTGGCTTTGAGCCACAGCGAACAATCAATTATAAAACAATTGTCAATGAAGCCATTAAAAAGAGTGGCATTAACAACGATTCATTAAAATGTATCATATTCAATCGACCAGAAGGAAAACCAGCAGATTTAGTCTCTGAAAGAGATCGAGATTGGAATGATGTTATGAGTAGTGTGCGTGATTCTCATGATTGCGAGCCTGTCGAAGCAGATCATCCTCTTTATTTACTTTATACATCAGGTAAACAAAACAATTGATTATTTCTTACACCAAAATAGTTGTATTTAAAAGCAAATGATGTTAAGGTACAACGGGTACTCCTAAAGCGATTGTTCGTCCAACTGGCGGTTATGCTGTATCATTACAATGGACAATGAAATATTTATATAATATTCATCCTGGTGAAGTATGGTGGTCTGCTGCTGATCTCGGGTGGGTATGTATTCCAAGGCTAGTATTATGCTAGGTCTTCTAATTTTGACCAAAAATGTGTATACTGTCTTGATTTTGTTTTTGACTTATCTATATAGGTTTTCCTTCTGTAGTCACTATATATGATATCTTAGCTATTTGTGTTTTCCTCTTACTATTTAGAATAGCTTCCACTTTTGCCAAATAGGTTTTTAAATAATTTTTCGATTTAACTGTTGTGTTTCTTCTGGAAATTCAAACGAATTCAAATTAATCAAGTGAAATTAGGTTTGTATCAGAATTTTGAATTGATTACCATAACGATATATATATATATATATATATATATAAATGGTTTCATTCTTTTAAATTAGCATTTGTTTCAAGGCTACTCCGATGTTCATCATAAAAATTCAGAGATTAGACTCCTTCCGTGGTACACATTAAAATATAGCATAGTAAGACTTTTAATCATTACTAAAAGGAACTTCTAATGAATTGTATTTGTATGCAACTCCCAGGTCAATGATCCCGGAGGACGGATACCGTAGGAATCGAACGGAAAGATGCGGAAAAAATCACCGTATCTGGCTGGAAAGTGGAAGCAGTATTCCGGTTGGAAGTTACCGGATTTTTTCCTGCGCTTTCCGGCAGGAAGTTAACCGAAGTCCACAGGAAAAAAATCCGATAATTTACGACCGGAATACTGCGTTCACTTTCCAGCGCTTTCCGGTCATTTCCCACCGTACCTCCACGACCTGCGCTGTAAAATTTTCATGTCAAATATTTTCAATTCTATTACAAGCCATCAACTTGTTTGAAAACATGAATTTTCTTTTTTCGTTTATTTTCTATAGGGTTTGAAAGATTTGAATAAGATCATTCTTAATTGTATTGACACTAATAATTACACCAAATGTTCCATATATAGATAGACGCTGAGAAAACAAAATGTAATAAAATATTTTTATTTTTAAAAATGGAAAAAAAATGTTCTACTGTTCCACTCCATGTGATTCAAACCGGAAAAAAACCGGCGGTATACCGCCCTTTTTTCATGAAAGTGATACATCCTTTTGTATAGTATAGAATCGACTGAATATTTTTTAAGTATGTTAAAACCGGCAGAATCGTGTTGAATTCGGTGCACTTTCACAATGCCGATGTGCCTGAGCCGCCTATATTAGCCACAGATCTCAAATCAGTCCCATTTATGAGATAAATATTTTATTAAAGATGTCGTTGTAAGAATAATAATTCGCAAAATATATTCTAAAATAATTTTGATTTCGATTAATTCGAATTCTTTTTCCGAAATAAATCGGGATTTGATGAAAAACGGTTTTTGGAAGCCTTTTTAGCTGGAACCGGAGCTTATATGCGCTACCGCCGGTAAACTGCCGATATGACGCCGGTTATTACGAGTACCGCGATATACCGGAGGTAGTGACAAAAAATGTGTGACATGGGGCTAGATTTTAAAGCCCAGAAAAAAATGTCATTCAACAATATTATCTTCTTTTTGCCACTGTTTCCAGTGCAATCACAAATATGTATTTCAAAGAAAGAAAACAAAAGTGAACACATGATTTTCGCTCACTCAGCCAGCATTATGTCAGCTTAGAACATAAAATTGAACTAGACTATCGATATTTGACATGTTCACAGATGAATATTTCCTAAATCCAATTTAAAAATAGATATATCGTATTTTGCCCCTTGCTGAAATTTGTCATTTTTTACTCGAGTGCTCTTTCTGTATTACTAATTTTGATTCACATCCCCTGTTGCAAGTTCTATATTGTTTTGTTTTGTGAAGGAAAACTTTTTATCAAATATATTATTTTTCTAAGGTTGTTGGTCATTCTTATGGATGTTATGGTCCCTTATTAAATGGATCGGCAACTGTTATTTATGAAGGAAAACCAATCGGTACACCAGATGCATCAGAATTTTTCAGGATTATTCATGATCATAAAGCTGTTAGCTCATTTTGGTCTCCAACTGCATTAAGAATTATTCGTCAACATGATCCTGATAATAAACATGCAACTAAATATAAATCGAATCATTTTCGTGCTTTATTTCTTGCTGGTGAACATTGTGATAGAGATACATTGTTATGGGCAAGAGAAATATTTGCTGAGAAACCAGTTATTGATCATTATTGGCAAACTGAAACTGGAACACCTATTACAGCTGTCTGCTTAGGCCTTGAAAAACATCCAGTAAGAAAATGAGAAAGAAAACCTGTAGTTTTATCTTAAACATAGTTATTTTTTCCTTTAAGAATTTAGGTCCACCTGGCTGTGCAGGACGTCCATGTCCTGGATATAATTTACATTTATTTTCTTCGGATCCCAACTCTAGCGAAGAAGAAGACTCTTCAAGTGACGAGCTAGGTCGTATTGTAGTTAAACTACCATTGCCTCCAGGATGTTTTTCAACATTATGGAAGAATGATCAACTTTTTCATGAACTTTATTTTACAAGATATCCTGGTTATTATGATACAATGGATGTTGGCATTAGAACCGAAGATGGTTTTATTGAAACATCATCTCGTGCTGATGATGTTCTTAATGTTGCTGGACATCGTTTATCAAGTGGACACATAGAACAAGCTATTGTTGAAAGTGGAAAAGTTTCTGAATGTGCTGTTATCGGTTTGAAAGATGATGTTAAAGGACAACAACCATTTGCTTTTGTTGTTTTAAATAAACATGAAGAAAATACTGCGTAAGTAAAATCAATGTGATATAAAGCTCTTAGTTTTATTTTTTATTATTTTCAAAGTGCTGCAGAAATTGAAAAAGCTATTATAGCAACTGTTCGACAAGAAATAGGTCCTGTAGCAGCATTTAAAAAATTTGTCTGTGTTAAGCGTTTACCGAAAACACGTTCAGGAAAAATCGCACGAAATACTTTAACTGCTTTACTCAACGGAAAGGCATTTCGTATTCCAAGTACAATCGAAGATCCAACTGTTTATGATGATTTACGTAAAGAACTTACACAAGTTGGATATAAAAATCTCGGTGAATCAAGTCAAATGTAAACATACTTGATTAGACGTGGTTCTAGTGAATTAATTTGATCTAAATAAAACTCTTTTTGTTCTTCGGAAACAACTGGCGTGTTGATATAATCGTGTTGATTAACATCTTTCTTCTTTTTAAATTTGTTCTTTGACTTTCTACTCTTTCGTTTTGATAATGGCATTATCAGTATCTGATTAGACAGGTGGAAAACAAACTGACATCATCAATATTTGTTTATTTTGCGCCAATCTTTCTTTCTTTTTCTTATACAAATTTTTCTCTTACTTTGACGTAGATGTGACTAAACAAATAGATATTATTCTCGTAGACATTTTTTTTACAATAAGAAATCCTATGAAATAAATTTACTCCTATTACAAAAGTAGAGAGTCAAATTTATATGATTAATTAGTATCCTTAGTTTATATGATTAGAATGTGTAAAAAAAGTATTCAAAGTAGTAACCTGATATGTATTCTATTGTTTTGAAATTTTGCTCTGTTACAATGTTTTATTCAATAAAAAAGTTGAAGCAGTCTTGTATTAATAATATTACGTAGATTATTTCTAGCGTCTGTTTTATCTACATATTTTTTTTCCTTGAAAATAATGAAAAACATCTCTTAAGAAAAAAAGAACGATAGAAAAAAAAAGAAAGGAAATAGTAAAGGATGACTTCTGTCACAGAAAAAGACAAGGATAAGAAGCATCATTATGCTTTCATTTTACAATTAGATAGTGTTGAGAGAAAACTGACACAGAGAGAGAGAGAGAGAGAGAGAGAGATAGTAAGAAATCTTTTCCGTCGTTTTGTGATGGTTAAACTTCTGTGACTTTTTACATACTCGATCTGCTTGAAATCTTACAAACAAAAACTAGACAATATAAAATAAAATGGGATGCGCATCATCAATTGGGCCGCCGACAGCAATAAAACCAGTCGAGCATATAGAAGCAAATAATAACCTCATATTTACGATTGATGAAAGATTAAAGTTAAAAGAAGTATGGGTTATAGTTAAACAGAATAATTTAAAAAAATTAGGCGACGATATTGTGACCAGGTAATTAACTTTATTTTAAGGTGTTCAATCATTTTTTTCCTATTTTATGTGTAGAGCTTTAGAAAAAGACTCGTCATTAATTAGCTATTGGCAAAATATATCTTTCATGGATCAACGAAGTAATTTAACGTTTGCTGAGAGTGAATCGATTGTAGACACAGATTTATTATGTAAGCAATGTTATAAACAACATGGATATAAATTTCTTGACAAAATTGACCAATTGATTATGATTATGGTAACACGTGCAACAACAACAACAAATAGTAATGATAATATACTTGATGAATATTTTCATCGTATAGCTGAAAAGCATGTACAATATAAAGTAAAGCAAGATCATGTTGATGTAAGCAAAATTGAATACTTGTTATATCAGTGAAAATAATTTATTTTTCATACATGTTAAGATACTATGTGAATGTTTTATTGAATGTTTAAAAAATTTAATGTATCATAACCGGAATGAATGGACAATAAAACATGAATTAACCTGGATGAAATTTTTTACATTAATAACAAATCAATTTTTATCGCCAACATCAACAAAATCTATATCATGATATAGTGTTGTTCATTTGTTGTTACTAATGAAGATAACTTTCAAGCACATTATTGTTTGCGTCTAGTCTCCTATTGTTGTAAAATAAATAACCTCAGAACTAGAATGGTTATCTAAAAATTTTATCTTTCACCACTTCAAGGTTTCTCTTGAATATCCTGTTCGTGATATTTTACATTATAAAAACTAGATGGTACCCGAGTTGCACTCGTATACGAAATGCGATGGGAGGTAAGAACACGGATCTTCACAAAAAATCTTCAAATGGAAAAATCTTGAATGCATTCTATGTCGACATGATGAAATTCATCGCTGAGAAAACTCTATTCTTACTTAGTGATACATTCTTAACGATCGAATTCGATTGATCGATTAATTATCTCCATGATTCATTATCTTAGATCAGCTGTAAATCCATTGACTGTAGTGGCGAACATATGTTGATAGTGCCATTTTAATTGTCTCGTCGCAAATTTTTTTCGTTTTCGTCATTTTGGAACCTCATTTCTGAGTGAACGGAACTTCAGATTGAAGATTAGAAAACAGGTGTAAGCAGTTCGATCTTGATACTTTTATCTCACATTTTAACCACTTTTCTATGATTCTCCGTTTTTGAGATCATTAAGACAAAAAATGAGGAAAAATATGCGTATTTCTAGTTAAAAAAAAACTCGCGACGGACTACAGAAACGCTTCTGCTTCGCATCGCATTAAAAAGACTGCTCATGTTACGCAGATTCCTTTCTTTTAACTAACTTCTCTTCTTCCTACTCAAGTTTTAATTATCTTGCGTAGAAACGAACGTGTTATTAAGCTTCTTTTGTTACCATCACGAGAGGTTTTCAAAAATCATCATCTCACCAAACAAAATGTCAACACCGTTGAAAGGCTATTTAATAAAGCATGAAGAGAAAAAGACAAATTTATATGTTAACCTTTTTATTTTGTCTAAAAATGTTCGATTTTTTTCAGCGACAGTGATTTCATAATTATGTTCAAAAAAAACCGTTCAATTCATTTTTCTCGAAGTTTTTCCAGAGGAAATAAGTGAATTGTTTTTTCAAAATAATTTATTAGTGTCGTTGATAGTTCAATCAACACAAAATTGTTAACGATTAAAAATTAGTTTACGCTTCAGTATATCTTATAATTCATCTAGATAGAGGTTTCATGGAAAAGATTCACGTTTACAGATCCAAGACGCTTTCATTACGTAAAGACTTCAATTTTTGGTTTGAAATTATTCTTGTAAATAAATATCTGAAATTTTCTGTATTACAATCTATTCAGTTTATGGTAAGTGATAGCATCATTTCTTTGAAATAATCTATAATTAAAACGCAAATATTTTAGTTGAATGAGCAAGAAATAGTTTGTTTCGAAGACGATTTAAAATAATTAAGGTGAAACTTACGAAAAATATAAATCTTTGTCTTTACCGACTTGATGAGCTATCAATTGAAATATATATTTTAGTTATTCTGGAAGAGTCATTTGACATAATTACAATTGAATAACTTGGATTTAATGGAAAATACTCTATTTTTGTCCGTTCTTTTTCGGGTAAGTCAGTATATTGCTGACATTGAATTTACGGTAATATATGTAGGTATTTAAGAATATCTATATACTACATCTATCTAATAGAATAGAAGCAGCCAACTTGATATTATTAATTTCATGTCAGCATCGCTTAGAGAAATTTCTAGTGACGCATTTAAAGATAATGCTAGAAGTACGTAGAATGTGTTTATATATATATATATATATCGAGTACTACTGCTCGTGCCACAATTTTTTTAAATTACTATTTCGTACATGTAATCACAACGAAATGTACTCTTCCACATAGAACTTGGTAATAGCAGCAATGTATGCTTCAAGTTGTTTTGATGAATAAGAAATATATCGACATGGAAATAGAACTTTCATTTCTTTCTGTTTCAATAAAATTATATCACAAATGCAAGCAATGAGAAAATAATTTGAATGTTAAAATTCCACAGCTTGCCATGGTTGTCTTCTGTCAATCAAGTTCCATGTTGCGGTAGTTTTATTTATGAAATTAAAAAGAAAAGATTACAACTCTATCGTAGCATTGAACTCTGCTTCATATTGTTGAGATAAGATTCAATGGTCAAATAGAATAGATACGGGCGAAAGGACAATCCTTCCTGATGAATAGTTGTTATTGACATACGAATTCTATTTATACATGAAAGTGTACTAAAGATTTTCATTTGTTTTAAATGCAATACATATAACTGGAACATTATCACGTGTTTCATTGATATTATGGCAAAAATATAACGTCCTTTATTTGGTACATTTAAAGTGTTGTGTCGGTTTTTGATTAACAATATAACATGTAGAAAATTAATAACAGCAATTCGAGATCAAACATAGGGTTATTTTTTTTTTACTTAGTTCTTATTTGTATTCTCAGCGATGTTAGTTCTCTTTTTTTTCTATGTTGGCGGTATACATTATCGATGAAAAGATTTAAAAACTACTGAATATTTCTATAAACTAATATTCGATGTTTATCATTTGCATCAATATTTTCTGAATTTTCCTAGCCGAATATATTCATTAGCTTTGATCTATACGAGAATGGAGTTACTAGACTGAAAATATCAATTCTTCAAGAAATATAAAATCCTACATGCATAGATGTCGGTCCTAGTCATATTTCTATATTAGTTGATTATGAGCAGAGAGGTTCAATTGAGAAAGAAATTCGAATTTTATTTCTTAACAATTTTGGATTTTCGAAGAAGAAAAACTCATTAAAAGCAATACAAAAGTATCCTCTATTAATCACAATCTTTATTCCTATTCGTTATATTCTAACCATAACATGAAGATTCCCATTGTTCTTCATCTTCATAAAAAAAAACTTCTGTTGCACGCATTACCTATCGAAAACTAAAACAATTGTACAGTGAATCTTCCAAGTTTTTGTTTTTTTGTTTTAGTTAAGTAATTAATTTCGTTTTGTTATGGCAAACAAAAGTATTGCTGTAAGTCTTTCGTTACATTTGGGTAATTTCACAAAAATTATTTTCGTTTCTTTCCAATAGGATATTCAGCATCAAGGAAAATTCTCTGTTGAACCATCATCAATTGCTGGCAAATTAAATACCGCAGATTGGCCACTTCTTCTTAAAGTAATTTTGAAGTTTTCATCCTTTGTTTTGCCTACATTTTGTAATTTATTCAATAGAATTTCGATCGTTTAAATGTGCGTTCGAATCATTATACACGTAAGCTAAAGTGATTATTTTATAGAATCAAAGAAATAATTTTTTCTTTTTTTTAGCAATTGCCCAAGGTTGTTCACCGTTGCAACGACCTATTGATGATTACGTCAAGTAAATCAGTGATGAAATGACTTTCTATCAATGATTCTATTGTTTTCCTATTTAGATCAGGTTTCATTAATTTGGATAAACCAGTGAATCCATCGTCACATGAAGTTGTTGCATGGATTAAACGTATACTTTGTAAAGCATTACCGGTATCAAAAACTGGGCATTCAGGAACATTAGATCCTAAAGTATCTGGTTGTTTAATTGTTTGTATTGAACGTGCAACACGTCTTGTTAAATCTCAACAATCAGCCGGTAAAGAATATATTGGTGTCGTACGTTTTCATTCGCCAATTGATGACATTAAAAAAGTCGAACGTGTAAGTTATATAAAAGAAAAATTTTATATTCAAAAGTAAGAGATTTATTTATATTTTAGACGCTTGAATCTTTAACTGGTGCCGTTTTCCAAAAGCCACCTGTTATCGCCGCAGTTAAAAGACAATTACGTATTCGAACCATTTATGAAAGTAAATTATTAGAATTCGATCAACGGCGAAATATTGGTAAAATCTAATTGTTCTTTTGCTTGTGTTTAAATATATATATATGGTATTTATAGGTATTTTCTGGGTTAGCTGTGAAGCCGGAACTTATATTCGAACATTATGTGTTCATATGGGTCTTTTACTTGGTGTTGGTGGTATTATGCAAGAATTACGTCGTGTTCGATCTGGTATTCAATCTGAAGCTGTAAGCAAAAGAATTTAGAGATTCAATTAGGAATAACATTCGAGATTCTGCAATGAAGGTTAATTTGAATACATCTTTGAATTTTATTATTTTAACCATTATACACTGACGACGTTTAAACTAGTTCTGAAAATGTTCATATTAGAATTCTACAATAGTAGTCAAAATAAAAAGACCAATTCATTGTTTTCTCGATAATGTCGAGCATTCAGTTCAAAAGCTTATTGTTCAGAAAACTCGAGATCAAATATATGTATAAAAAAACTTCCGATAGGCTCAGAGAAAAGTTTCGGAAAAGTGAATAAGTTAGTTTTCTCATGAAAATCAGTTTAATACTATCATAATCAACGATAGCAACTTTTACTTAAAGGAAGAGCTTGATACGTTGTCTATCGCCTTATGTTAATTTGTTAAAATCATCATGAAAAACAAATTTTATCATAGCGTCACTAAATGTCGTATATAAGTATTTATCATGAAGCTAGGAACTTATTTGAATGATATGCAGGCATCATATGTTTTATGCAAAATTCTGTCATTTACAACAGGAACAACGGAACGTTTTGAAATTGAGTTAGATTCAATTTAATTCGATGTGCTACCCTAAAATAAATTCTCATACATCAGCATAGAGTCAATGAAGGAACATGAAGTAATTAGCTATTTCAGATTCGTTTATATAGTTGTATTGTTATGAGAAAATTTTGACGCGTATGGATTGTGACCAAGAAAAATTTATCTTCCAATGCGATGATATAGTGAAAAATAGTTATACGAGTGAAAGTCATATCTTAGAATAGATACTATAGTGTGACCGAAAAAATTAGTTGCTTGGCATGATGATGATATAGAATTATCTTCAGTTGTTGATTATACCTATGATATTTCCTTTTTCGAAAAAATGAACTGCTAGTATTCGTCCAGTTCTTCTGAAAAGAACTGAAATTGGTCATCAATTTTTTTTAAATTGTTGACCATTTGAGTGATCTGTTTTCGAAGAACTGTAAGCCGTCATACACCATTTGCTGAACTATCAGACTAATTCGCTTTAGATAAATTTTTAGATTCAACGGAATTTTTCGAATAATTATGAATTTTAAGCGAACTTCACGTGTTACCATAAGTAGAGACTTGTTTAAAGGTCAGCGAAATCTAGCAAAACAATGTGTTATGTAGAAAATCCTGGAGAAAGAGTTGAGATTTGACTTTATAATATTTTTCCGTCAAATATTCAATAATTGATGGAACAAGGAAAGGGGAGTGTAACACCTTGATGAGGATCAAAGACGCAACTAATAATAATGCCAGGTGTCACAGTATTGGTTATGACAGAATGACAACAATGAAAATTAAACAGTATTGAATATTGGATGAAGATCCAATTGCGTATTCATTGAACAGAAATAGTTGTGAATAAGAAGAACTCCACAAGCAAGTAGCTGACACGAGTTCGAACGATTGTAAGGGACAATCGAGTTAAATTGATTGTAATAAACAATCAAGTTGAAAGAAAAAGGTAATATATAATTAATCAAAAAGATGATTCTTTTTCATAGAGAAGAAGAATAGTAGTCAGAGAAGATACGTTCGAATGATGAGCGAAAGGTATTGAAAGAATGAGTATAGGTATATCTCAGTGAAGAGAGATATATATGAAGAAGCTTGAAGAAAAAAGAGAAGAATAATGAATTAACAATATTAGACACAAAAATAAACAAGAGAAAAAGAGACGGAAACTAGAAAAAGAAACAAACAGGTACTAAGATAATATCAGTGACGTTTATGCTGTCACAGGAAACCTTCAAATATATAGGATTTTACTATTCTTCTATCAGATGACACTACGATTCTTTTAGTTGACACATACACTTCGTTTTAATAACATAAAAGTGTCGATGAGATAGAATTTGTAAGTATATTTTTGTCAATCTTTGTTTAGTTTCTGCATTAGAGAATATAAATAGCAGTAACAAGGATTCCAATACTGATATTAATATAAGATCTGCACCATTAAACAATTCAAAACTTGAATATGAATCAGTCGCGAATTGATTATTTGAGTGGGCTGAGTCTATAAGATATAGATATATATATATGGGTGAAAATTACGTCTCATCTAACTTGTAGATTTCGTTGCCTATGATCTTCTATGGAATATTCTTGAAAAATTTTATATATCAAATCTGTTCAGACTTAAAACCCATCTGATTTGTTTTTGTTTTTGAAAAACTTTTGTCTTTCAGTTCATTTATAAAATTTCTCTATGCCGTGTCAATGGTAGAAAACTTTCTAGGCTGTTTACATGAGTATCTGATTCATAGTTAAATGTTTGATATTATAGATGAAAAATAGGTGTTCATCTGATATTTTGATAGAATTCTAACTGTCATGATATATTCTTCACTGGTTATTTGAATTAATTAATAAAACAATTAGTTAAGAATCTATCACTGTAGAAATATATTTAGAGTCTTCTGAAAAAACATGAATGAAGCGTAGAGTTACATTAGTATTTCATTTTTTTTACAATCATTATTTTCTATGTTCGAATTTTGTTTTCTAGGAAGGCATGGTAACAATGCACGATGTAATTGATGCAACATATGCTTATATGCATAATAAAGATGAAAGTTATCTTCGTCGTGTTGTTAAACCATTAGAAGCATTACTTGTATCACATAAGCGTATTATCATTAAAGACAGTGCAGTATGTTTTGAATTTTATCTAATCTTAAAGATATTTAATTCTATTTAAAAATACAAAAAGGTCAATGCAGTTTGTTATGGTGCTAAATTATTATTGCCTGGTGTACTTCGTTATGAGGATGGAATTGAAATAAATGAGCAAATTGTTATAACGACAACAAAAGGTGAAGCCGTTGCTTTAGGTATTGCTTTAATGACAACGGCAACAATGGCAACATGTGATCATGGTGTTGCAGCTAAAATAAAACGTGTTGTTATGGAACGTGATACTTATCCAAGAAAATGGGGTTTTGGACCAGTAGTAGGTTCTATGATACAAATAATTGCATAGAAACTAGCGTAAATTTCACTTTTATTATAGGCATCAAAAAAGAAATTAATGATTAAAGAAGGTATCTTAGGAAAATTTGGTAAACCAACAGAACAGACACCAAAAAATTGGCGCGATATGCTGTATGATGTTAGTGCTGCTCCACCAGCTTTGAAAGTATATTAAATAGAGACGAGGTTTTTTCTTTTTAATTACATCGAAACTATTTTAGCGACCACTTGATGAATCGATTGCATCATCAACAACATTGGATGAATCAAAGGCTGAAAAGAAAAAAAAGGAGAAAAAACAAAAAACTGAAGATGATGAAAATCAAATACAAGCATTATCAATTATGGACGATTCAGCATTGCCAGAATATTCAGTAAATTAAAATTTTAAAGAATATTCTATTTTGAAAAATTAAAATTTCTTATTTCTGCGTTTTAGACACCAGGTGATTCAGCAACCAGTGAGAAAAAACATAAAAAACACAAGAAAAAAAATAAAGAAGATTCCGATTAAAAAAAATAAAACATTTTGTTATTTGTTTCGTTTTCCATTGTTGTTTTTTTTTGTTACATTCAGCCAGCCAGTGTGGCATTAAGAAAAAGAAGAAAATAAAAAAAAATAATGAAAATTTTCTCATTATTTGTTTTTATAATTATAAATAACTCTAAATACAATTCACAACATATTTTACCAAGAAACCCCTGTATCATATAATTATACTTGCACGACGAACATGAGTCACATTCTGTTTTTAAATACTACAGAAACTCATGATCAAACTCGTCTATCAAGTTTTATTCCTTTACTATGACTATTGATAAAAGATTATATAGTTAAATATTATCGTAAAACTCTATTTTCATGTAAGACAAGAAGAAAATGCAAACATGTATAGAGCAATCACCTATTGACATGTGGCTTATGCTTTTTTCGATATTTCGAATCACATGATTCTTTTATGGTTCTTTTCATCATTTCGACTATCCATCTTGCCACATAGTTGCATCTAATTTTCTTTCATTACATGGACACTTGCAAGGCACGGCCGGCAATGATGATCTTTGAAATTGTACTGATTCTTATTGTTTTAATTCAGTATTTAATCGTATAATATATAATTACTCGCCCACATGTTCGATGTCAATTGAGAGTAATTCATTGACAACATTTTTCAATGTCAATACAACAAAAATTGTATTCTTTCGCTGGAAATACTGTCAAATGAGAAGAAACTTATTTCTTTTTAGAGAAAAAAATGTAGTTTTTACTATGCACATTCTAACAATAGTTGTTAAATCATAGATCCTTAAACTGATATCTTATCTATTCTTGAGGACTTGTGGTGAACAAAGTAATAGCGTAGTCCGTCTTACATTCAGATAGTGTTAAAGTTAGTCACAAAATTAAGCTCTACCGCAAAATTACAAAAGACTTGATTTATTTTTAACGACAGTGGCATTGAATTGCCTTTTATCTTTGATTCTCTTCACAACACCAAGATATCAGTTATTATTGAATAGATAAGAATACAGATTAGAGTACGCGATATACTTTTGTTGCCAATAATTATTATGGAATAAATGATCATGAATGTTTTCTTTCATTATGAAAACGCATGAGTACATCGAAAGAATGAGTATCATATGGACGCTTACATAAGTTACTTGTAGATAATAAGAAAAAAAAACTGATAAGATGATAAAGTTAATATTATATTTGTTTGATACTCTGTTAATAAAGTCAGTCATAATCAAAGCGTTGTGTTACGTTGCGTGGAGAAAAGAAAAATACTTATTGCAACATGAATATTTAATTTGTTTTTGACATTGAAGATTGTTTTCAATAATATCATGGATAGTTCATGTTGTACTGATCCTGGAGCTCAACAAATGCATCAATATGAAGGTCATGAAGAAGAATTAGCAGGAATAAATATTTATAGAACAGGGCAAGGAAAATCAGCAATTGTTTTATTTACCGATATTTTTGGTTACACATTTATTAATAGTAGAAAATTAGCTGATCATTTTGCCATTGATACTGGTGCAACAGTATTTATTCCTGATTATTTCCATGGAGATCCAATAAATCCTAATATTCCCAATTACAGAGATTTATTACCTGATTGGCGAAAACAACATCCTGTAATTGAGGCATGTAAAATTGCAGATAAATTTATTTCTGCTATCAAAGAACATTATCAATCTATTCAAGTACAATCTCAGAATTTGTTGTTACGAACATAACTTTGTACATTTTAAATTTTATTCTAGGTCATTGGATTTTGTTATGGAGGTAAAGTTGTAGTTTATCTAATAAGTCATCCAGAATTATCATCAACAGTAAAAGCAGCTATAGTTGGACATCCATCAATGCTAGTAAAAGAAGAGGCTACACAAATAAAAAAGCCTGTTCTTTTTTTATGTGCAGAAACAGATCAGCTTTTTTCATCTGATCTTCAAGAATACTTTGAAAATGAATTAACAAAAAATCGTCTTGGAACGTTTCTTAAATATCCCGGTACTGTTCATGGTTTTATTGTTCGACCAGATGGTTCTTCACACGTCAATCAACAAAGTGAAAAGGCTGTTCATGACGCTATTGAATATTTTAAAAAGAATATCTAACTTTCTTTACATAAAATTCTAGATCTTTTATTTTTTTTAAAGATTAGTGAGACAAACTACATTATTGAATATCAATAACAACATGTATGATCGAGTTTTTCATTATCTAAAACGACAGATTGTATGCTGAAAAGTCTAATCGTTTTCAAATTTATAATTTCATTTGATAAAATGTGAAAACAAGTTTGTATGAATCCACAATATAAACTGTTTTGAAATCAATTCTGTAATGATGTTTGAGTTCTTTTCCTTTGAAATTGCTAATATAATGCATATTTTCTTTATTTTTTACAATCAAAGGACATCGTCAGTAAGAAAAATGATACTAGTAATCAAGATTTAACTATTTTCTATATATTATATTTCCTATTCAATTTCGAATCAAGTCTGATGAGGGTCAATGTATCACCTCCTTCTTTGAAAACAAAAATGAAATTTTTATAAAATCTTTAGAGAACGAAAATATATCAAAATGAAAATTTTCTACAGAACTTCATTTCATTATTTCGTAAAATATTTTCTTAATTTTACTGTCAAACATTTTTCTTATAAGTATCATAACAATATTTAGTAATAAAAATATAGCTTAAAATCCTTGAGCTATTCTAAAGTATGTGTGAAACATTATGAGGATTTTACTAATTTTGATCTATAATTTTAGTTTATTCTATTTTCAAATTAATTTTTATTCAGAGTAAAATTTAAAAATAAAACAATAACAGTACGGAATATCTTTCTATATTTCGTTTATTTAACTCAATTATCAATCACATAATTTATTTAGTATTCTATTATATGACTATCCTAAATTTTTTTCTCGAAAATACTACACAATAGTTCCCAAGTAATAATCGTTACTAATGAATGCTCATACCAAACATAAAAATATTTGTTTAACTCTTCAACAATTACATTGACTTTCATGTCCCTTTTAACAAGTGTACCAAACTAAAGTTTACTTGAAATTATTCTTACATTATATTTACTGCGTCAATAGCCATTACAATGCTCTCTTGTAAAAAAAAATCATATGCAAATAAGAACGAGTCAACTTATTTCATCCCTTACAATGGTTTAAATCCGGCAATCTCCATATATTGTATCAATATGTGTGTCGTTTTTCAAAGTTGAGAATTGATCTTTTTGCTGAAGAATTTCTCATCGATTGCAATGCAACTAAGCATCAGATATTTTAATTGAAAATTTAATTTCGAAGAATGTGAACTGTGAATTATCCAATCTAATTAAATATTATGAAAATCTTCTAAACTTTTTTCTGTCCTATTTATTTAAAATTTTTCAGCAACAATTTGAAGTCAGCTCAGAAACAATATTTTCATGTATCATGAATTAAGTTTTTACAACTAAATATTGCTTAAGTTTTCAAGCTAGATCATTTTGCTATTCTACCTTCAGAAATAATTGCTGTAAATTCAACCATTTTGTAAAAAGAATCTCAGGGTTGAGAATATAGATATTGACAAATCTACGGGATACTGTAAAAATTACCGCTGTATGTGAATTGCCAACTTCTTCAAATCACCTAGTCCTTCCTTAACGATGAAAAAAGAGAGTATCGAAACGCATTGGTAGCCGGAATGAAACTTGATCATCTCGATGTCCGATGAAACTTAGAAGTTAATTGACTCTCTGAGAGTAATACTCTTGCAAAATACACTATTCTGACGCCTTACAGTTCGAGACTCGTAGTTTTCCTTGATAGCTATGTACAATAAAACTCAGTTTACAATTTTATTGAAAATTCAATGAAGAATCTTTTGACTAAACACATTAATTCCTGACGATAAAAAAGAATTCGTCTTTGATATCAATCTAATTGGTAAAATTTTTTAAAAAAATATGAAACCTAAACGAACAATAATAGCTATACTGTAATGAAACTTTTTGTTACTTCCAAAAAATATTTTTTAATTCTTTTTTCTGTCTGTGAAACGATTCAAGAGAAGTTCTAATGCTAACATTCTACAAATCATTATATTGTAGTTGACTAAATATGCACAATGAACTTTTATAATCATTACATTCACAATGAATATTTTAATAATAAAACAAACATTTGTCGATGTAACTATATAATTGATAAAAAAATCAATCTACCGAAAGAATCGAATTATCGAATTTACATGTTATTAACACTTGAAATAACCGTTTGACAAATAAAACTTACTGTATTGGATTGTTCAATAATTCAATTGACAGCGATTTGTTCTTTTTATTTATTTTAAGATAAAAATTTCGAAAGCTAAAATGAACTATCGGTGATTACAATCCAAGTAACATATGCAATACTCAATAAATCTATATTGAATTTTTTTAACTAACTCAATTTCTCACTTATATATATCAAACAAATAATAACGTGTTCACTTATTGCATTTTTCAATATTATTTTAACTTTTGTTATTCTAACTTTTATCAGTTGTGATCAAAAGATTCAATAAATCGTCTCAAAGTTTACTTCTGTATAACTTCTAAAATCAAATCACATCGTGTTATGATATAATGCTTGTTGTTCTATCATCATGCGCATAACTTTATCATGGCATAGATTAGAAATATCATAAAAGAATACAATAAATCACATAGAATTCTTACGCACCTATTTACACTAAATTTAACTCAGATTTTTATCTAAATGAAACATGTTCTGTCCATAGTTTAACAAATGTAAATAATGACTCTCATCGATTAGACATTTTCTTAAAAATATTTTTCGTTTAATTTTAAACTGAAACCTATACTAAATAATCATACGCAAAATTCTAACGAGTTTATAAAATACATATAGTAATAAATGCACTCTTGAGTATCGTCTTAAAAATATTTACAACTCCATTCAATAGCATTCACTAGCAAGTCAAAGAGATGTGTTTCAAAAAGAAAAGAGAAATCTTTCAATAACTTCACCAATTTAAATATCTTTCTCTAATAAATGAAATAATAATAGAATACAGTCTGTAATTAGTTTCATTGTACTTTTCATTGGCGTGAGAAATTTCCTATTAATTGAAAGAATTAATTATATATTTGCTGATAGAACTTTTTCTTTGAAAATTGCGAACTATCAATATTAAACCAGAAACAATTAAATAGTCTGTATGCTATCTTTTGAGAATTCACTTGTGGTGTTATTTATTTTTTTAAATGAATATCGTATTGTAGTTTATTCTGCGAGTTAATCCATATATTTTCTGACTTTTACATGTACATGTAAACTACAGGCATTTTTTCTTGAAAGCATTGAATAAATAAATATCATTCTTAAAAGACTCAACTCGAGAATTTTTCGAAAAGAAAAGACGCATAGTCGAATATTGCTAATCGATTAAATACGAATTCGATAAAAATAACTTCAAGGTTGAAAGACTAAAAGAAAACAGAAGAGTCTCTTTTATGATTGATACTACTATTGAAATGACAAAAAACTATCGATGCAAATACGTATTTATTTTGTTAGTTTTCACTTAAATTTTGAAATGAAAACAAAATATATAAAATCTGCTATTCTCATTGCTTATTTATTTTTCTAGCAAAGAATTCTAAATGTTGTTTCATCAATCAATAAATGATTTTGCTTTTAGGTTTTATAAGAATATTGAGAAGAAAAATTCAACAGTAACAAAAAAACATGGAAAGATATATTTAACTTTTATTCATTTAATCACGATTTAATCATCATTTTTCGTAACATAGAAATACATAACTTGATTAAGTTATTGTAATCGTGTCCTTACATCTGGTCAACATTTTTTCTATATTAAATTGAAATAAAAAAGTGATATATACAATAAGCCATAAGCGTTGTTCTCTTTTTAGTCAATTACAATATTAAATTATATAATTTGTTTTACATTATCAACTGAAGGACATGAAAAATAAACTTCATAATTTTTTTATCAGCATAGTAAAAAACTTATTTGATTAAGAACTATAATTATGGAAGCTAGAAAACAAGAAATATGACTTGATTGTAGAGGTTTTTGCAATGCTATCCAATGCAATATCTTTCTGTAACATGCATAACAAATCAAGCATTACTCGAAGCGATACTTTTTTCATCCGTGCTTGATGAATGTCGACTATTTTTTTGATGATCAAAAATAAATAGAAGCCACTGGTTGACTATGAAAAGCAATTTTAAAATACTGTTTGCTAAATTCCGAGATAATTCAAACCAGTCTGCAATGAAATGACTTTCGTATTGTGTGCAAAACTGAAAAAGATTTGAAATTGCAACTGATTATGCTAATTATTATTTACATCCGTTTCTAGATAGAATATTATAGTTTTTCAAAATTTTAAACAAATAAAACTTATTTAGTTGCATTCTAATATGAAGGTCGATTATTTCCAATTTAATTAAACTTTCGTTTATTAATACTCTTTTTTAATATCATGAGTTGATTAGAATAATTCATTATAATGAAATTTTTCTGTATGATAATCGTTATTACTACATCTTAGGTATCATAGATGTTCGAACTAACATACAATTATTTTGATATTTAATAGCGTATATAACATTCCAAAGAGTATGAAATCGAACTGAATATTCAAAAACTTTTGGATTATTTTTCAATTTGAAAGGAACGAAATGTTTCTGTTTTACTTTTTATTATTTCAATAAAAGATTCAAAGAATTTCTTTCTCAAATAATCTATTCAAGGACACATTAATTTCTCTAATCACTGATAAATGGATATCGATTAGTATTATTAATTACAAGTACAATTTTTTCCCTAAATGTCAAGCCAAATATGAATTCATGCTCATTCTCGTTACTTTATTATTCAATCAGTAAGTCTATTGTCAAATTCGATTAGAACAGTTGATTGCTTCTTTGTAAATAGTTCATGTTTGATCAACGACATACGTCTTAGGTAGTAAATGAAATATTCAAATTGACATCAAAATGCAAATTTAAAAGAAAACGACTCAATCATAGAATACTGCTAGTATTGAATGCCAGCAAATATGTTCTCAATCCAAGACTAAGTTGAAAAGAAAAATATTATATTAATAATCTTCGTTAATAAAAAAATCGAACTGATCTTACTGAAAATTCATTCAATTGTCGTCGAAAGATTAAATAGAAACCTTTTCAGTTCATTAAGATGATGATGAGTTATGAAATCTCTGCCTTCTTTTTTCGCCAAAATTAATTGAACTGTTCCATTTTCTTCATTGTGGTAGAGTTCATCTTCATCCTCATCTTAGTATTTACTATTGTCTTATCAATCGTCACCCTTACCAAACGGGATTAGTTATGTGAATCAAGATCTCTTTTTTCTTCGCTCTTTCTTATCAACATCTTTGTTAGTAAAAGATGCGATGACTAACGATTTTATACATCTTACACAAGACATAAACGCGACAACGCCATTAAATAAGAAAGATATACGTGCTTTCGACACGAACAATCATCTTTAACTATTGTGAACTAGTAGGTAAGCGATATCTTTTTAGTTCTCATTTTCTTATCGCGCCATGATTGATGTCTTGTAAAATCTTTGTGATATAATTAAACATATACTAACTAAAATTATTCATCAATAATTAGAAGAAACAACAAGATCATTAAATTGTATTGCTCTAAATAACGTCTATACAAAGAACAATTATCTTTATTTTTTGCCGATGAAATCCGATTGATAATACATTCTTTGATGGTTTGTTTTAAGCATACACATATCCTTTCATATTGACTGTTACTTGGCGGCAATAATATTTTGATTAAGAAATATTTCGAAGCTTTTTTGTGTGCACTTCGTTCGATTTCGTTTTTTTTAATTCAAGACTGTCAAGTTTAGTTCTTTTCTTTTTAATATGAAAACGTTTGTGCGCCAGTTAAAGAAACAAATTGTTTTTGTTTTTCTTACAGAATCTATAAGAAAAAATGAGAAAAAAAGAGAAACGAGTCAATTACACCTAAGGCGTAGCATGTGATGATGATGATGATGGTAGGAAGAAGAATAAGAAGCAACAGCCCCAGCACCAGCAATAACAACAGCAGCCGTCTCTCTCTTTTTATGTATAAATATATAAATACGTGTTAGCTCTGTTCCTCACATCCTCATCATCATCGGCAAAAGAGAAGGAGAGAGAGAGAGAGAGAGAGAGAGAGACGAAGAGAAAGCCGAGAAAAATTATTATGCATTGTTTTTTCCTCTTCTTATTCTGAAATCATCAACAACATCGATCGATCGCATATATAGCTATATATATACACACACACACACACACACACACGAGTTTAGTTACCTACTGGCAAAAACAGAAAAAAAGAAGAATATTCACTTGATTATCTATCTTATTCGTGCGCACAAATAAGAAAACAAGCCTCATGGCCTCTAGCACAACAATGAACCCCTATCGAGCACACGATTCAACTGTGTCAGTTTATCAAGTTCCAGAATTTGTTGTTGGCGGTGAAAAAATGCTTTATCATGCATTATATGGAAATGAAGCGTATGCAAATCTTCGTAAGTTCTTTTATATGACGTTTCTCTTCGTTATTTTCTTTTCCGATAAGATTTTTAAGAAAAAGTATTAGTAACGTTTAACCTGTTCTTTTTAAAAATCGATCAGTATTTACTCAGAAGCTCAGAAATGAACAAGAAGCACGTTTTCTTATCGAACTAAATCCTTTTTTTTCTTCTTCTTTTCGGCCTTCAATAATGATTTGTCTTAGATGAACGTGTTTAATTGTTAAGTAATGAAGTGTGCGTGTTCGAAAACAGCTGTCCTTCAAGAATGATGAGATGCATCATGATCATGCATCTGTTGCTACCCATCATTATTATCACTACCTAAACAGACAATATATTCGTATCGATTTCAAGGATTTTTCGTTTTATATTCGCATTCTAATTGGCAGCTGACGCATGCTTTTTCTTTTCAACTATTTTTTGTTATTTGTTATTATATCTGGTAACACGAACAATAATCAGAAAAGTCCAAAAGAAAAAAATAAAGAATTAACATAAGTAAATAATCTTCTCATACTGCAAAATATAAGCATCGTGTTCTTCTGTATGTATTCATCTCAAATTTGATTACGCACAACAACAAAAACATAAGAGAGGTGTTTTTGTGTTGTCGATTGTGATTACAAATGCCGATTAAATTACTTCAATGACAGACACGTCATACGCACGATGACTTTTTGATTACCATCAACACGCGTTGTCCGTTTTCTTTTCTAGCAAGTACCATCAATTACTAAAGATTATTCGAAATGGATCAATAATGATCCAATTGAATAGCTAGTCAAGGTTTTTACTTTTACTTTTTGTTAATGTTTCTAGTATAATTTAATAGTGTTAATCGATCCTTTATATAAGGTGTATGTGTATATTCATGTTTAGTCAAGGACGATAACATCAATATTACTATTCGTTATTTTATTGATAATCCATAGTTGTTTTTCATGTTCTATACAATATCTAGATGTCGTATTGACAAGTTTTCTTTTCCTATCGTATCGTGCAATCATCAATGTTGCACGTTGTTTGATAACCGATTGAAGGCAATTATTATACTGCATCCCATAGTATGTTACTGTCTATCTCGACTTTTTCCAATCAATTATTTTTGTAGATAAAATCGAAGAAAAGCAAAACGAAATATTTATTAATTATTAACGAGGTGTATGCGTTTATGTCTTAGAATGGAGTGCAGTGAATGTGTCAAGGTGATTGCTGTATATGAGTAACTGAGCAAATATGACTGAAGACGGTAATAATAATAATAATAATAATAATAATAATAACAATAATAACATTAGCGATATTGAATATTTTTGAGAAGCGAGAATAAAAAAGAATTACTGGTAAGAAAGGAAAGAAGCGAGGTGGTCTTAGTAATCCAAATGTTATTCAACGATGGGACGCTATTATTTTTTTTTAAATTGTTTTTCCTCTTCATGCTTTTTTTAAAGTGATCAATTGCACGTCAAATAAACGGAAGAAAATAAATGTTGTTTCATGTACTGCTAGAGCTTGTTAACCAATTGTTCTGATCATTTAAGTATTAGTTACGAGTTGGGAATTACCAATATATATATATATATATATATATATATTAAAAATTTCAATGAAGACCAATAAAAGTAATAATTACACATCTAACTAAAGTTGATGTTCCTGAATCAGATTATTATTTTTTTTATTAGATGAGTAAGTATTGTCACGTATTGTAGATTGATCATATTCAAATTCCTCATCGTCTATATACATCAACTTCATTTTTACTCGTCTCGACGATATTTATCTACAGGATATATTAGCTCGCAATAGTTATGACAACACTCTTCTTTCTTTATCATTGTTCTTTTACCTCTTATATATATATATATATATGTATATGTGTGTGTGTATATGTATATATATCTCATAGATTCGAGTATCAATAGAAATCTTTGTCACTGATGAGAAAATAAGACAAAGAAAACTAAATTAGTTGAACATCATTTTGTTTAGGTCGTGGTGGGCTTTGTCTGAAGAGTAATACATGTAGATGTTTATTCTGCCATCACACATGATCATTAGTTTACTAAATCGGACAACGACAGAGTGAAGAGTAAATATACATTGCTACTCCTTCACACTTAGTACTAGTACATAAGAGACGCCCACAAGTGTGTAAACGTTGAACTAAACAGGATGAACAATATGGCAATAAGAAAAGATTTTTTTAATACAAAGAGACAAAGACTCAAATAAAGAACATTAAATGATACACACTAAAAAGGTTAATACATTAGATTCGTCTCGGCTTGATAGAGTATGTGGGCGGTCTGCCCATATCAATTAGCATCATAGGTAACTCTCTTCTCCTCTCTATCGATAATTATGTGCCTATTAGCATATGCAAAAAAGAAAAGATGAGGGGACTTCTCTCTGTCCCTCTCTCCACCTCGATATCGAGTTGAAAAGTTCACAGAGAAGTGCGCACATATACATATATCATTGATAGTATGTCTATGTATGCTTCTTTTCATCGATTATCTTTATTATTTGGCTAGTTCAATATTTCGATTATTTTATTATTCGATAATTTAGTTGAATTCAAATAATCATATCGATATGACCTTTCCATTACTGCCAACTTGTATCCATTTGACAATCTTTTATTGTTGGTTGTCATGCCGAAACAAAATGTATGGTGTAATATCTGAGTCAAGACGCGACCATAGAAAAGAACACAAATATGAACTGACTGGACAGAGCATAACGGGCCAGAGCAGAGAAAGACAGAGAGAGAGAGAGAGAGAGAAAGAAGAGGATTTTTTATTCTGCGTGTATATAAATTGAAGTGCGTGCAGACAAAGTCGTATATGTTATTGGTAGTAAGGAGCAATATTGGTAACTAGAAGACTACAACTAAGCTAGGTGATTTACTACTAGAAAGGAGTGGTAAGTCGTATTAATGACATAAATAATCTTTTCTTCCATACATAGATTTCACAACAAAAATTGTCTCTAAATTTAAGAATAAAAAGTAGAAAAAAGCAATTTCTTTTTTTTTTTGAAGTTTTACATTTATTAAGCTGACCTTTCAAAAGATATGTATTTCACATATCATGTTATGAAACTGAGCTCGTTCTCTCCCTATGGCTCTCGTTTTTTTTCTAATGATGATAATCATCATAAAGGTAATGGAGTGAGAAAAAGAAAAAAGAAAGAAAAAACGCAATAAGGCCAAGAAATGGAGGTTTCGTGTCATTCCATTTCATTTCTTTTTTAGGTCCTTCTCGATTCTTTTCTTTTTTTCTTTCTTCTTTCGATTACAGTAGATTTGTGTCCGAAAAAGAGTGTGCTTAAGCTTTTTTTCGTCTCTTTCTCTCCTTGAATTAAGTTTTTCTTTTAGGTGTAGCCTAAAAAAATCGAGAATACCGCAAATCATCCAATTCAGTGCACTATGATGAATATACAAACATACTTGAGAGAACGAGTGCGCTTACCTGTTTAAAAATTCCAAATATTGAATATGCATTTCTTTCTTCCTCTCTCTCTCTATTTCTCTCTTTTTCGTGTATGTTGAGTGATGCAATCGTGAACTCAGGGAAAGCGAACGAAAACGAGACAAAGCAAAAGGGAAGAATTGAAAATTCGTCGTAGTCGAACCACTTCCATCAACACAGGCATTGAATTGCATTCATATTTTCTTTTTTACCTTTCCTCTCTCTCTCTCTCTCCTTCTCGTTGTGTCTTCAGTTACATATACACTACCTTTTTTTTTGCTTGCTTGGCTTGCGTGTCGTCGCCGCTTCGTTTGCGTATGTGTGATGCCATGAGTTGCAGGAACGAGTACGGCCTGTTTTTTTCTTCTTCTTCTTCTTCATCGACACAATCGTCGATAGTTTGGTCGTAACAACAAACGGTCGGTATACGGAACATATCTTATTCAATGGAGTATCACCATCCACCCGTGATTATTTCAACGACACCCAACAATGTCCTCGGTGTGTAGTTCATATCTATGTATCTGTAAATAAATATATATATATATATATATATATATATATATATAGTATACATATATATACTATATATAGATAAATATACTTAAGCGAACGTCAAGGTTTACTAACAGGATTATGAACTTGTCTTCTAAGCGAGTATAAATAACCTTCAATATAAACGACAGTCGTATGCTTTGTAAAGGATTGTGTTGTAGCTATAAAAAGAAAAATGAATTTATAATAGACACAAGAGTTTTTCAAGAGAACTTTATTCTTCTTTTCTTTGCTTTTTTCATCATCGAAAAAATTAAAAAAAGAAAGACAAGAAACGCTCTTTCTGACCTATAAAATCAATTTCTTTTTGATTTTCCTTATCAAATTGACCTTATCCTATCGTAAATAAAATAAAATAAAATAAAATAAAATAAAAGGAAAAAGCAATCCTTCTATATATCTATTATCTATACTAGCCCATCAAGAAGAAGATTGGAAGATCATGCAAGTAATCAATAATAAAATTCGCGATGATATTGTTAAAAAATATGCTCAATATACAAAACGTGTTAATGGTGAAATGATTAAAGGTATACAATAAAAAACTTAAAGAAAAGAAGTATTTATTTTAAATTTAGTGATGTATGAGTGGTTTGAGCGCGGTGATCGTCGAAATCGTCAACAAACCTCGTACGATATACATGCAGATAAACATTTTCGTCTTGAAATAAGTAAAGATACATTTGAACAATTTAATGATCGATTACCACGTATGATTAAAAATTTTTTTTTATTTATTTTTTTTATTCAAATAATAAGGTTTTTCGTCTCTCTATTAGATGTACGACGATTAACATTTGAACAATTTTGCGAATTATTAGCACCAATTATTACAGGTCAATATAATGATTATCAACTACGACGAACATTTGAAACATTAGATTCTGATAATGATAATTATTTAAATCAACAAGAAATAGAAAATTTACTTATTGTTGTCGGTCGATCAGAATCAAATTATAAAATATCAGACATGATTGGACGCTTGACAACACGTAAAAAACTTAGTTTCGAAGGTAAAAATTACTTTTTGTGTTGTTTGTGTTGTTTGTGCAATTTGTTGTTGTTTTTTCTTCAAAGATTTCAAGCAATTTATTAACAATGGCTTTGCTCGCGAATTATTAATGCCCTCATGTAATAATGGATATGGAAATCGTTAAGTGAAAAATCTCGAATGCTATTTTTTTAAATTCTATGTATATGTATACGCATGCAGCCAAAAACCGACCTTTTTTCTTTTTCGCTTTGTCTCGTAGTGTTCGTTTTTTTCTCGAAGCTTCTTCTCTATCTTCTTAATTTGCTTGTTTTTTTTCTTCTGGAATGTCTGTCAGATTGTTTTCGATTTTATTGGGCATAGGGACAGATCTGAGACACATCCCGCTTACCTTCCAACATTCTCGGTGAAACTATCATTCATGCGTATCTCTATATATTCTATATACATATATATATATATATATTTTTCTTCTTATGTATAATGAATGGCTTGCTTCAGTGTATGTATGCGCGTTGTTTTATTCAAGATAAGGGAAATATATTAAAAAATAAATAAAAAAAGTGTTTTATGTTGGTGCTATGATGACTAATGCTGCTGCTCGTATCGCGTTTTTTTGTGGTCTATGTTTTTTCTTTTTTGATTGTACAAAGGTATTGTTTCTTTTTTCTTTGGATGATAATTATAAAAAGAAAGAACAAGAGAAACATGAAACATATTTGTTCTTATTTTGAAAATTAATTAAAAAAAAGAATCTAATTGCTTATTATGGAGAAAACGACTGTAGTTGTTAGTGGGAAAAAATAGTGTTCGGTACAAATGATTAATATGTTTTGCTATGTTATTTGAATATTAGACTTTTAATCCGAATGGATTAAAAATAAGTATTCAGCTATCAAAACTTTTTTAAAGGTTTCTTTCATCATTCCTTGCATATTTACGTTAAATAAATATTGACAACAACAATTGTCTTAATGACACAACAAATCTTGCACAAGTATTTGTGAAAATATGAAAATCGGCAGAAAAAATATAAACTTATATCGATAATTATACAATGAACGTGCACATTCGCTAATACACTATCAGCGATTAATAAAAATCTATGCTACTCAACAAAGGTGGAAAGTACGAACTATTCCTCTTTTCGATTTTAAAAATAAAACAAATAATACGACATATTTCAAATACTTTTATGAATAGTATCCCCAATCATCATATTAAATTTTGTGTAATGGTATGCAAAAAATTGTGTTTCAATGAAAAGATTAATTTATATTTCGATGAAAATAATGTTTGATGTTTTTCATTCATTCTTTTTCAACTCAAGTGGTTTTTATTTCATAGGCTTCGTTTCGATCAAATAGAAAAAAATACGTATATAATTAAAAAAAATGTACGATGAATGATTATATTCGAATAAATATTTATTTCATTACATATTTTTTTAATGTCAATAGAAAGAGTCATCGTAGTTATTGATTTGTTACATTCAGTAGTAGAATGACTTGAATTGTGAAAAATATGATACATTAATTGTGTAAAACTTTCTAAAAAACTTGTGATCAATCTATAACAATAATTATTCGTCAGAAAATCATTTAAAAGAAATTCTAGAATGCTTCAAATACGCTTTATATACGTCAAAATGAAATAATTGATTAATAGTTTAAAGGTGAAATAAATTAAAGAAGTCAATCGAATTAACTTTTTATATTTTTATTATATTTTTACACTTTCAAGATAAAACTTGAATAGAAGCAAGATAGTGTTCAATCATTTCTACAAATTTTAGTGGTTCAGCCATATCCTCTTGAAAATAAGTATCAATCATTTATGTTAGTGAATATTGTTTTTTAATACGTAATCATGAAGACAGTAGAATTTTCAGTTGTATGTTTATGATAAAAGATCCTAGTGTAAATAAATCTTGTAATTGAGTACTACATCTTTTATTGATTGAAACGATCTATCTTTGTTATAATATTACACAGTATCTAAACTTGTCCATTGCACATCATTAAAACTAACAAATGTCCATGTTTGAAATCAATACATTTAACTAGTTCTTATTTACTAATTAATTGCGTGCATGACATCATTAATTAACACCATAATAATGTGCAAGTTCATTTGAAGATTTCTATGTTAATTCTATACTTATTTCTCAATGAATTAGTACTTACGAAAGATTTTTCTAAAAGCATAATATATTATTTCAGTTGACTATGTACAATTATTATTATAACTATAATTTTATTTATATACTTTATTAGATATGAGAAAAAAAATTAAACTAGTTAATTATTTTATTTATTAATCGAAAACTAAGTCTTGTTGATTTTTCAATTAAAACTATATATCTGATTAGAGTTTGAATTTCAATGTCGATATGAAATAACATTTATTTGTGATAAATGAACAAACTTTTTGAAAATATCCTCGAATGAAAATGGGAATAGAATTAGAAATTAGTTTTAGAAGTGGATATTATGTATTTCTAAATAAGAAATTTCATTCAAATCACATTTGCTCATCAAACGCAATATTTTTCAGAGTATTCTATTGATAAAATAGAAAATAAGAAATAATCATTTTATAATTGTGTTGAAATTAGAATTAGAAACATAGACGGATTTTATACAGTTGAAACCAAGAAAGTTACAAAAAAAACATTCATGTAAGATTTGATGATCTTAAATTGTGAAACAATGCTTTTTTATGTCCTAGGTACGTTTTTCTATGACAATCGATTATAGCTAGACTATTACGTGAAAGCAAAATTATATTAATAGAATAGAAAAAAGAATTTGTTTATTACGAATTAATTATTTCCTGTTTAAAGCAAAGTCTAAATCTTAATGTTAATTTTGAACTTTTTTGTTAAATTTTGCTCATAACTGCACTAATGTTCTGCGCATTTGGAGAAAGCAATATAGAATGATAGCATCGAATAATATCTGGAAAGTCTACTACAAATCGATACTCGCTGTTTATTTTAGAAACTTTACATATAAACTACGAAGTAGTGAAATGACAAACTAAATGAAGAAATGAATCAAATGTAAATTTTCTATTTCAAGCGTTCTAAGTATGTAACATAGATTTATCAGCGATCATTATTTGAATTCGAACTGCTTTGAAATTCTTTCATATTGAACTACTATATAAACATAATGATAATTACCTTGTGCAAAATGTTTTCTTTTCAAATGTTTGTCGAAATCGACCTAGCATTCGTCGTTGTATTTTTAGTAGTATGGCATAAATATTCCATGATATGCAGGAAATCAAATAACAACAAACATAAGAAGGAAAAACTAAGATTTATATCGATATACTAAATAAATTTAGTCGATTGCAAAATGATCGAGAATTATTTCTAAGTGATTAAAGGAGAAGCTGCGAATACATCTTTTCTGAATAATCATTAACTTACTAGCCACGAAAAATCCTTTTTAATTCAGATACAAATCTCAAAGCCTATGTTTTCAGAATGTTGTCATAGTGATAACAAAAAGAAAGGAAGAAGATATTTGTCAGATGCGAAAACCCATACATGATAAATATTAAGAAAGATAATAAAGAAGAGAAAAGGAAAACAGCAGTAGAAAGATATATGTGAATATTTAACCATTGAGATAACGAGAGTAAATATTTGATATTAAGTTTGAAACATAACTAAAAATCTATCCATCATTATTATATACTTGTATATTTTATTCAAAAGAGATGAAAATATACAATTCGTATGTTTCATGATAGTAGTTCTCAGCGTTTAGCAAGCAAGATAAACTAGTTTGAATATCAAAGAGATGAAATTTTTTCTACTCTGATCAATAATCTTTATTTCTTTAAAACTTCGATGCAGATTTATACTCTGCATAAAAAATATGATACAAGTCTTTCTTCTTTAAGATTTTTTATAGAACAATTATTAATTATTTTCAAGATTCGATTTCGATTGAGAATAATTATTAACCGAAAATCTAAACAACCTTGATACCCATCACGCATTCGAATGCAATCAGTTTTTATTTAATGAATATTTAAATTTCGTTTTTTACATTGGGGCGATGCTTTGTAGGTATTGACCGATTGATTTGATGGAATAGTTTTATTTCTCAGCATGAATCATGATGTAAAACCATCTTGCTTTGTCATGCACAAGAACAAAAAATAAAAGAAAAACTCGCATTTAATTGTTATGATGCAATGAGTATAATTTTGTTTAATACCAACTGTATTTTAGCATGATGAATAGTTTGAAAAGGTGATTAATTAATTTAATTAAGAAGAATCGATATTTTATTTATTTTTACAAGTTGATACTAATCAAAACAACGCAAGTATGCGGACGTCTGCGCCAATCCATGTTGAATACAAGTAGATGTAATATACCAGCATCCATTATTATAATGACACTGAAATAGTTTTATCGAAAAACTAAACACATGACTAAAAAATGCAAGTATTATTTATCTAATGACGAAATGAAGTTTTAAATGAATAAACTAACTTATTAGTTAGTTATAGTTAGTTTGATTTTAATATTGAAAGAAAAAGATCAATGAACTAAGCAAACATTAGTAGTTATCGAGCATTCAGTTCGGATTTAAGATTGTGATACATTTACTCAGTTGTATATATAACTGAGTAAATTATAATTAGCATTCACTTCTTTTTAATGAAAAATTGTTTGCAATAAGCTATTGAGTGTTATGTCGTGCGAATTTCGCAAATTTTTGTCATCATTTCTTTTTATCTTTTGAATTAATCTTGGCTGAATCAATAGAAAAGCATTGAACTCAAAAAATTACATTATACATATTTTCATGGTAGTTTTCAGCTAAAAGAGAAAAACTATAGTGATGTGTTCCATGATTAAACAATTTTTCCTTTTTTTTTTCAATAGATATATCTAACTTTATTTGATATCAAGCAAGATCATTTTCTTTTCTTCGTACAATAAGATAATTTCTTACGTTCGTTGAATTCAGTTGACAGACATATTTGTATGCACATAAAATAAGAATAAATCAATGGAATTAGAAAATACCTCATCAATAGTCAAGGAGGTTTCAAAGAATATTAAAATATAATTATTTGCAGAGAGATATGATATTCTGAGTATCGTTAGGTAACGAAAAGAAGAGTGATGTATTTCTCCTAAAATGAAATAAAGTTGATTTCTTAAACCAAGGATTTAATGGGATGTTTCAAAACATCGATCAAAAATCAAGACTAAATTAATGCTATTTGAAGAAAATCATTCGCAATCAAAACATTTTAGTGATTGCTTACTAAAATGAATAGAAGACTATTTTTTTTCAATATATGACACTTATCATTTAAACCCGCTTAGATATTTAGGTGTACAAACTATAGCAGTTCTTTTAATGAGTTTTACAACATATGCTTTAGTTTCAGACTACCACCTCATTGATGTTTCCTTACGAAAGATGTCCATTTAAATATCTTAGAATGAGTTTGAAAAGTATATCTCACGCCAGTGATCAAAAATTTAAATTTATTTCATAGTAATCTTACAGAGAACTTTAGTTTTACTATGAAGTCTACTACAAGCTGCGACGAACATGAATATTACTAAAGTATCTGTCACATCCGATGACAGAGACTCAAGGCTTCTGATCTAGATACAACAACGCTTTTAAATCGTGTTTTTGAAAAAAAGAATGTCGGTTACATTTTTTAATATGATACAATATTGGTCTATCAATGCAACACTTTTATTGTCATATGTTTCTTTTATAGATTTAATGAAAATAAATGCTAACAATTTGTTTGTGATGTTCCAATAATGTTAATGATTATTTCAGAGTTTTCAAAAGTCTTTCCTACTAAACTTAATTATTTATTTTTCGTCACTCATTACCAGTGTTAAATAGAGTAGATAATCCTATTACCCTTTTTCTTCGTAAAGCTTTGTTAGCAGCAAAATCCAGATCATTATGACCGAAATACTTACTGCCAGTAATTAGTTTTATCATCCTTCAGCTGATGTTGAATTCTTTCATATCAGTCATTGTGACATTGGAGTTAAGAGCTACTGATTATTTTTGCTCGCACGAGTCAAATTGAGAACTTAAATAGCGTATTGAAAGAATCGCTTCAGTACGATCAGTGGATTTGTTATATTAGCTTCGGACTTTAATTTGTTCAGCAAAAGTATTGTTGTAAACTATGATAACATCAAATAGTTTTTCATTGTTACGGTTTTCATTGGAAGTGAGAAGAAAAAGCTTAATCACATGAGACTTGTCTGAAAATGTTTTTTTTTCGATATTATTGATTCTTCATTACAATTTGTTATAGTTTCGAATTATGGTTATTTTCAGTTTTTACCTGAACTCCGCTCCAAAGCACAGATTATTCTCCGTATGATGTAGCTTTGATACAAATAATATCCGAGGCATAAGAAAATGCCTCCATTCTTTGAATTCTATAGAAAAAAAGACTAACAATTTTCAAATATAATCGAGATAATTTCATGTACTATTTATTTCATATCCTAACAAAAAAATCAGTCTTCATTGAGAATCGTTTATTCCTAGCTATTTCTTTAATTAAATATTGTCTACGAATTAAAATATTAATAGCATGATTATTCAATCAATTTCACTATTTGAAATTCATAAATTATTCATCGGCAGTAGAACATATAGAATGAGTAAATACATGTATATAGTTCTATTTCTATTGGAACAAAAAAGATTTCTATAACTTTTAATAGACTATAGCCACGTGATTCACGATACTTATTCTTGTTCTCTATTCCAAACATTTATGTTGAGAATGTAAAAGTAATCGAAAATATAATTTTCTTGTCAGATATATTCTATGTCATAATGATTTAAATATTTAGGTGAATGAAATCTTTGTATCATGCTGAAGCATTCTTTAGTCTATCAATATTTCTATCATTTAGATCTAGATCAAATTCTCATCTCATTACTATAGAACGTTAAACAAACTGACAGAACACAGATAAACTGGAAATAAAAAATTTCCCTAATACGCGTTTTGTACCATATTTAACGTTTAATTGAATATTTTTCACTAGAAAACATATTTTTACTGTCGTTAGTGAGAGATTAGATAGTATAAATTCGTGACAACTACCATTTTATAAAAGGAAATCCTTTGGTTTCTATCCAATCATTTCACTTATATCATTCATTACAATTACTTTGAAGCTATTCTCTTGACAGATATCAAGTCAATGCTATATTTACATGAATAGCAAGGAAAACTTGTGTATCTATATTTACAATTGTTTTGTCAGAAGATTTCGAGAAAAAAAATATTTCTTTAGTTTCTTTCACAAATACTGTCGTTCCATCGATTTACGTTACATTTCATAGGCCCATGAAAGATGAAAATTTTTATTTTAGTTTTCTTAGTTCATGCGATGGATTAAAGATATATATATATGTCAGAGTTGACTCTAAAATCCAGTTGCCTTTTAAAGGCAACTAGTCGACTTTAAAATTTAAGAGTCAACTAGCTGTCTTTAAAATTGAAGAGTCAACTAGCTCCATCCTAGTTGACTATAAAATTTTAAAGACAACTAGTTGACATTAAAACCAACTAGTTGACTTTAAAATGTATAATCATAAAGTTGTTATTGATATGATAAAGAGTATTTTAATCAATAGATGAGATTGAGGGTGTGGGAGTGGGTATGGGTGTGGGTATGGTTTCGAGTCTATCCCAGGTCGAACATTCCGGTCCCCGGATCCCGTAGGATACTCCAGGGAATATGCGGGAAAGTCGCCATATCCTGCAGGAAAACATGGGAAATCGTTGGAACATGGAAGCAGTATTCCGGCCAAAAATACGGCCGGACTTTTCCGGCGAACTCCTGCCAAGTTCCGGTGCTTTCCGGTAGGAATTGATCGGAAATCACCGAAAAAATTTCCAACCGGAATACTGCTTCCACAAAATCAACGGAACTACTCGGAACCGGCCGTTTCCAGGTCGGACTGTTCGACCTGGGTAGCCCACGCCCACACCCACACTCCACCCTTTTTCATATGTTTCAGTTGTTATCAAGTACTTCGCTGGTCATTTAGTATCTAACTCATTCAACTAAGCATCTAGCTTTGAGTAGAAAGCCGCCTTCATTATTAAATGAAATGATGGTTTGATAGTAAATAAATAATTCTTTGTTAACTTCAGATCGAAAAGTTTCCATCAGTTAAACAAATTCATTATCGATTAGTGCATAACAACTTTATGATTATACATTTTAAAGTCAACTGACTCCATCTTAGTTGATTTTAAAATCAACTAGCTCCATCCAGTTGATTTTAAAGTCAACTAGTTGATTTTAAAGTCAACTAGTTGATTTTAATGTCAACTAGTTGTCTTTAAAATTGAAGAGTCAACTAGCTCTATCCTAGTTGACTATCAAATTTTAAAAACAACTAGTTGACTCTTCAATTTTAAAGACAACTAGTTGCCTTTAAAAGGCAACTGGATTTTAGAGTCAACTCCGACATATATATATATATGAAAACATAAGGATTACTTGGATCAATCAATCTCACCTAAGCTTTGTTCCAGAAGACCTATTAAACAATTGAAATCTCTTAAGTAAGCCTAATCGTAATAGTCTTTCTTTTATGAGTCGTACATAACGTGTCTTTGCATATAGATCTTTCTCAATAGAACTTTAACCTGCAAGAGTTTTTTTTTATGTAACCGAACGATGAATACTGAAAAGAGAGTGTTCATGAATGAATTATGTTGAAAATTGCTTAATCATAATAATAGCTTTTTTCCGAAAAATATAATATATCGAGTAGCTAAAAAAGAATTATATGAATATTGTATAAAATCTAAATGAAAAGAGACAAATAAGAAGTTCATTTGATAACTAAACAATATGTGTCAATTGAATGTAGTAAGATAGAACTCAATCAAAAATATTTATTCTATAGTAGACTTTTCATGTTTGCTTTTTAAAAGGTTACTATCATATAAAGTATTTTAAATTGTTAAATATATAATAGCATATGCTTTTTCTGTTGTTTTACTTCACTGTAGAAAAATTAAGAATTTAATTAATCAACGATAAAGTATAATAAATATAAATTAAATAGGTGAAGAAATTTATCAGCAGAACTATCTAACTAACATCAAACTCGCGTATCACTCCCCGCTGTCATACCAAATAGAAAATATCTCAACCATTGATTCTATGAGTGACCTTGTTTTTAGTTGTTTAATAACGGGTACTCTGTTTTTCAAACACCCATAGCATGTTCACGTAGATAATTAATATGTGCAAATCGAGTCATATGACGTACTTTTTTTTCTATCTGCACTCATCATCTAAAATCAATTATTTAGTAAGACGAGCATAAAATAAAATATCTCAACCACGAGGCAAAGAAAAGTGTTACAAAAAACATGAAAAAACATGAAAATAGTATACAACGATTTGATGAAAAATTTAAAATACTATGCTGGTATTTGATTTTGGTTTCTGATATTCTAGAGCATATGTTTTATTCGTAAAAGAAACTCTTTTCAAGATTATTCTTATCAACTTCCCTCTGTAATTGTCATATATAATTATATTTGTAATTTCTATCGTTGTACTATTGGAACTTCAAAAGACAACAAGAATAGATCATTTGTTTTACGAGAATGATAATAATATATGTAAGCAAACTTTTAAAAGATAATTGTAGAAAAGAACATCAAACATCAAATATAAAAATTAAAATATAGCTTGTCATTCATAAAAGCCTGGTTAATTAAGCTCAAATAATAAATTCATATAAAGAATTATACGTCAAATATTCGACAAGCATTGATATTGATTACCAACGAGTGAATATTTGTCTGTATATTTCAATAGAAAAGCCTTCTGATATAGTTTAATGTAGTCATTTATATTTAGCAAATCAGATTTAAAGGTAGAGAAACATTGTAAAAGGATTAGAGAACTACTGATAGTACGTTATAGACAAAAAACGATAGTCTTTATTTGATCCGTGACGATTACCGAGAATTTAACTAAGAAAATTGTTGAACAAACATAAAAAGTTCAAGCCAATATGCAATGTGTTTGACAATATTATAGATAGTTTATGCGAAAATATTCACCAAGATACAGTCATCATTTTCCCGTAAAATAGATCTTGGACACATGTTTTTTGATGGCATTGATCAACGCAAACACACCACTCTTTTCATCATCTTCAAGAAGTCTTAATGCCTTGTCACGAACCTTTTTCAAATGTTTCTTGCTAATTTTGGCTAATTCTACCATATCGTCAGTACTTAATAACATATAGAGAAGACAACTCCATTGTTCTTTGGTTAAACCTTTTCTAATAACGATTTTTTCGACTTTATCATCAAGTAGCCTATTACCACCAGTGACACTGTTATGTTGCTCTTGATGTTGTCGGGTATCATTGTGCCAATCATTTTGACTTTGTAGCTCAACAGTGATAACGGTGCGCTTAAATAAATCAACAAGTTGTGTAACAAATTCGATGCATTCATTCAATTCAATCTGTTGTGCCTGTAAGCCAGTTTCTCGCTCCAATCTATTTCCAAAATCATATGCATAACCGGTAATAGTATTGATAGTATTTTCATTATCGCTACTTTTATAAGTAGTCTCACGAGATTATTTTGTCGTACGCGTCTTTTTTTTACTATTGCATGTTGAATATAATAGATCTTCAGCCATTTTTGACACTTTAAAAAATACAAAAGTACTAATTTCCAAATCTAAACTGTATTTGAAATGCAGTTAAATTTATCTAAGACATACAATAAACCAAACAATATTATTATTTCTCATAAAATTGGCACACTACTTCGTTCATACATTTAGTAGCAAATATGTTGTCTCTGCAATAGTTGACTTTATCTTTTGGAATATATTCCTTTTTTCTCTATGTTTTTCAATGCTCACCAGTTGGCAAAATTTCTACTTAAATAATTTACAAGAGAGCTATATAAATTCAGTAATACTATTTCTTTTCAACAACATTTTATATTTATATTAATTACTAAAACACTTACATAAGAGATAGAGAAAATTGGTCACATTGTCTTAAAACTTGACAAAACCTAAAACAATTACAACAATAGTAATATCCGTTTTTTTTTTCGTGTGGATAACGCTGATGGAACAGTTAAGTAGCCAGCACGATGTATCAAATGACAAACATCTTTTATCAATCATCTATATACGTATATATATATAAAAGGTCTAGAAAAAACTACCAACTTCATATGCTCTTCATGTGTTTGCTATTAGAAATGTGTTTATGTAGAAGAAAGTCTTACTTACACTTATTGAAGGCTCATTTTTGTGTACTCAAAAAAAGAGAGTATGTTATAGAATCGGTCAGTGTGCCCGGCGTCCGGTCGTTTATTCGATAACTCTTCACAATTACATTCGATTGAGCTGAAATTTTGTGCACGGAATTGTCTCATCAATATTCAGGTCGAGTTCGAAGATGAGAAGGATCCGTCAAGAAATGGCTGAGCTATCGAAAACATTGTCATTTTTGATCAGACCATCCCTGAGGAGGGGTACAGGGATTTTTCAAAAAAACATTTTCCTCAGAATTTATCCACAACATATATAAATCGACTCAGTTTTTTTAACGCTGATTCTGAATCTGATATTAGTTTTGAACCAAATCGTAACTTTCTAACGAAACATCGCCTGAAAAACGTCTCAAAATGCACAAAAACTGTATCCAGAAATCAAATTGCCCAGTTTCTCATGATGATTTTGGTGTTCCGACATTCTAGAATGACTTATATGTCCCATGCACTTTTTGCAGTACACATAACTCTCGGATGAAATCCGAAGTTTCCACATTTATTTTAATTTTTTTTTGACTAATTTTCGTTTAACTTTGAAGCATGTTTTTCAAAGTTAACTTGAATGCTGCGAAAATCGCTTTTAGTGAACTTAATAAGTATCGCACAATCGCACCTAAGGAAGTACTATCTATGTAGGTTAATCAGCTGGTGCAGGTAGAGTCGTAATTGTATAATCTCACAATAGGTGACCATGATACATATGAAATAAGGTTTTCATATAGATAGACCAGACATCGAAAAATTATGAAATTTTTTCATTCGAATATTCTAATTTTATAATTAGCTATCAACGAAATTTTTGAATTCAAGAACAATAAAACTAATAATTATAATTGCCTAGTGAATCGATAGTATCCGGTTTCGAAATAGCTCCATAGACTGATAATTAAGAGGGTTGCTTTTTTAAATTCCCGTATCTATTCGAATTCATTTAACTTGTAGTATAAAGTATGAGTAATCAATCATCCATTGATTGTACCAAGGCTTCTGTAATTTGTTCATTATGAACAGTTTCTATATCAGACAAGTTTTTGAATAAAATAGAAAGTGACCAGAGATGTAACCTCGTGAATTCTACATGCGAGTAGAGATGTTTATAAAGTAAGCTCAACGGTACTTCAGTGTTAGTTGTTGACAAATTTGATTTTTTTCATATTCATGGTTTTACTTGTAGTTACTTGGCTGGTTGATTCTTCAAGAATATCGATATTAAGAATTTGTTTTTGTAACATGACTATGAGAACCAATAACAAAATAGATAGCTAACCAGGTATTCAAAATAAACGGTCTAAATGATTCAGTGTGGTGTTTGAAAAATATGATACCAAAAAAGAAGCATCATGTTGTTCTTTCACAGTACAAAAATAATAGCTCACATCTTTAATTAGTGAAACAAAATTTATCAAGCACATTAAGATTTTTTTGTTTCGTTTGACAATCAATGTTTAGTATTTGGCAACTAAGTTTTAAAAATCTTTGATAAAATATTCATTTCAATAAGAAACTATATCTATAAATGTAATTTATACTGTATTTAATAAGTATTATCAATTAGATAGATGAACGTTTTTTATTAAAAGTAAAAAATCTTCATGTAGCTGGTACAAAGAAACATCATTCCAAAATGTATCTACGATAGTGAGCTGCACCTATTAAAATAATTTAAAACATTCATTATATTGAATAAATGACAGTGACAGATCTCAAATCCATAGAAAAATAAATGTGGAAACTTCGGATTTCATCCGAGAGTTATGTGTACTGCAAAAAGTGCATGCGACATATGAGTCATTCTAGAATGCCTGAACACGAAAATTATCATGAGAAACTAGACAANAACTCAGCCATTTCTTGACGGATCCTTCTCATCTTCGAACTCGACCTAGATATTGATAAGACAATTCTGTGCACAAAATTTCAGCTCAATCGAATGTAATTGTGAAGAGTTATCGAATAAACGACCGGACGCCGGACACACTGACCGATTCTATAGTGTACTCTTTTTTTTTTTGAGTACACAAAAACAGCATATTTTTATTATGCAAAATCAATCCATATTTTACAACATGGTTTTATTTTCAAACAATTAGTTCAATTAAGATATAATGTCTTTCGAATATCCATGTCAATACTATTCCTGCACGAAACAGGCTCACAGGGCGGCACAATTTCAGCTAGCTATTCTTGGTTTTTCCATGAGGTTTACTAGAATATAGGTTGTTTGCTATGTAAAGTCTGAAAATATAGCCATAGAAAATTTATTGAATTCTATATCTAATTTTTTTTCTACACTTCTATAGCTTTTGCTGAATTTGTGTTTCATTATTTAAAATCATTGAGCATATCACTTGGTCTAAAATACAAAAATCTTTTGTTTTTTTTCAATCATTTCTACCTTTGAAGAACCTCTAACTGTTTTAGTTAATAAAACAAAGATAGTGCATGAGTATTGCAACCAAAAATGTTCAAAAGGATATCCTTTGACTTAAAACCCATTTGTGAAACAGAGCAAATTATTAAAATTTTGGCATCTTACAGAATTTTCTAACTTAACTATGTTAAGAGGAATTTAAAAAAATATTCTCCAGTCTAGAACAATAACACATCACGACCTGTATGGGATGCCCATGGTTTACGTATATTCTGAATGGATATAATCTACAACCCTTAATCAAGTACTATTCGACGAATTCAAAAACATTTGCTCATTACTGTATATACAAAATTACTGTAAACCAAAAGATTTCTACGAAAATAAAACAATGAATAGATCATGTTTTTTCAGCATAGACGAAAATCAAAAAGAGCTATTCCTTCAAACTATCACGCATACGATTATGTAAGTATAAAAATGTAATTAATCAAGACTTCTTCGATGTAAATTGAATACATTATCATAGTTCATCGCCTATATTTAAAATTTGAATAAATAAGTAGTTTACATAAATGTGTACATATATATATATATATATATATTATAATTCTACTTTCATATTTTCTCAGTACACACAGTGTATACGCTTATAAAAAAAGCTAACTTAAACAAACTAAACACAAGCACACTTTAATATATATATATATATATATACACAAATGAATCCCATAAGGAAAAGAAAGTAGAAGTCTCTATTTCACAAACAAAAAATAGATAGATAGATCTAGTAAATTTACAAGAGTTAAATTTTCAACTGAAACAAAAAAAAATAGAAACAAAACAAAATCACACACACACACAGTTCAAATTAGCTGTTGAAAAGGAAAATGTTGGGCTGTTTGGTGATTAGATAACATGAAATAAGGTGGTGGTGGTTGTAGTGGTGGCAGCGGCGGAGGAGGAGCAGTAGGAATCCATTGAGTAAACGGTGTTGGTGGGGACGATGAATAAAAAAAAGGAAGTTTTGGTGATGGTTGTTGTTGAGGAGACATTATATTTTGTCCAGTGGGCAAAAAAGCATTGGCGCCATTAGGTGAACAATTCATTGACTCCATGCAAACACGTGGTATCATCGAGATTGGATGAAATCCTAATGAATATAACATTAGTAATTAAAAAAGAAGAAAAGAGATGTGAAAATATTTTACCTGAAACATGCTGTTGTGGTCCTGAACCAATCAATGAATGTGATGGGGTCTATTTTTAAAAATAATGATTCAGAAGAAAATTCTATTGAGAAAGAGAAAAAAACATACCATAATGACAAATGGAGCTTGGCCAGCAAAAAGTCTGAAAATATTCACATCCAAATTTCATTCATTGAAAATTTTGAAAAATAATAATACATACTTGTTCGATGAAACATCATTCATCATATTTTGTTGTATTTGTTCATTGGTTAGTCTTGGTGAAATTTGTTGTGGAAAAAAGACAGTTGGTTGAATATATTGCTGTTGTTCACCTAATGATTGTTGAGGATACTGATTGAGAAAAACTGTTGGCATTGGTGCTAATATTGGATACGATGAACTATCATTTGTACTTGTATTACTACTTAAACTTCCATTCAATGACAACGTATCTATATTAGATGAATTTATTGTTGCTGAATATCCAGGAAAATAATTTGTTGGATTTGTTGTCCATTCATAATGATCGGTAACATTAACACTAAGACGATGATGCAATTGCATTTGATCAGAATTATTAATTGGCATTAGTATTGGCATTGTTTGATGAGAAGCAGTAGATGGCGAAATCCAATTTGAATTTGACGAATAATTTTCAAGAGGAGGTGAACACAGAACAGTTTGACTAGATGGTGACATCAATGGTGGATATGGACGAAAACTAAATTTACAAAAGTGTACTGTTTTATTCTAAAATATCCGTTAAATGAACATCATTAGCGCCTAGCACACAATATTTTATCTAATTGAATGTTGTTGTTCGATGAAAGATTGGCTCAGTATTTCTGAAATTTTCATTCACTCATTAGACGTGAAAATTTTGAATAAAAAACGGTTAACACCTATTATATAATCTTCGAAAACTAATTAATTAAACTTGTTTTTTTTTCTAGTTAGTTTCACGATCAAGATACAAACGTATTTATTAATAGAAGTGTCTTGAGCAGATGAGTAGTTTGCAAGTAGAAAACGTTTTTTATTTTATCGCAGTAGGAATCCAATTCTTGTATACTTTTTTTTATTCACTCACTTCCGTCTGTGTATTTAATTTCAACGAAAAATATATTTTTCGATTGATCCTGATTATCATCAGAAACGTTCTATTGTAATGTTAACCATTACAAATCATCCATGTTTACTTACACTTTAATATGAAAAAGATTCATTACTCTCAGCTGTTTGAGAGGAGAGTTCTTTGTTATTCATTAAACTTGATCAAATTTAGTTTTTACCGTGCAGCAGATTTTATTTATACTTACAATTGAACTGGTTGATTGTTTCCATAATCGACAATTTGTTGCCGTTGTCTTCGTGATGAACGTTCTTCAAAAAATTGTAAACTTGCATCCACTACATTGAAATTGAAATGAAAAATTTTCTTTTCAGTAAACCTCTAACCACTTACAACACGGTTTTAATTTTCGATGCATATTTGTATGACGTTTTAATTGAGCAAATGTAACTGGACGACGACCAAGTGAAGCAGGAAATTCTAACATTTTTTCACCAGTCGTTTTAGTCCTATGACGAAAAAAAAGCATAGAGAAGATTTCCTATGAATTGAAATGAAAAAAACTACTAACATTGAACCAAATTTAACAAGATAAACATTATGCATATTTGTATCAGCATCTTCGCCGACATAATAAGCAAATAGTTCATCGGAATTCGATAAAGTAACAATGACTCGTCGACAATCTGGTGGATTTATATAAGAAACGGGCAAATGCATTTTAACGCCTACAAAGATAGAACAAAACAAAAGTCTTATTAACTATATATATTTTTCATTTCTTTTCTTTACCAAATCTTTCAATTAATCGATTGTGTGTCATAAATGGAATATGTTGATGTTGTTTGACAATATTTTTATCAAAATATTTTTTAAAATGATCATTCATATAAACATCATACGCAACATTTCGATAAATAGCTGGTTCAAATGCTTTGGCTGTACGATATGGTACAGGTATTAATTCATGGTTTGCTTTCTTTTCTGTTCGATCTGAATGTCTAAAGATAGAAATTTATTTCATGGGGATTAATCGATTCAAATTAGAATTCTTTCTGTAATCTTACTTTTGCATGCTTGCTCCTTTAACGCCATAATAAAGTGTATCAGATTTTCTTAACATAGCTTTTGCTTGCTCAACTACTTTTGGTTGATTAAATACTTCACTGTAGAGAAATTTGTAAACATAAGCTAAAACAAAAACAAAAACAAGATAATATTTACTAGAATATTAAAGAAAATATTGAATTGCCTAGAATGATGTCATATTGCTTAGTGATATTGTTCAGATGGAAATGTACATAACCAAGTACTAATGTGTACACTGACTATTTTTAGAAATAAGACTTCTGTAGGGATTAGTACAGTAAAATTAAAATTGCTATGAAATACTGGTGAATTTCAGAGTAAGTCTCATTGGAAATTGAACACACTAATCCTTTAAATCATTGAACAGAACTCATCAATACCCAGTAAAGTAATTATCTATGTTTGAAAATATACAGTAACTAGTCATAGCATTTATTTTAATATTTCTCCTCAAGTTTATATTCTCTTGTCGAAATAATTTAACGTTGTTATATAATTACTGCGAGTAATCTTGTCAAAACATCACAGACAATTTCTTTTCAAATTCGTATTTATTTTTTCCAAGTTCTTGGATAACATTTCTCACGAAAAGTCAAAAACGCATACCTTGTACAATGCCTAAAAGTCGGCGCCGTTCTTCTGTAATAACTCGATCAAATTGATAACCAATTAATGAAAGCATAATTCTTCTTGAGCCATACTGACATTCAACAGGGTCACGATCTTTACCAGAGTAAACAATAATATGAACGCTAAATGAACAATATTAGATTTGTTGAACCAAAAACAAGATTTGTTTTTCTCGTACCGATAGCATTGTGCGAGTGCTTCCACTTCAAGCATGCCACCTGGTGTCTATAAGAAAGTAAGGGAGATTTTTCTTTATCAGAATTTAAAATTTTTTAATCAACTCACTGTTGGATCTTTTAAATGTGTTAAATATTTTGATAATGACATTGTAATTAACTGAAACAACAATATATGTTCAAAAACAAAAAGAAAATAAATTTATTACTGGACTATATTCATTTGCATGCAACTCAATATGTTCAATACATTTTAATCGAACATCATAATGATGAACTTGAGTTGAGAATAGCTAAAATACAAGAAGAAAATGAAATATTCAAAACCCAAGTTTCTTTAGTATTTGTTTTGTTTTACATCTTCTGATACAGCACGAAATAAACTTGACCCATCTAAATAAAGAATAACAAAAAGAATACTAAAAATATCTTTAATCTTTTTTTTCTTCTTTAAACCTTGTGGAATACGTTTTCTCCAAAGTCCATGATGTTCAAGATATCTATCCATAGAAGTATCAAGACTGCCAATAGTATGTTCTTCTTGTTCATCGTCCATATCTCGATGCTCTTGTCGTTCCATTATTAAATTTAATTATTTGTTTTTTTTCTTATTCAAAGAGAATAACACCAACATACATCAATAACGAACAAACGATAGATAGAAAAGAAATAAATGGTTTTCTTTTCGTCCGTATAACACTTACATACGCTATTTATATCTATATTCTTCTCTTTCCATTTTCTACTTTGATTTATAGTTAGATACCCTCGATTGATTTGTTTCTGCCATGTGACATATGTTATGATCGTACAATTCTGTAGAGAAATTATATAGATTTTTTTCTTTCATTCATTTCGTATGTTAAAACTTGCCTAGCATAACTATTCAATGAAAGACATACGAGTACGAAAGGTTAATCGAGTTCGAAAAGAGATAAATATTGAATCGAAGATGTCTAAACAATACGTATAGTATAGCTATTCAACACGGTATAAATGTTTAGAAATGAAAATTTCGTTTCCATGTTTGATGAAATAACTCGATAATGAAAAGCAAAAATATTCCATGATATTCTATAATTCTAATTAATTTCTTGAAAATTAGAAGGCTAATAAAATAGACATGTGAAAAGAACGAGGCTATAGATACCGTTGAACTAAACTGATATTGAATGTCAACAGTATTAAACAATATTTTCTCAATCTAACATGTTTTAGCTATTACTAGAAAGTTTTTATGAGTGAAACTATTTTTATTTGAACTGAACACCAGGCTGTGAACTATTTTATTCATATTTAATCAGATAAGAAAGTTTTATACATTCAAACTTTACTAAATTCAAGGACTTAGGAATGATTCGTGATGCTGTGTTTTAAATAATTTTTTTTGTTTTTAGCTCTGATTTATTTATTTTTCAAAGATGAAATAAACAGTTTTCCAATAAGATAAATATATTTTATTTGAATAAATGTTGATAATAAAAATGTTTCTCTTTTTCGAATATTGAAATGATCGTTTGGAATGTACATGCCATTGATAACGATTAATCACTAAATTAGATAAAAAGAAAAGAAAAGTAAATTTTTAAATTTTTTCTGCATAATGTTTTGCATATTTTTTCATGCGGTGTTTAGATTTCGAATCAAAATATTTTAAATAGTTCTCAACATCCGATTGATTATAGTTTCTTTTCTGATCATTTTTTATTAATTGTTTATGATGTTGATATTTTTTTCTAAAACGTCGTATAATTATTTTAACACTTTTCCAATTGATTTGTTTTGCAAAAATTTTTGGTTTATTTGTGAAATCCGATGAATTTATACCAAGAGTAAATCCTGTCCGATAACGTTTACTTCCATCAGGATTAACTGTTTGAAATACATTTGAGTCAACCTTGATTGGCGTTAACATATCATTAAAAAATTGTTTTTCAATTCGATTAAGTTCATCGAACACAATTTTATTTGAATTTTCATCATAAATATATTCAAGATAGAGTAGTATTGCAATTAAACAAGTATAACGTGTCGACATATCTAGATCATGATTATTTGGAAAAGGATTAAAAAATATTTCCGGTGAATTTATTATTGTTGGTGTTTTTGCTTCAACGCGTGTGTCATTAACATTATTGTCAAGACAATGAATTTCAGATATTGTTGCTCGTCTTACAACCCATGGTCGAATGTATACTTTTTGTGCAGTAAAAAGTTGACTACTAGAAAGATAATGTTGATTATCAAATTTTTCATTATTTAATGATGATGATGATGATGACGATGAATGCAAATCGAATCTCGGATTGATTGCTAAACTGTGATATTTTTTCGGTTTTGCCCGATTGATATCATCACCATCAGTATATCGACCAACGATTAATGTGTGTTGGGATTCATTTTCTACAATGGGTGGTTTTGTAGACGTTAACGGATCGTTAAGAAAAGTAATAGATGCCGCAGATTCCGCTAAATAATAATAGAAAAAATTAATTAAACGTTTTTTTTTTGTTTTAGAGGGAAAAGAAAAAGAAAAAGAATTGATTAAGATGAAATTCATGCAAGGAATTAATATGAAATACCCCGAAAATCTTGATTTTTTCCTTGATTAACTGTGCCATTAGCTGGTACGAATGTATTTGATTGAAATAATAAACTTTTACCTTTTCCACCATTATTGTTATAAAGTGAAAAACGCCGCTTTTGGTCTCGTTGTTGATGCTCATTATGATAAACAGATCTTGCTGCGCCTGTTGAGACAGCATTTTCAATTATATTGGACGCCATTTCGTTCGCATATTGTTCGATTACACCATCAACAATAGACGAAGAAGCTTCGTCAATAGCCAAACGAAGATGTGTCGAATCTAATGGACTCATTGCTTTTGGAGTATTTGTATTAGGTTTTTTAAATGGTTTACTAGATAAATCTATACTTGATTCTTTAGGTATTGATGTTGTTTCAAACATTGAAACAAGACTACGAACTGAATGAGTAGGGGGAATTGTTTTTTCTGAATTATCTTGATTTACAATTTTCTGTTTCGGTATTGGCGAAGATAAAATCTGTTTTAATTCATGCATGAGAGAACTTCGTTGATGATGAAGATTATTATCGTGAGTTGTTGTCAAATTTACTTGATTCAAATTATTTGTATATTTAGGTTTTATATCTTCAAGTTCATTTATAGAATATTGAGTAGAAATATCTTCTACTATAGTTGGAGTAAATTGAGTTGAAGCATTTGTATGTTTGAATTCGGCATCATTATTTATGTGTGATTTTAAATGCGTTGCCACATCTTCGTTTAAGATCGGACTAAATTGAGTAGATGCATTCATATAAACATGATCATCGAGGAGATTCGCTTTTAATTTTCGTTGAATTAAAAAATTTATATCATCATCATCTTCTAGTGTTATCGGGCTAAATTGTGTTGAAATATCGATTAAACCATTTTTCTTATTTTCCATAGTTTGAGTTGCAACATCAATATTATTGTATTTATCGTCGATTTCTTTCAAGTTTGATCGTATTTGAGTATTATTTTTATCCCTCATCGGACTATACTGAGTAGATGCATGACTATGCCATTGTTTTAAATTTAAAATTGGACTTGATTGTGTCGATATGTTAGTTGTTGGTTTATAGTGTTGAAAAGTTCTATGAGGCTTTTCTACACAAGATTGAGTTGCTGCTTCTTGTCGTCGTGGTTTACTAGTATTTTGTATATCACGAAAAATTGTTTCTAATTGTGATGTTTTACCAGCAAAAGTTTTGACATACGGTAACGAATGATCATAATAAATACATGTGTGAAGATGATGATTTCCATAGCAAGTACAATGATGAGGTTCTACCGAAGAAAGTATATCCAAGATAATTGATTGCAAATTTTTCGTTTTATTTGTTTTCAATTCTGATAAAAGCTCTTCAAGAATAGATTCAAGATGATTTGTTCCTGTTTCATTAGCTTGGTCACGTTCTGCAAGTGAATATAATTGTTCTAAATGTGCTAATTGTTCAGCTTGAATGTTTGTGTCGCCAAAAAGAGCATTACGTCGATCTCTTGGCCTTTGTAAAAAAAGATTATTGATTAATGCGAATGTATTCCATAATGTTCCAATGACAAATTTGGATGTATTTTCATTACGAAATCTAGATGATACATACGTATCATCATCATTATTTAATCTTGGTATACCTGTTAAACGCATTAATGATCCAAAACTTGAATCGAATAGTGTTGAACGACGCCGAATTATTGGCTTCAATGTTTGACTATTACCAACAGATGATTGACGAGGAGTTTTTTGTGGTGACATGGAAACGGATCGTTGGATATAACGCCGAGGATTATTAGAAAAACTTGTTGATCGAGAAACAGGAGAATGATTCTGTGAAATTAAATCATCGATAGTTGTACCTCGACGTTCAGTTGATCTCGAACGTGTTCGAAGTGAAACAGGATAAACATGAAATTCTTGTTGGTGATTATTGATTATTTCTCCGAGATAACTATCAGTATTCTCATTACTCTCATATCCAGAATCATTTCTTTCGCGATGAGAATGAGTAATTTTTCCTGCTGATCGAACTGTTTTTACCAATCTAGATATAAAATACAAGGAGTTCTGTTCGAATCAGCGGTCATTGAGTTTTAGATTAAGGCAAAATAAAAATTTCATGATCATAAATATACTTACGCAAGACTTTCTTCATCTTTGAGACTTCTGTTAGCTTTCATTACTGGTAATTTGGCTTTTTTGGGGGTATTTGTACTGAATGATATTAATGGAACAGCTGCCATCAGAACGGATCCAACTGTAAAACAATAAATTCATTAGTTTTTGAATTTAAAGAAAAAAGTCTATTTTTATTTTTTTACTTATAACACTTATCCATAGTGGTAAAAATGGAAGTATTTTATCAAACCAATAATATTTATCAGCAGCATCAATAAACGTACAGTTTGGACAAAAACTTGGCGTCGACTTAAAATATTTATCAAGATAAGCTGCTTGTTGATAACCAGCACACACCTCACGAGTAAATGAATTTACTAAAAATATATAGTTTTTACCAAGCAATTCAAGATAAATATTAAACAGTATTTGTACACAACAAACGTGTCTATTTGTAAGAGAACGATAGAATCTATCACAACTTGTATATAAAAATCTACACGTATTTTTCGAACGCTTTACATTAGATTTGACTTACAGTCCTTCAAAATATGTATACTTTTGAAAAAAGACTATAAATTATTCTGTTTCATTCTTTTTCTCTTTATTTTCTTCATTTCGTTTAAAAAAAAATAGAAAAATATCCAAAAAAATAGATTTTCCTGCTATACATCCTCAAGTAGAGGTGTCAGGTTAGCATTAAAAATGAAAATAATGCATTGGCGTATTATGGTAAAGAAAATACTTAATGCGAATTTATTCGCTAATTTATTATTCTTAACACCGATATTACTTTTAATTCTAAAGATTTATTGTTCATCAACTTTCCTGGAGAAATAAAGCAATGTATTATTTTCACTTTTAATGCTAACCCGACGCCTCTATCCTCAAGAAATAGTTCTTATTAAATCTTTTATGCAATATCTGTTTTCATTGAAAAATATTAGTGTCTTTATTCACTCAGTTCAATTTAAATCGAGGGAACAATTCACTAATGATGACGATGAGTGTTTCCAGCAGAAACTTAACAAAACGATCGAAAATCAACAAAATTTTAATGTATGCGACAGAAACTATGTACTAAATTACTTTCGAATTATAATCTAGTCCTAAATTGCTGTTGTATTCATTTGAGTCATAATTACTCATTGAGATTTCATCATCTATTTTTATATTTTTGCATCTATTGAAATATCTATCCGAAAAAATGTGTAGTGTAAGTAAACGACATAATTTAACAAATTTCTTCTTCCTTCCCTCTGCTCACCTCGTCAAGTTGTGCATTTTCGTTTCTAATTGAACTTTGCTACGACTATTGAATTCATTATTTATTTTGGTAGAAACAAGATAGATGTTTTAATAAAAATTTCTAGTTTTCCTAGCTGATTCACGCGAGAACGTATTTGAAACAGTGACGCTAGTGAAACTTGACTTTAGGGAAGAAAAACCGCAGACACAAATGCTAGATTTTTTGTCATTTCTTCACGAAAATTTATAATTTAGAACATACTAAAAAGATTCTAATATGCTGAAAAATTTATAATTCAAGTTCAGTTCAATAACCGAAAGTCTATTTCATGTAGAAATTCGATGCAAAGAAGATCGTTTCAATGCTGCCGTGATCAGAACTGAGAATAGGTCAAAAACTGTTTGTATTGAATAGAATATCTATAATAATTGTACACAAATAGTAGCTAGCCGAATATCAAATTCTCTCGATGTGTATGTTTTAAATTGTTGTTAACAACACAGTCTCAACTTTAGAAGGACTGGAACTGAAAAAATTGATCCTTGTGATGATTGTTCGATGTGATGCATCTTTAAGCTCATCTCAATAGACAAGAATGCCATCATTCTGACTGTAAGCCTATATAATTTATGTCATATGGGAGTGACTGAACGTGTACAGTAATATAAATTGAACACGAAAAGCTCAAAGTTTGGCTTTACTTCTATATTCTAGATGCTGCATAGTATTTGATATACAGATAGATAAGTATTCGTCAGATATTTCTTTTCCTAATACATAAGTATACATATTCATCAATTCTTTTTTGCATCGGTTCCAACGCGAAATAATTTTCCATTGGAAATATTGTAACATCATATATAATTATTATACTGAAATTCTATCTTTTCAATTTTCTATCTTACTGGCCAATGAAATATTGTTGCAAAAGATTTCCAAAGCATCACTAAATGTTGTAGAGCTATCATCGGACATTCGAATAGCAGCTGATATTAATTGTGCTCGACTATATTTTTGTGGACCAAGTATTATGATTTCAGATAAAACAGTAGTTTCATTGAATGGTAAATTGTCTTTGAGAAAATTTTCAACATTTTCTGGAAAGTTTTCATTATTGACAATATCAATATTTTTATAATTATTTAAATAATCAAAAACAAAATATTGCAGTTCATCTCTTGGAATACATTTGAAAGAACTAAATAAAAAGGAATTCGTGGCCTTGTTTTTAGAAATAATAAATAAACATACTCGGAAAGATTACTGCGTGTTGGAATGCATATATCTGTCGATGGACAAGAAGATTTATTTAATTGACAAATGTCAATCGAGATTTCACAATAAGCTCCAGTATAATTTCGTATACATTGGCATGAAAATTTTCCATCAGAAGATAGTTGATGACATATGCCGTTATTAGTACATGGACTATACGCACATGCATCAATCCCTCGACAATCTATACCTGTGTAACCACCTGTACATAAACAATACGCAACACTAAAGATAATACAAAATAAAGCAAACTTTGGGAAGCAAAGTTTTCATGAAAAAATCTTCTTTACGTTTCATTTCGATGAATACATGTACCATTTCCACAATCTTTATGTAAACAAAAATCTACTATATTTTCATAAGTAATTCTTAATGGAAAAGTTGTTAATAATATCGTTCCATTTGTTTCATTAGTTAACGCCACTTTCAGTTCTAATTGTGTTTGATTATTAATTAATGGAAATGTATTGATTGGTCTTTTAAGAATCAATGAATTACTATTTGAATCCAATTCTAATCCATCATTGTATGTATCAAGTAATTGTAATTGATAGAGTATTGATATATTGCTTACAGAAAATGATCCGATTGTTGTATTCGACTGTGTTTTGTTTGCTATTGATGATTGACTAAAAGTGATCAATGGTGTTGATGAATTGATAATAATTGGTAACTGAAAAGCTCTTTGAATAATACGAGTTGGTTTGCCAGGTGTTGTTTCGACGACTTGAACATTTAAATTAACATGAGCATCACTAAAGTCTAATATTTCAGGTGGATATTGACCAATTTGAATAAGACTATGATTTGGTAGAAGCTAGTCAAAAAATAATATGTTAATTTATTTTCTCACGCGAAAAAGAAACGAAAACTCTTTGTTGCTTTTATTATTTGTTTTTATAAAAGTATTTACTTGAAATGAATCTTGATAATTTACTAATGAAAGATTATATGTACGATTTGTTGGTGTTGTTGTTGTTAATTCGATAAGATCAAATCTACCCAATATAGTTTCATTATTAATAGGATTTGCTGCATACAATGTTTCTGTTTGATTAAAGTTTATCTCCACTGTGGGTGGAGCCGGTAAAACATCGACAACAATGTCCTAATCCCCATGAATTATATCTCTTTGTTCTATTTCATAAAAGAAAACTAACTTACTTGATTTACATTCGTATCATTACCAATGTTACATTGTACATTAACGATAATAATTGGATGAATTGTTGAATTTAATGTATAATTATCAGGTAACGAGACAATAAATGCTAATTGATCTGTAACTGTAGTTTCAACTCCAAATGAATTCTCTTGATCATCCGTAGCAGTACATGTTAGTGAACTTGTTAAAGAATTATTTAATGACGACAAGCGTAAAACACCATGAATAATTGGAGTATTCGGCGGTGTTATTTCATAAACTCGAGCATGTAACGCTTGAAATAAAGATCCAGTCTAGAAAAATTAAGATCAATATGTAGTAATTATGTTTTTCTTTTTGTATTTTACCTTATGATTCCTTCGCATGTGTAACAAAATATAATTTTTCTTAATCAAAACTCTCTATAATTACCAAATATGATTTCTCATGTAAAATACATACCCCATTACAATATCCTTTAGAAAACATAGAGCGTTGCACTTCGCTATCTCATAAAATATTCCTATTCGTTTCTATCGTTGGAGAAAAATCTCATATAACTAATTTTTATCATCAAATATGGTAAAACATGCTAAAGATTTAAGTAATTAGCATATTCTAAAATAATGAATTTGATTTCGTCAGATTGATGCGCTTATCTTAAGTATTCCTATACTAAAGCTGTCAAAAAGAAAGATTTACCATCTTATGGTAGTGTTCTATTAAAATTTTTATATGAACAAAGACAATATACATCTGAGTGAATGATTTCTAATTGTTCTTTGATAGATATTTTCATTGAGCGTACAATATCTTAATTGTTGTAAAGTGATTTCCAACAAAGTTCTAAGCGGATACAACTATGATAGGAGACTTTTGAATGAAGAATCAGACGAAAATATTTACACAAACATAATTGAGATGAGATAAGATGATCACAAATGACCGATGATATTTGTATTATAATTTCAGAATAGGTGAATCCATTCAAAGTCAACTCAATGTCATATATTCGAGTTTATGAGTAAGGAGTAGTTGGGGATTTAGTTTTCTCTAAGACTACAATGTTAAAGGGTTAGTGAGATAATCTCATAAAAAGAACATTATTTGAATGATTATGTAATTTAAAGATTAGACAGAATTTTACGAGATAATCTAACAGTTCGACTAGTTGATTGACAAATATATGGCGTTTCATTGATACTAATGTCTATTTCCTATCATCTAGTATATATCATGTAATTGGATCAATACTGATTTCTAACTGATTCTAGATACGATAACAATCAATGGATTTGATGACATACGTTAAGGAAAATTCGACGATGAGACATGAAATTTTACCAATATGCCGTATTATCTTATAGAAGTTGAATTCCTTTTGTCTTTTTTCATATCGATCTGGATTTTTGTTAATGACAAATGTCTGATAAAGTGTAACGACTAAGCTAGACTTACAACTCGATAAAAGACTTTTTTACTTGTGCATAACTTACCACTGTTGTTGTCTCTATAAATATTGATAATACAGATGCATTAACTATTGACTTTTCTGCATAATCAACAACGAATTCATATATTACTGAATGACCACCCAAATCTGTTATATTCGCTATTACATTGGTTGAGTAATTAGTTTGACCTTGACCATTTGGAAGATCTACATCTAGAATACTAATATTGTAAACTTCTGCCTAAGAAAAAAACATCACTTTATGCCGAAAGAATAAATATAAATACTCTAACCGATAATTCAAAATCATCATCTGATATAATTGAATATGAATTTCTAGCTGGTTCCAATGCCCGAAAATTAGGTTTATTAAATACAATAGTAAAGTTTTCATTAAGATCTGGATCCATAATATATATTTGGCCGACAATTGCTCCTGTTGAATTTTTATTTTCAGAATCTCGTTCAATATATCCAGTCATCAAACTTGATGTTACATTAATTGGTGGTCGATTTATCGCAGTTATGTTTATAATAAATAATTTTTCTATCTAAAAACAAAATTGAAAATTTATTTCTTTGGATAAAAATCAAGTAACAAACAGATATTGGCGGTTGTCCATTGTCAGTTGCTTGAATAATAATTGGAATATGTTGTTGTATATCATAAATTAATTTTCTTTTTAATATTAAACGATTATCCTCAATAGCAAATGTTGGATTCATTGTTGTAAATGTTTTTGTTTGATTAAAATCAAGATCAATTGCATTTATAATACCGATCGTCGAACCAATAGTTGTATTTTCCGAAATCACAAGATCTATGAACACGAATAAAAAAAAGAAGAATATGTGATATTTTTCTTAGATAAATTTCATTCAGATAAATACTAGATAAAGATAAATTAAAAAGTGGTTCATTTTCATCTTGAACTTCAATAGAAAAATTTACAAGACGAAGTGTTTCATTTGTTAATGGATCGAGAACTGCAACTGTTATGTTAATTCTAGGTTCTGTTTCATAATTAAGTGCACATGAATGATTCAAATGACAGTGTTCAACATATTTCGTAGCTGTCTGTAAAAAAGAATGAACTTAAAAAGACGATGCAAAAAATTTCTAATGAAAAATCTTACTAATAGATTTGTTCCATATAATTTAAATTTTCCATTACTATTATTAACAAGATCAATAGTATAATCGCCTATACCATTTTCAACAATGAAGTTTCCGATTGATGTATTTTCGTGTGAATTTTCCAGAATCTAAATTACAGAAAATTGTATAAAAATATAACTTTGTTTTACATTTCACACCTTATTATTTGTTAATGTTAAATTGAAATCATATTTATTTTTTACGTTAATGATTAAATATTTTTCTACTAGTCGACTTTCTTCACCAACTGTTGTTACAAATACACTAACATTAAATATTGATTGCATATTGGATGAAGAAAAATTTTCGTCGTCACGAATCTGTAGTATCATTTGAAAAATAATTGTTTAATAATATAATGAGTAAATCTAATAATAAAAAAAACACTAACTTTCAAAATAGTTGAATTAATGATTTCAAGTGGATAAGACAAAGAACTATTTGGATTAAGTGTAATATTTTCTTGACGTTGTCCTCCAGCTGCTAGGTCAAGTGCATCAATCGAACCAATTATAAGAGAAGCTGCATTATGTCTGGGAATATCAACAGATTCTGTTTGTTGACCATTAATTGTTAAAGTCTAAAATAGAACAAATAAATATAGTTAATTGTTCAACTAATAAGCTATTTGCATACAATATTTTCAAATTTAATTCTTAATAATTTTGAAAAATTCATAGTTTTATTATTACTTATTAACGTTAATGAAGTAACAACTAAATGTCCATTCAATGCATTTTGATCATATTCTGATTGTGGATGAGCAACAGTAACAGTCGATGCACATAACAATCTATATGGTATTTGTGTTGCAAGATCACATGTTGGTTTGGAAAAACCAAATTCAGTTAGAACATTATTATCATATCCATTCAAATCAATATCTTGATCACGATCTTCTATTAAAAATAAAATCTTCCCCAATGATGCTTGTGTGTAAGCATTTTGTGGTAAATAAGTCGTTCGTACTGAGTTTTCTCCATTTATTAAATTATTAATTGTATCATTTAAAACAATATTATCAATATTTGAAATAAATATATACGTAGTGGGAAATTCATCAATGTCGATTATTTCAACAAGAAAATCACTTGTAATCTACGGAAAATCAATATTTTTCGTTTTTCAATAAATATAAATAGAATCTTGGAAAATTTTTCTTACGATTGAAAATTATTAGTCAAGAAATTTTTTTCAATAAGTTTAGAATATTTTTTCTCTTTTACGCTAATCTTAGAGATTACTCACACTTTTCGGTGGTATTCCATTATCGGTAGCGTGCACCGTAATAAGAATGAATTCGTCTTGTTCATAATCAGGTGATCTTATTAGGCGTAGATCATTATCTTCAACAGAAAAAAGATTTCCATGGTTTGAAAATGAATTTTCACTAATAATCGTATATATGTGTGTTTGATATAAATCTTGATCATCAACTGAAAATGATCCAACTAATGTTCCAATAGGTGAATTTTCTTTCACAGTAGTTTTATCTAAGACCAAATTAACTGGTGGATCGTTTTCATCAGTTATTTTAACTAGCATCCAAAATTTTTGTGATGCTCGCGGTTCACCATTATCTTCAACAAATATACGAACAAGCAATGAATCAGTTTGTTCATAATCATGTGGACATAAATCTGGTTGAGGCATACACATCTCTACATAATTCTCACGTGATAGCTGATAAAAAATACAAGTAGCATATTTAAAAAATAACTTAAGACAAATTCAGTCAAATCACTTACCACTAGATTATCATTTTCTAATGTAAATATATGATCTATGTCAGTAATAAGTGTGTACTGAAATGTTCCATTCGTTGAAAATATATCTGGATCAATCGCATGTAGTTGACCAATAACAAAGCCTGCGGGTGAATTCTCTGGAAGCTAAACCATAAATTTGTTCTGTTGTAAAACGAAAAACTATCAAACTATTACATACTATATTAGGCGTTAATGTTAATTCAACTGGGGCTTCATTGACATCAGTGACAAAGATACTGAAATTTTTGTTAATAGTAAAATGATGAATTAAATCAGCACATGATACTGTTGTATTATAAACTGGTGTAGTTTCAAAATCAAAATCAAGATCATAATCTAATAGATAAAAGACGATGAAGAAATTCCTTGTCTGTAGAGTATTTTCTTTTACGTACTATTATTATTCGTAGGTGATTTAGTACGTAAGATTCCATTAACAATTTCAAATGGCTGTTGATGTTGAAGAGAATTATGAGTCTGTATTGAACAGGTATAATTATCATTGTCTTCATCAACAATGTAAACATGTGCTATGTTAAAATTTATTGCATTTTCTGGTACACTTAAATGAGACACATTAAAAAAAATATCCTATTAGCAAAAATAAAAAGCCTTATAATTGACTGTTTTTGTTTTTTGTTTTTGTTTACTTGAGGTGGCAAATTCGCTTGTCGTCGTTGGCGCTGTTGCTCTGTTTTATCTCCATCATTAGAATATGATATGACAATATTCTAAATAACACTTATTAGTTAAATTAACTGAAATAACTCGTTAGTTTTATCATGCTGTCATGGTCAAGCAAGAAGATCTTAATCGTATTCACATTCCATACGATGAAAGAAATTCGTAAAGGTTATAGACATCGATGAAACAAAAAAGTCGACAGAGAATTTTCTTGGCTCGTTTACAATAAATGTCTAATAAATAAATCTACTTACATCTCTTGTGTGTTTATCTATCGTATTATAATTATCGTCGACGGGTATAATCAGCGAAAAAATAGGAACAACCATTAGTGTCATGTCATTTGGTAGAACTTTTATCCATGTTGATACCTTAGGAGAAAAGAAAGTTAGAGATATTTGAAGAAGATTTTATTTACGGATAAAGGTGGTTGACCATTATCAGTACACATTATTTCAAATGATGTTTTATTATTAAAATCATTTTTAGTGTTTATTCCACAATTTAATGTTTGATTAAAATCATCATCGAAAACCGTACAAATACCTGTGTGATCTATTGAACAAGAAAAAAAAGAATCATACTTTCATTTGTAGTTTTTCTTTTAGTTTTTAAAATTCATACTAGAACATTGAAGATCATATGGTGCTTCATTAATATCTTCAATAGTAATTAGAAAATCTTTTTCGATTGCTTCTGCTTGATTTGAAAACTTAATTCGAATTTTATACTGATTTTGTTCTTCATAGTTCAACCGACATTGATTAGTTGTCTTAAAGAAAAGAAAAATATAGGCAATCTCTTTTTTTTTCTAATCATAAGAAGAAGAAAATAGAAAGATTTCCAATCAAAAGGAACGAACGCGTAGTGACGAGAGATATGTATTTTGCCCTGCTCTTTTCTTGCCTATCAATCCTGTCAACTAGTATTGCTTATTGTGATGATAGATTGACTCTTGCCAGGAGTAGTGTTATCTCTTGTTGAGTTACACATTATTGTGTCATCGTAGTCTTCTCTTTAGTCTTCAATGGAGCGGACGCATACATATTATAAATCAACCTCTTCATTCAATAATCATAATATTTTTGCTTTTACTTCTAAAAAATAAGAAATCTCAATTCACTGCAAGTATGTTTTTCAATAGAGTTATTTGATAAAGATTTCATTTAATACTAGTAAAGAAATATATATAGATAATGAAACATTCTTTAACCATATATAGAAGCGCTTATGGACTTTGATTATATTCAAATCTTACTGTTGTGTCTTTCTTCTTTTTTCTTTCGAATAGAATATATTTATATTTGAATGTCAACTCAATATCTTTAAAAGATTAGATGACGAGAAAAATGAAAAGGACAGGCAATTCAATCATCTTTTGCCTTTTTCGAAAGATTACTTGAACCAAAAAAAAGGAAAAAAAAAGATATGCTACATGTCTAATCTTATGTTCTTTTAAAAATAAGAGAAAAGAAATGCATTAGAGAATAGTTATAGTGAGTATCTAGTATGTTTAAAGATCAGCTGCATTGACATCTTCGTCTTTATAATTCAATTACGTAGATGTGAGCGTTAAAGTCGCGTTTCAAAAATTAGTCTAGCCGTTTCTTATATTCGTCCTTACATCCGCTTACTACTTTATTTTGTTTCTTTTTCTTTTACATATCTAGAAGATTGACAAGAAATAGTTATACAATTGTGGTATTTTTTTGCTTTCTCAAACTATTATTTATTTATCTTGGGTGTGAATCCTTTATTATTCAAATTACTTGACCAATTAAAACGACATAGATTTACCCATATATATGATCTATGTTTTAACAATAGAACAGCTTTTCTTTTCTCAATAAAAAGATAAAAATTGCCTTATAATATAATTTTATGCTTAGTTTTGCACTCTAAGACGACAATATAAAATTGAAGTGTGTTTAATTTAAAACATGGTATCCGAATCGTTCGATCTTTCTACAACTGATCCAACGATGATTACAAATGGCTCAAAAAAAAGTTATCATGTGAAAAAAACAATTTTTTGGGCAATCGTATCTGGAATAGTTGCAATATTTATTACTTTATTAGTGTTAACAATTTATTTTGGTGTTAATCAAAAGGTATCAGCTAGTAAAACAACAGCAACAACAGTAGCAATAGCAGCATCTACAACAACAACAACGACGACAACAACAGCAACAGCAACAGCAACAGCAAGTGAACTTATTGAAACAACAACATTAGCCCCACCTATTGAACGAATACCTACAAATTTACGACAAGAGGAATATCGATTGACTTTATTTCCAAATTTAACTTCCGAAACATTTACTGGTCTGCTAAATAATTCATTTAGATTAACAACAAAACAACTTTTTCTTTTCAGGCATTCTTTTTTACACATTTACTTGTCTTGAAACAACAAATGAAGTTTTACTTCATCAAAAAGATTTGCTATTGAATAATTCAACAATAAAAATTGTTAATTCATCATTAACAGATTCACCCTTACCAGTATTAGATTCTTGGTCATATGATGAGTACAGTGAATTAATTCGATTGAAGTTTTCATCATCATTCATTCCAAATCATAACTATACACTATATTTAACTTTTTCAGCAAATATCTCACGTGAATTACATGGTCTTTACGTAAGTAAATACATCGATACGAATGGAATTACGAAAACATTTATGACTTCGCAAATGGAGCCAACACATGCACGAACGGTTTTTCCATGCATTGATGAGCCAGCTAGAAAAGCTATCTTCTATATAAGCGTTATACATGATTCTTCAGAACGTGTTTGGTCTAATGGAGAAATTCAACGAACAGAAATATTAGACAACGGAAAACTTTTATCACATTTTACACCAACATTAAAAATGTCAACATTTTTATTAGCAATTATTGTTGCATCTAAATCCGATTTTGATTGTCGACCGGAATCAATCGTTGGATCAACAAATATTTCATCAAGAGTCTGTGGACGAATCGATATTTTACCACAGTTAGCTTATGCTGATGAAATAGCTTCTAAATCATTAGTATATTTCAATGAATATTTTGATATTCTTTATCCACTACCAAAATTAGAACATTTTGCTGTACCAGATTTTGGTGCTGGGGCTATGGAAAACTATGGTAAAAGAAAAAAGAAAAACAACGTTTTTCTATATCATCCTCATTCTCGTCATTGTCTTAAAATGATTTATTTTGAAACTAGGATTGGCAATTTATCGAGAGGTTGGTTTGTTTTATGATGAAAATACTGTATCAGCATCACGTAAACAATACATAACAACAGTAGTTACACATGAAATTGCACATCAATGGTTTGGAAATCTTGTCTCACCGGCTTGGTGGGGAGAATTGTAAGTGTTTCCGTTGTTTGTTCTCTTTGAGAGCGAAAAAAACGTGATGTACTGGAATTGATTTGATCATTGTAGGTGGTTAAAAGAAGGATTTGCTAGTTACATGGAAACATTAGCATCTGATCGACTTGAACCAGCTTGGATGCAAGATGAACGAATTGTCGTTGAAAAAATCTTTCCATTTATGGATGCAGATTCATTGCCAACATCACGTCCAATAAGTATTCAATCGACAAATCCAGCTGATATATTTCAATTATTTGATTCAATAACATATGATAAAGGTGCAACATTAATACGTATGATGTCGATGTTTTTAGGTGCACAAGTATTTCAAAAAGGTATACAAAATTATCTTAAAGCATTAAGTTATAGTTCAGCAACACAAGAAGATTTATGGCGATATTTAAGTCATGCTGCTGATAATAAAATTGATGTAGAACAAATTATGAATGGATGGACAAAACAAGCTGGCTATCCAATTGTTGAAATTAATCGAGAATATGCAAAACAAACTGAACGACAACAAAAATTGAATGTTAACAGTTATATGGTTATCAATCAGAAACCTTTTAGTCTCTTTTCAACAACAGTTAAACGAGAAAAATGGTGGATTCCATTCAAACACTTTGATCGTTCATCAGCGAAGGTAAATATATTCATAATCGACAGAGGTTCATTTATGACAATAACTGACTATATGTTATGGATAGTTAGTGCAAGGCCAAATCTTTTTTGTTTCTTGATAAACTGACATTTTCGGTACACAATTCTGTCATGAGATTATATTATAGATCAGAAACTATGCGAATGGTACATTATTTCTCATTATGCGAAAGTTTATCTATGTATTAGTGATAAAAGGGCAAACATTTTTGATTAATAATGAATTCAACAATGACATAATCAAATCATGAGTTTAACAGTCGAGCTCAATCAATATTAATTGTTCGGTTAAAACTCCTTTTCTCTCTCCAGAATCTGAGCTGAAAGATCAAGTTTTTTCTTCTTCTATATAACACGAGAGAATAGACGTATATGAATAAATTCTCGGTATTACATGTATATAATTATGAATTACATATTCTCTCTCTCTCAAGGATTCAGTAAAATGAAAATAAATAAATGTATCACAAAAACAATGAAACAAAGCATCGTACATAGCAATATTAAGATTGCTAATGATAATTACTTTCGAAAAGTTATAATGTCTTGAAAAAGAAATGATAAAAGTTCTTTTATTTTCTACTCTGTTTTTCCCGTTCTTCTAATAGACATCAAGTCGAAATTCAGTCGTTTGGCTTAATGATACTTCAATGCGTTTACAAATTTCAACATCGGATTCCGATTGGATTTTAGCAAATCCAGATTATCTAGGCATTTATCGTACAAAATATGATTCTCGAAATTTTCGATTGATAATAAATCAATTATTATCTGATCATACTCGTATTCCAACAATAACACGTGGTGCTTTGATCGATGACGTATTCGCATTGTCTCGTACATCACTTGTAAATACCAGTGATGCATATGAATTAATACGTTATTTAAAAGATGAAGTTGAATTTGTGCCATGGACAGCAGCATTTTCAGCTATGAGACTTCAAGAAGACTTGTTAACTGGCCAGGAAATTCTTCTTGATGTTCAACAATATTTTCTTGAGCTTCTATTGCCATTATATCATAAAATAGGTTGGGAGCCAATAGATCAATCGAAAGATTGGCTACGAGCATTATTACAGCCTAGTGTTTTATCAGCTGCATGCCGTTATGGTCATCGTGAATGTGTCGAAGAAGCTCGTAAAGCTTATCGTCGTTGGCTTTCAAATCCGGCATTAAATCAAATCCCAGCAACACTTCGATCGACTGTTTATTGCACAATTATACGAGAGGGTTCTCAATCAGAATTTAACTTTTTATGGGATCGTCTTAAACAAGAAAATGTAGCAAGTGAAACATTAAATTTATTAAATGGTCTTTCTTGCACACAAGATCCATCATTGATACTTTGGTTTCTTAATCAACATTTGAAAATAAATCCGATTATACGTGATCAAGACTTAGCTACATCAATACAACGTGTTGCTCGATCGTCACATGGAAATCAAATAGCATGGAATTGGATTCGTGATAATTGGGATCAATTGTTTTCAAAATGGGGAAAATCTGGTTCGAGTTTATCCGGCATTATGGAAGCTGTTTCAAGTCGATTTATTAATAGTCGACAACGTGATGAATTTGTTACATTTGCGAATTCGATTAGTGATAAAGGTAAAACGAAATGACTTCGAATCTATATGAATATACATTTATTCTTTATGCTAATCTATTGAATATATATTTTAGGTACTTCTTATCGACAATTTCAACTTTCACTTGATAAAATCGATGCAGCAATCGAATGGAATCGTATAAATCTCAATGGAATAACATCGTTTCTTCATCCAGGCAATACTGGACCAGATGCGAATAGTCATCGTTTACCATCACTTGCTATTCCTATTCATTATAATCTTTATGTAAAACCTTATTTAAATATATCTGACAGTAATGTTCGTTATTCAGTATTTGAAGCCGATGTTAATATAACAATTAAAATAATTCAAGCAACTGATCGTATTGTTTTACATAAACGTTTTATTGTTGTACGATATCCCATCACACTATCAATACCAAGAGTATCAGTTATGCGAACAATATATGATAATGAACGAGACTTTTTTACAATTATTTTCAATCAAACATTATTAAATAATACAGAATTTACACTAATGATACCATATATAGGTGAATTAAGAAATGATACATTCGGTTTCTATCTTAGTTCATATCTACGATCAACAGATCAAGTACGACGTTATTTAGTTGCTTCCCAAATGGAACCAATATCAGCCCGAAGGGCATTACCATGTTTTGATGAACCAGCATTAAAAGCAACATATACAATTATTGTTGAACATGAACAACACTATCGAGCATGGAGTAATATGCCTATTGCATCAACACAAAATCAATTAAATGGTTGGACAATAACACAATTTGAAAAATCTGTACCAATGAGCTCATATCTATTGGCACTTGTTGTAGCCGATTTTGAATGTTTAGTACAAAATAATACAGGTCATTATAGAAATATAACAACAAGTATTTGTGCACAGCCAGAAAAGAAAAATGAATTATATTATGCACTTAAAGTAGCAACAAAAAATATCGAAGATTTCGAAGAACAATATAAAGTGAATTTTCCCATATCAAAAGTTGACCATATTGCGGTACCAGATTTTGATGCAGGTAAATAGAATATGTTCTTTCACAATATTTTAACGAATTTATTATTATTATTGTTTACTTTCCTGTACTTTTTTTAAATGAAAATAATGCAAAGTTTGGATTAAGATTTAATTATTAAATTGTCTGATAAACGAAATAATCCTTTGAAACATGTGAACGATGTCTAGGATTTGTTTTTTTATGATGAAGAAAATGAATTATTTATATGATGATTTGACGTATCTTTTCATTTTTTTTCCTAAAATACTATAACATTGTCTATGTTAACATCATTCAATTGTTGTTATCAGATCAGAATTTTAAAAAGAAATTTCAGAAAATCGAATCATGCTCTTTCTTACTAAACGTTTAAAAGTGATATCATGAAATTACAAAGACACATGTTTTTTTTTCAATATGAATGCGATGTAAAACGAACTTTTCATAGAATATAGTCTATTGTTTGAATAGGTGCCATGGAAAACTTCGGATGCATTATATATCGTGAAACACGACTTTTCTACAATAACCGTACGTCGACATCATCTAATAAACAAGACGTTGCATTAGTTATTGCACATGAAGTTTGTTTAAATAATTTTCAAAGCAATAAAATTATCTATTGTAATTATTTCCTTTTTTTCTTTTACATTACTTAGTTGGCACATCAATGGTTTGGTGATCTTGTATCACCATCATGGTGGGATGATTTATGGTTAAATGAAGGTTTTGCTAAATGGATGGAATTCGTTTATACAGACAAAATCCATCCAGAATGGGATTTATATGAGCAATTTATTGCTCAACGCTGGTTAGCAGTCATGCAAAACGATGCTATTTCATTTTCACACCCTGTCAACATGAAAATAACGCAAAATGAACAATTAACAAGTATTTTCGATGCAATAACCTATTCGAAAGGTTCATCATTATTACGTATGATGAGAAATTTTATGGGCATTGATACATTCAATCGTGGCATTTCAAAATATTTATCACAACACTTATTTTCAACAGCAAGACAAATGGATTTATGGAAAGCTTTAGGTGAACAAATGCATGAAGATAATATTCAATTACCATTCAATACAAGTCTAAGTGACATAATGAGTACATGGACCAATCAAATGGGTTATCCATATGTTGAAATCATACGTGATTATGAACATCAATCAATCAAAATAAGTCAAAAACAATTCTTATTTGATTCCGAAGCTCAACCATCAAAATCTCCATATAATTACATATGGTCAATACCTTTAAAAATAAAATCACCTTCATCATTATCAACAGATTTAATATGGTTTTCAAAAACTACAATGAGTATGACAACAAATGTTCAATCAAATGAATGGATATTAGTGAATCCTGAATTGTTAGGATTTTTTCGTGCAAATTATGATAGAGAGAATTGGAAAAAAATTATTCAACAATTTAAAACTGATCACCAAAAATTTTCTATTGTTGAACGAAGTGGCCTTATCGATGATGCATTCAATTTAGCTCGGCCAAGTAAACCAAGAAAATCTCTTAGCTTGATATTTTTTCATTCATTAAATGATTTTGTTTTCTTTCTTTTAGATATTCTTTCAGCATCGCTTGTTTTTGAATTACTTGAATATAGTCCTTTAGAAGGTTCATATATTGTTTGGGAACGCATTCTTTCGGGTCTTCAATATATTGAACAGATGATTGCATCAAGTAGTTCAGGTCTTTATTTATATGAACGTTTTCGTTCCTATGTAGTTGATCTTATATTACCCATTTATAATAAACTTGGCTGGCATGATAATCAATTCACTGATAAATGGCTTGATACATTACATCGTGATATGATTGTATCAACAGCATGTCGATATGATCTTGATCATTGTATAAAACGTGCACAAGATTTATTTGAACAATGGTTTAATTCACCATCAAACAATACGATTGAACCGAATCAGAGACGCGTAGTCTATTGTACAAGTATACGATTAGGTGATCGAGCAAGATTTCAATTTCTTCTTCGAGAATATCAAGCATCAAATGATCCACAAGAAAAAGCACGTATACAAGCAGCATTAACATGTACACGTGATATTGAATTGATTCGATATTTACTTCATATACATATAAATACTGAGCAAAATATAATTCGTCGACAAGATGTTTTAGGTGGTATTCGATTAATTTGTCGAAATTTAATTGCTGAAACGGAATGTTGGACATTTGTACGTTCAAGATGGACACAATTATTTCTTGATTATGGTGGTTCACTTAGTTTTGCTGAATTAATAAAAGATGTTACAGGAAGATTTAATACATTATTACAATTAGAAGAATTCGAACGATTTACTGAACAAATAACGGATAAAGTTTGTTAATTATTTCATTTTATTTATATATATATATATATGTTTTGTTTTGTTTTTAGGGCGCAGCTGAAACTGAATTTAAATCGTCTATTGAACGTATTCGTGCAAATATTCAATGGGTCAGTAAGTCGAAACCAAATTTAGAAGAATGGTTTTTAAATCGAACACTTGCAATTCGTCTTCCACTTGATTGGTTTCCATCAAGATATCAATTGAATTTTGATGTTTTTCTTAAATCAATCTATCCAAATAATGCAGAACCCAATACAACATTTTTAGGTCATACACGTATACGTATACGCTGTGCACGTTCAACAAATGAACTTCGTATACATATGAAAAAATTACGTTTATCCTATGCAATATTAACACGTGTTGGTACAAAAAATAATCTTATTAGTGATTGGACATTAGTTACATCATCAGAAGTTCTTTTATGCCGTTTGAGAGAACGTTGTACTAAAGGTGAAGAATATGAATTTGAAGCAGCACACACAGCAGAATTAGATAGAGAAATGGCAGGATTCTATTTAAGTAGATATAATGTAACTAATACAACAACAAACCAAATTATTACACATAACATCGGCGCAACACATATGCAGGTAAATAAAAGATGAATTTTCGAATGTAACTTAAGTTTATGAATCTTTATTCCGATTTAAATATGACCTGTAATTCTGCTGATCAATGTAACGATCTATAAGACCATCTACGCTCTATAATTATTAGAAAATATAAGAATTCTTTTTGTTGTGCTTATTTTCAGTTGCATATTATCTATACATTATTCTTAGTTTAGTTATAATTTTTCGAACATATCAATGTTGAAGAAGCACAAAAAATAGTGATAATCCTGAAATATCAGTGAAAGCGTCTAATGTCAGAGTGCCATTTTAGGGAATGATATTGCTGTTGTGAACGATGTCTTATGAGATTTTATTCTACAATACAAATCTAGTATTTGCAATATTTTACTATTAAAATTTATTGTAGATGAATAACAGTATAATGCTGAAAATACTGCGAAAACAAATGAATTTTTCAAGAGATAACTAGAGATAAAATTATAATAATAGATTGATTGTTTCCACCTATTGGCGAATATTTCAGTTACGAAGATTTCCTAATAGAATAAATTTTATTCAAAACTACTTACAATATTTTTTGTAAACTCAAAAAATGAATATCTCATAAAAGACAAGTAAATAACTTCGCATAGATTTTAGTGTTTAATGTAGGTTCTCATTTTGAGAAAAACAAAACGTAGTAATCGAATCTAGTCTAATTTTCCAATATAGACGATACCGACTAGTGAACAAATAATCAAAGAGATACATATGAATCAATCGGTAAAAACTGAATCTTGAACTTGTTATTAGATTAGGACACGACTTCGTTCGTTTGTGGACAGTAGACATTTCTGATTGATATTTCATAGTTTAGGAAAAATGATATTAATTATTTTTTGAACAAAGTAAAACGTATGTATAAAATATTGAATACCAAAGCAGTCTTTTCGAATTGTCTACAGTACTCATTTATAATATAAAACAATTTTTCACCGAAACAAAATTATTTTTCTTTGAAGCCAACTATTGCACGCCAAGTATTTCCATGTTTTGATGAACCATTGTTTAAAGCAAATTTCACAATATCTATAACTTATGATCCAAGTTTTACTGTTGTTCGATCAAACGGTGCAATGTTGAATAATAATATACCAGAAGTATTATCCAATGGTCGTTTATTAGCACGTTTTGAACAAACTCCACCAATGTCAACATATCTTGTTGCATTTGTTTTAACTGATTTTCAATGCATAACAAATCTATCATTACATGATATTAGTGTTAGTGTGTGTGGACGACAAGAAGCAATTACTAAAGGTGACGGCGATTTTGCTTTAGATGTTGCAGCACATGTTATAACGTATTTTGAACAATCATACAATGTTCCTTATCCATTGAGTAAATGTGATCATTTCGCCATACCAGATTTTTCAGCTGGTAAGTATCGAAAATGTAAGAACAATGAACAATTATTGAAGCATTTTTTTGCACAGGTGCTATGGAAAATTGGGGTTTGATAACATATCGTGAAACAGCATTACTTTACAATAGTGAAACAGGCAATTTAGCAAATAAACTTCGTGTTGGTGAAGTTGTTTCACATGAAATAGCTCATCAATGGTTTGGAAATATTGTTACACCAAAATGGTGGAATGACATTTGGTAATTCAATATAGAAAGATTTTATTTTTGTTTCACATTTATATATTTCTGATATTTTAAAAGGTTAAATGAAGGATTTGCATCATGGGTTGAAGTTATTGCTCTTAACAACGCAAATCCAGAATTTGAGGCACTTGATGTATTTGTTACAAGTAAAATAGATTATATTTCTTGTTAAAATAGGATTTCTACAGTCATGTGTATCTTTTTTTCTAAAAATTTCAATAGCAACTGTTCAACGTGCACTTGTTATGGATAGTCTTTATTCAAGCCATCCAATAAGCGTTGAAGTAACACATCCAGATGAAATTAATTCAATATTTGATGCGATTTCCTGTAAATATTCTTCTAAAAAAATTTTCGTTTCATAACCAATTTGATTTGTTTATAATTATTAATTTTTGTTTTACTATTTAGATGATAAGGGTGCATCGATTCTTCGGATGATATATTCTGTTTTAAATGAAACAACATTTTTTCAAGGTATAAGTAATTATTTAGATTACTTTAAATATAATAATGCTGTACAAGACGAATTATGGGCATTTCTAACAAATGTTACAAGTCCAATTACACTAGGTGGTTATACAGTAAAACAAATAATGGATACATGGACATTACAAGAAGGATATCCCGTACTAATGGTAACACGTAATTATAATGATAATACATTAATACTTAAACAGAAACGTTTTCTTCTCGATCCAAATGCTGTACATAATAAATCTAGTTATGTAAATCCATTCAAACCACTTGAGTTTCAGTGGTATATACCGTATGATTATATGATAGATTCAACATTATCAACATTTTACTGGTTATCACCAAATAAAACAGTGCAATTAACAGATATTCGACCATCCAATGATTGGATTTTATTCAATACAAATGAATTTGGTTTTTATCGTGTTAATTATGACGATCAAAATTGGAAATTATTAATAAATTCTTTAAAAAACAATGTATCTGAAATTCCTATTGTATCGCGTGCACAATTAATTGATGATTCATTTAGTTTAACACGTTCGGGAGATTTAAATGTTACTATACCATTAGATTTATCTGTATATCTATGTCATGAAATAAACTATATCCCATTCTCAGCTTTTTCAACCAATTTACAATATTTAACAGTTATGTTTGGTCAAAATGAAAGCAATATTGAATATCAACAATTACAAAAATATATTCGTACAATAGAAGAACCAGCGTATGTATTTCTCGGATGGTCCATAGCACCAAGTACATCAGATTATTTATCTCGTCAATTACGTTCACTTATTATTAGTGATTTATGTTCAAACGGTCATGAAGCATGCATAAGAGAAGCCATATTACAATATCAACTATGGCGTCAGAACCCAACAACACATCCAATAAATCCAGATTTTCGTACAACTGTCTATTGTCAAGGTATTAAAAATGGTACAGTTGAAGATTACTTATATATACAAAATCAATATAAACAAACAAATGATCAAGTGGAAAAAAATCGTTTAGGTTTCGCATTAACATGTACACGAAACGCAACATTATTGGAAAAATTACTGAATGAGACATTAACTAATGATTACATACGCTTGCAAGATTCATCATCATTTATTGGTCGCATTAGCGTACAACCAGGTGGACAAAAATTAACTTGGCGTTTTATTAGTCAACGGTGGTCGGAATTAGTTTCAAAATTAGGTGGGCTAAGTTTTACATTATCAAATATTGTTGAAAATATATTACAATACATTAATACACAGTATGAATTAGATATCGTTCAAAACTTTATGATTGAAACAGAAAATTTATCAATAGCTGAACGTGCTTTTCTATCATCTGTGGAAAAAATAAAAGCTAATATCCGATGGATGGATACCACAGGAAGAGATATCCGTACATGGCTTTCTACCAATACGGTGACATGTTAAATACTCATATAGAGCAGACATCGTTTTCTATTTGTTCCTTCCTTTTTTTTTATATATCATAATGAAAACAAAAATATATATTTAATTCCGTCCACATAATTATATAATATTTAGATTATGATTTAGGACAAGAATAAAATAAGTACTTACGAAAAGTTCGCCCATTGAATTGAGATCAAAATGTCCATTAGCACCATCAATTAAAGTCATCAAATAATCAGATGGATATGTTTTAATTATACCAATAGTGGTACCATTCGGAGAATTTTCGTTTATCTACGACAAAAATGAAAAAGATAAGAAAGAAATATTTAATACAGAATAAATACCTGGAAGTGTTTTGGTGATTGTTCAATTTCAATTAATGAGATGTTGTGAATCAAAATGAGTAGAAGAAGCAAAGCAAACATTTTCGATATTAATAATAATTGAAAGTGAATCGAATCGAGTCGAATCGAATCAAATCAAATCAAATGAATTCTTCGCTTTATTGTCTATAGAAAATCAAAAGAAAAGAAGAATAATGAAAGAATAGAATAGAGACGGGTCACAGGTGCTATTCTACTATGTAAATATGAAAATCAGTTGATTGAATCGCTAATTCTCATGACACGTATAATATGTGCAGCATTCGTTTTCTGCAAGGTCGACTGATTAAAAATACGAATTAAATCAAGTTTTCTTTCAATATTCCAATTGAATATAAAAATATTCTACGGTTTGCATATAATAGTCAAGAGCAAGCATCATTTTCTTTTCTACTATAATGATTCTCGTACTCATTATCAATGTAGAGAAGAGTTAGAAAAGAAGATGATCGATATCATCATAAAGCTGGGTTCACTTCTATTTTTGTTCTTGGAATATCTTGAAATGCATGAAAAAGAATTCCAATAAACAGATATTATGAAATAAAGTTACTTGCCATTGATTGGTTCGATTAAAGTAACTCGGAATAATCTAAGAAATAAATTCTATAATCTAATAAATAGCTGTTATAAATACTAGATACTGTTTTCATGTTTGTGTTCTGTAATACACCCGTAAAATTTTTTAAGTCTTTATGTCAATGAACTTGAACGAATAAGTGACAAATAATATTGAAGAATCGATATTAGAATGTTTCTTTTTTGGGTAAAATATATGGGTGTGAGATGTGCATCATTTCATCTGACTAAAGAGAAGAGTCATAGCTACACTTGCATCCCATTTTCACTGTAGAGTTTCATGCATGCATGGTGATAACAATAGCCATATGAGTGCTTACTATAAATTCCATACGATAAACTTGTAGTAAAATTGAACTCGTACTGTGGTATATGAGTAATATACTTGAGCATTTTAAATAATATGCTTTTTGATCGTCTTGTATGTAGCTGAATTTTTCTTGCTAGTTTCCTCTACAAATAATAATCGATTTTTTCACATACTTATATATGTATAAGATAGAGTATTTAGTAGATCATGAAAATAAAATCTGATAACTAAAATCTTAACTTTGAACCACAATAACCTTATAGAAAAACCACTGATCAGTGATCAGTAATGCCAGCAGAGAAGAAAAAAATTTAGCCCATTGTTATTTCCTCAGTTTCAAGTGTACGAGAACTTAAAGTATTGAACTGCATAAAAAAAAGTGACTGGCAAGATGCTTAATAATTAAGAGAAAAAAACATAAATTTGATTATGTTGATTATGATATGCATCGTAGTGCAAAATATTTAATATATAATTGATGATTGGACAATGACTAGCAGCACATATTTCTGACAGTGATTTATTCGGCATGTACTAACGTAATAATACTTATCGCGTTTTTTTAAATACACTCTCACTTAAAAATGACATTTAATATAATATGGAAGTTAAAAAATGAAAACTAAATTGATGATATGAATTAATTAATATTACACTCGATATCAATAGTGTTAATTATTTGTAATATATATTTTTATATAATATTTCTTTTGTAAATATTTGCATCACTTAGTAAATAACTTCTGTGAGATCGATTGTACATTCTTGTAATAATTGGTTTATTTGAAAAGCATACTTCTCTATAATTTAAAAGTTAAGTATTGCTCCATATATTTTTAGCTAACTTACTTTATGAAATGGCGCAAGAGATGGCCATGAATGACGAATATATCAAACGCCCAGTGTATATTTTTCACTTAGTTTTCATTTCAAAATTTTGCTTATGTATGCTTTTGTAGTTACAAAAGAATAATTGGGGGATACTGACTGACGACATACTAATCACTATTGTTTGTATTCAACAACATAATACTAGATTGTTCATGGAAAACGAATATCTGCCAGTGAACGATAACTAATAAATATCTCTGTAAAATTTGAATCAAGCGAAATCATAGCTTTTATGTGTTGCATTTTTGTTATGTATATCTATAATGATTCATATTGACTATGGTGCATGCATATTTGCTTTTGGGCACTACCTGTGCATTATTATTCTTTTTTTCTCTTTTACCAAGAGCTATAAAACATAATCAAAAGTTTACTATAAAAAGTAACGAGGTCATTGGTGACCCATATAATCATACAAGAAACTAAACAACTAAAGCACACAATAATTCTAAATATTAAAGAAACTTGAATATATCAAATTAACATCAGTCTCCTTTTTATACGTCGATATTTCGTAAAACCAAAGAATATTTTAATACAACAAGCGAATAAATAGAATGTGATTAATTATAAATCCCATACAATTAGTAAATTATAATTTCTGTCAATAATACTGGTTATGTTCAAATGAACACTCGTTTTTATGAAATAAAACAAAGAGCTTTATTATTTATTGTCATTATCGACAGTTGGATCAATCAAAAGCAACAGTAATTCTTTCATTAAATGATAATCAATGACTATTTTATTCTAATAAACTGTCTGAAATGTAAATAGTCTGTGGATTTATCTACGAGACTCTTTACACTGGTTATTGAATTATCTCGTTTCTTCTTTGAAATAAATCCAATTAGCATAATGGATTGACACAACTTGGGAAATATGTTAAATATGATGAATGGTTTTTACATAATCGGTGAAAAATAACATTTTCCCTGTTAAATAACTTTAAATAGAAAATAGACAGAAGCAATATTAATTTCTTATTCTCATTTCTATTGCAAGCCTGGAAATTATTCTCTAAGACACATAAAATTATGACTCATAACAACATTTTTACAACTTTCATTACTTTCACTTGGTTTATTAACATTCGCAATCTGAATTGAAGTCCATTTATATGTAAAAGAAGAAAAACGGAGTATATTCATTCGTATACTGCTTTATTAAATCATACTCTGGCTATTGGACCGATTTTATGAATCCTTGAAAAAGAAAAAAAAACATGTACGAAGCCGTGAAAACCAATTTTACAGAAAGATGCTTCTATTCATTATTTGTTGCAATATAAAAACGAAATAACATTAATCATTGTAGCAACGATGAAATGTATTACGTATTTTATGTCCTATTTAAACATAAAAAGCTGTCACAGTTTGTTAAAGAAAGTAAGACTTATGCGTGTTATTTGCTCACCAATATGCAAGTAAGTGCTGAAAATGGTCACAAATCTTTAATACTTAAATTTAATTATATATATATATATATATGTATATGTTCGATTTTCTCTCTGGATAACTCATGTATTAATCAGAAAAAAAAGAAGATGAATGCGTATCGACGTTAATAGAACGAAAGCATTATTTATCAATATGTGAATCAATGTGCGTTAGAAATATTCATTCATTACAAACTATTTGATATGATACTTTAAGAACAGTTTGAAATTATACCGAAATGCTTTTTATTAACTTAGAAAAAAAATCTAATGCAACAGGGAGGAAACTAATTACAATTTCTTTGGAAATTACTTATTCTTAGATTTCAACTTTAACATTGATTACTACGAATTTCTACCATTTTTTTAATATGAAGTTTCAAATATCTCTCCAACTGTTAATTTTCATTGTTTTCGACGTTTACAAAACCTTGAGCCCTATATTATAGAGCTAAACTCTGCATGACTATTGATAGGTTTTCCTATTTCCTAGCAAATTTTTGATAAAAAACTAGTGTGTAGTTCTCCATTCTGAATGTTAGAACTTACTTGACGTAGAAACATGATGTATAAATGTCTTTTTTTATTGCTGCTGTTTGATATCTTTCTTTGGTTGACGTTCTCATTGTGTCTGGTTCTTATGTTTGTATAAGTAGGATTGGTGGTATTATACTTCTCTTTTTATATTCTGTTCATATTTATTGATTAAAAACCATGTTAATTGTCTACAAGCCATTCTACTTAAGGTAGGATCACTATAGATTCATGAATCTAACTGAAAAAGCTAATATCTACTAAATGCATAGGTCGAAAGAAGTTGCTCAGAAACCAAAAATTGAAGTTCTTGGAGATAAGCTCTGCTGATCATACAGGCATAGAGCGTTTAGTTGCATAGCTGAACTTGAAATACCTTTCACTACAATAGCGTTCCGTAAATTTACAGTTTCTGCATTTTTAATTTGGATAGTTTTGACCGTTGGTTAGATTTTATAGGCATTGGAAGTATCATTTCTATTGATGGTTTTTTTCCTTTATGTTATTGATATTTTCCGAAAATATGTTCACTTGAGTAACAGAGGATCTTCAAATATGCATCATTAATGAGCCCACAAGCGATTTCTTTTGAAATAATACATTAAAATGTAATGAATGCTATTTTGAGAAACTAATATGATTGAACTTGATGACACTAAATTTTAAACAAGAACGACAATATAAAATTTGGTATACGACTCTATCCATGAGGTTTGAACATATTTTTCTGTGTTCTTAATGTATATGATTCAAATCAAAACTCTATATGAATTTCAAATGTTGATTCTTTCAAATGTGCCTTTGAGCAATGATGATAGATTTTTTCATTCAAATTTTATTGGATAATATTCTAGGCAAGTTAGTTTCTCATGTCTGTGGAGTGTTCAGAAAATCACTAGATGTACAGAACTTTGCACATCTTTATGCCTCTTGAGTCAAATGAACTGATTTATTTTCTTAGGTTAAACGGCAGGTACACGTTTTTATTGACGAGGGCAGAGTTCGTCTGTAGTCATGTAGCCAACAAACGTTTCTTCAATATTTAAATAAACCAAACACAAACGTTTGTTGCTCGTAACTTGGGCCCAATACTGTAGTATATTCATTTATCAATTTATTAATCAAGATAGTTGATATAATTATAATATAAGTGTGTGTTTTATAGCTGTTTCAGAAAGAAATAGAGAAGTCAGACAATCTTTAAAATTAGCAACTAATCTAGTTATTTTTCAGCACAAAATCACAAGATTACAGCTTTTTTTAAATGATAAATAAATCTTCATCCTAGCT